TTTAATTGATATTGGAAAACACACAGCGATCTTTCTTTTATATAATAATGTGTAGACGGTCCAGTAGGAGTCATATCATTATGTTTCAACAGTTGTGGAGGTAGTGACCACTATTTACCCACATGCTATAAGGAAGCAATATGAAAAGTCTGTAGTTGTCCCTTTCCGCGACCAGTGTTCGTCTCCCGTTTAATTGATATTGGAAAACACACAGGGATGTTTCTTTGATATAATAATGTGTAGAGTGACCAGTAGGAGTCATACATAGTAAAAATAATAAATATATTACAACAGTTCTGGAGGTAGTGACGATTACTTCCTACACTGAACAGACAAGCAATGTGAAAAGTCTGTAGTTGTCCCTTTCCGCGACCAGTGTTCGTCTCCTGTTTAATTGATATTGGAAAACACACAGGGATGTTTCTTTTACATAATAATGTGTAGACGGTCCAGTAGGAGTCATACATAGTAAAAATAATAAAAATATTACAACAGTTGTGGAGGTAGCGACGATTATTTCCTACACTGAAAAGACAAGCAATGTGAAAAGTCTGTAGTTGTCCCTTTCCGCGACCAGTGTTCGTCTCCTGTTTAATTGATATTGGAAAACACACAGGGATGTTTCGTTTGTACAATAATGTGTAGACGGTCCAGTAGGAGTCATACATAGTAAAAATAATAAATATATTACAACAGCTGTGGACGTAGTGACCACTATTTACCCACGCGCCATATCCAATCAATATGAAAAGTCTGTAGTTGTCCCTTTCCGCGACCAGTGTTCGTCTCCTGTTTAATTGATATTGGAAAACACACAGGGATCTTTCTTTTGTATAATAATGTGTAGAGTGACCAGTAGGAGTCATATCATTATGTTTCAACAGTTGTAGAGGTAGTGACCACTATTTACCCACATGCTATAAGCAAGCAATATGAAAAGTCTGTAGTTGTCCCTTTCCGCGACCACTGTTCGTCTCCCGTTTAATTGATATTGGAAAACACACATGGATGTTTCTTTGATATAATAATGTGTAGAGTGACCAGTAGGAGTCATACATAGTAAAAATAATAAATATATTACAACAGTTGTGGAGGTAGCGACGATTACTTCCTACACTCAACAGACAATCAATATGAAAAGTCTGTAGTTATCCCTTTCCGCGACCAGTGTTCGTCTCCTGTTTAATTGATATTGGAAAACACACAGGGATGTTTCTTTTACATAATAATGTGTAGACGGTCCAGTAGGAGTCATACATAGTAAAAATAATAAATATATTACAACAGCTGTGGACGTAGTGACCACTATTTACCCACGCGCCATATCCAATCAATATGAAAAGTCTGTAGTTGTCCCTTTCCGCGACCAGTGTTCGTCTCCTGTTTAATTGATATTGGAAAACACACAGGGATCTTTCTTTTGTATAATAATGTGTAGAGTGACCAGTAGGAGTCATATCATTATGTTTCAACAGTTGTAGAGGTAGTGACCACTATTTACCCACATGCTATAAGCAAGCAATATGAAAAGTCTGTAGTTGTCCCTTTCCGCGACCACTGTTCGTCTCCCGTTTAATTGATATTGGAAAACACACATGGATGTTTCTTTGATATAATAATGTGTAGAGTGACCAGTAGGAGTCATACATAGTAAAAATAATAAATATATTACAACAGTTGTGGAGGTAGTGACGATTACTTCCTACACTGAATAGACAAGCAATGTGAAAAGTATGTAGTTGTCCCTTTCCGCGACCAGTGTTCGTCTCCTGTTTAATTGATATTGGAAAACACACAGGGATGTTTCTTTTACATAATAATGTGTAGACGGTCCAGTAGGAGTCATACATAGTAAAAATAATAAAAATATTACAACAGTTGTGGAGGTAGCGACGATTATTTCCTACACTGAATAGACAAGCAATGTGAAAAGTCTGCAGTTGTCCCTTTCCGCGACCAATGTTCGTCTCCCGTTTAATTGATATTGGAAAACACACAGGGATGTTTCTTTTATATAATAATGTGTAGACGGTCCAGTGGGAGTCATACATAGTAAAAATAATAAATATATTACAACAGCTGTGGACGTAGTGACCACTATTTACCCACGCGCCATATCCAATCAATATGAAAAGTCTGTAGTTGTCCCTTTCCGCGACCAGTGTTCGTCTCCTGTTTAATTGATATTGGAAAACACACAGCGATGGTTCTTTTTTATAATAATGTGTATACTGACCAGTAGGAGTCATAAATAGTAAAAATAATCATTATATTTCAACAGTTGTGGAGGTAGCGACGATTTTTTACCCACGCGCTACATACAAGCAATATGAAAAGTCTGTAGTTGTCCATTTCCGCGACCACTGTTCGTCTCCGGTTTAATTGATATTGGAAAACACACAGGGATGTTTCTTTGATATATTAATGTGTAGAGTGACCAGTAGGAGTCATAAATAGTAAAATTAATAAATATATTACAACAGTTGTGGAGGTAGCGACGATTTTTTACCCACGTGCTACATACAAGCAATATGAAAAGTCTGTAGTTGTCCCTTTCCGCGACCAGTGTTCGTCTCCTGTTTAATTGATATTGGAAAACACACAGGGATGTTTCTTTGATATATTAATGTGTAGAGTGACCAGTAGGAGTCATACATAGTAAAAATAATAAATATATTACAACAGTTGTGGAGGTAGCGACGATTACTTCCTACATTCAATAGACAAGCAATATGATAAGGTATGATAAGTTTGTGTGAAGTATTACAGTGTAAAGGAACTGCTGGACATATAGAGCACCATATTGTGTTTACAGGCTGTTGTCAGGGATTCCGTAAATTCAGATCAACAACCCACTCAAAATACTGGACTCAACCCATGCCACTTCACTCAATATATTTTTGTATTACAAAAGAGTTTGCATTTTATTTAGTCGTGGTAGAATGGAGATTTAATATTTGAAACCTCATGCTGCGCTTTTGGTTCCAAATTCAATTTAGCATGGTTAAATCTACAGGTAACCTAGCTCTACATTGAAAACACAGTATGTTTATGTCCTAAATATGATGCGCTGCCCTTTTGAAGCTTTTAGGTCAGGGGTATAAAAATATTTCTAAGTTGAAAACATGAAACAAGATACCGGTATATTTTCTGAGAAATTCCACTTATCAAACTGTGCACTGCACCTCCTCTATTTTAGTATGGAAACTGTTCCCTAAATTTCAAAAGAATGCATGCAGTGCTTAAAATGTTTAAGTAGAAAAAATATAAGTAACCCAATGAAAAACAGCTGTATTTTTTCAGAAAATCCAAAAATTGAAATCAAACCTCACACAGCACCTGTCCTATTAATACACAAAGTTTGAGAAGAATCTATGCTGTAGTTTTCAAGTTATAAGTCACACTAGAAAATGTCCTCGGAAAGATTAAATCCCCGACCTTTTATGGTTAAGAAACCATTAATTTCAAGCAGGGCTCATGGAAATAACATTAAGGTTGCCTGACTGGCTAACTTAATTTTCTTGTGAACTATAACACATTATTCAGTTGACAAATGTGAAACGAGAATATCATGTTAAAATTGTCACAAGCTAGATATGATAAATAGCTGAGTTCTGATATTAAGGATGTACTTGTCATGCTTGAGATGATCCATTGTTGTAGTTCTGCAAGTGACAGAAACCCAATTGATTTTGACTGTATTTCTAACAAAAGTAACATTCACTGAAACTTGAATACCAGATTTTATTCCTTGTATTGGGAAGTGTAAAAGTGCATTAACACTGTCACACACGCTTTATTTGTAAATTTAAGTTTAAAGCACAGATGGAATGAAATTAAGACTTAAAACTAAGTACCATACCACAATAAAACTTTTCACAGTTTGCAGTTATTGAAGCATTTATTTTGTGATATATTTACAGTAGGGCTGGGACGAGTTCAAATTTACTACCCGGTTACCCGATCCCCTATTACCCGGGTACCCACTGTAAGTCTCAAGAGTAGGGAACAAAATGTCAGATTGGTAATTGTTTTACCGCAGCCCTGGCTAAAGCTATTCAGATACATGTATCAAACAATCAGATCATGCATACACTGAAGTTGACTGAAGCTTTATTTTTACTCAAACATTTACAAGTCAAAAGGAATGAGTGCATCGTCAGAAAATAATCTTAACATTAGCGACTTGTAGTGTAACCATTGAGCTATAGTATGTTTTTGTCTTTAAACAAAATATAACGTGACTAACCACGGGTCTGGGTAGTCCTGTGGGTACCCGGGTCCTATTCAGGGCCCACAAGACTCGAGTACCCGAGTCACCCGTCCCAGCCCTAATTTGCAGTGTTAAATGGTAGTGTTTTCTATTTTGGAAACAGAACACAAACTCAACATATGAGTGTTAGAACATAGAGACTTTCAACACATCCTTTTGTCTAACATTGTGCATGATACACAAAAAATAATAACGGGTGGTATAAAATGATTTCACAAGGTTTGGTTGAAAAGCAGTGCCGCTTATTATTAATGGCTAAAATGACAATACATGAGCAAACTCGATTATTTACAGACCGCCGTCATTTAGTTGAGTTGAAATATTGGTGAGTGCTTCGTTAAACAACAACAAACAAACAAATCTGACACAACTAACCCAAAGGATCTAAGAGGCACGCGTGGATAACATAAGATACTAAAAGATATGTCTTGAGCCATATCGATTTTAATCATACTTGGTGGCAAACAAATTTAGCATTCGCACTGTTGACACAACCACAATAAAACCGACCATAACCCACCTAAGAGACTTCCTGGCAGTTATAGTTAGCGATCTGTACGTTAATATAACAACAAGCCGACCTTCGACAGTAAACAAATGCGTAAACAGATCCGCCATGACAGTAGCACTGAGCGCAAGTAATTAATGGGAAGAGTCGCGTCCCTTGCAAGATGTATACCACTCGATAAACGTAGCGCTGTGGCCTGGTCTGGGAAAGGGACGTATACTGACTCGACCACACTATTTATTCTCTGTTATGACAGATGTGAATTAGCGAAAACCATAAGCCGATATTTACATGTTAAAAGATTAGGGAACGGGTCGTCAAGTAAGTGGTACTGTTGTCATCTTATGGTCATCGGTCAAAGTTATGAATCATTCTGCCTTTATTTTCTACGTGTGAAACGAATTGTGTCCATATTTCGATCACCATATTTGTCATCTCATCTCATCCACATACGTATTTAATCTGTACAGTCAGGGTTTCAGATTGGTTCATAATCTACGACAGCGACCGATTTGGTAAGAGTTCCTTTTGTATCATGCCGTTGGAACACTTATTTCAGTGGATGATAACTTAAATGCTGAGACGTATGGCTTGTTGCTAGAATTTATTTCAATGACAATTGGACCTTTACTGAAGACAATGCCCCTTGCCATGTTTCAAATCGGAGCAGTTAGGGGACGACTGACCCTAAACAGTGGCCAGGACAAAGTACAGATATCAGTGTTATAAAAAAACATGTAGAAGGTTCTGACATACCGGTTATCCTGCTGGTTAAAGGGTTTGCTAGTCACTCCGAAGGCCCGGGTTCAATTCCCCACATGGGTACAATGTGTGAACCCCATTTCTGGTGTCCTCTACTGTGATGTTGCTGGAATATTGTTAAAAGAGGGACAAAAACCACTCACTCACACACTCTGACGTACAAATATAACCCCATGAACACCATAATTCCAGCCTAGTTCGGCAAGGTTGGAAACTGGACTTTCATAGCGAGATAATTCCCTTGACACAGGAAGATGTAGCCACGAGATTATTGTTTCAAACCCAGCATTTGACTCACATGTGTGGCATATAAGCAGTATCAGCACATGAATCGTTTGGCTTGTTTATCAAAGTAACATCTTCCCCTCGATTCTTCCAGATCAGTCAAAATGAACAGGTCGCTGATCAAGCAGAAGAAAGACTGGACGGATGAGGAGAGGAAGCAGCTAGCAGCCCAGCTGGATGCTGAGTTCGAACAGTACCTTGATGGCATGATTGAGAAGAGCAAGAGCAAGTCTCAGGCTGAGCATGAAGCAGACATGGAAGAGATACTGGCAGTGAGTCAATCATATATCAGGAATATTTCTAAAGTTGAAATAACAAGTCAGAATATGGCAGGGTGTTATGTTATCAGACATTATAGAGATTTAAAGACCCAGTTTTCTATGGTAAGTATAGCTTACTAAATGAGTGGGGGCACGGGTGGCCCAGTCATCTGAGGCGCCGTGATTCGTTGTGCAGAGTTGCGTCTATTGGGCACACCAGAAACCTGTGATTGTGGGTTCAAATGCCGGTTCGCCCAGATTATGTTTCTAGGTTTGTCAGCACCATACCCAGGCTCGTGGGGTTTCACCGAACGTCTGAGACCTGTATCACCTCGGACTTTCCTCCCTCATTAAGCTGACACGCTGTGATATAACTGGAATACTGTTAAAAGCGCTGTTAAACCCAACTCACTCACTCCCTCTCTACTAAACGAGGTCCCATTCAAAACCTAAAGTGCCAAAGTGTGTGTAGTAACGATCCCCTACCATGAACATGATGAAGTGGGGCGGGGGATATAAGAACAGAGTTTGTCCTACTGTCAGTCATTCCTTCCATTCTTTCTGCCCATCTTCATCTCAAAGGGGACAAATTTTCACAAACATTATTTAGTCAGAGAAATTAAATTTAACACACGGATGTTACTGGTCATGATCTCAAATGAGTTCAAAAATTGGTGTTGTTAATTCATATTTTACAGAGTTGTGGCCCTTGCTCGTGCTATTCAACTTAGTGCATACTGTGTGAAATGGGGACAAGTTTTCACAGAAACTACCAAAGTTACATAAATGAAAGTTTCCATGCTTATCTAAGAGATACTTTTTAAGACTGAGTTCGAAAATTGGTCCCGTCAATTACATTTTCAAAGAGTTATGGCCCTTGCTCATGCTTTTCAACTGAGTGCATATTGTGTGAAATGGGGACATGGTTTTCACAGAAACTACTTTAGTTACTTGAGTGAAAGTTTGCATGCTTTTCTAAGAGATACTTGTCAAGACTGAGTTAAAAAATTAGTCACGTCAATACCATTTTTTTTACGGAGTTATGACCGTTGATCCATGTTATTTTACTTGGTGCAGGGAATGTGCAATGGGGACAAGTTTCCTCAGAATCTAAGGAAGTTAGCTTATCTAAGAGATACTTATCAAGACTGAGTTATTTTTGCCAGAGAAGGGGCCTTTTGTGTGTATTAATTTAACTTTTAATCCTTTTTTCTGATGACATAAAGCGACCCAAGTGCCCATCACTTCTTAAGGCTTTATAGGACTCTATTTATAGTTTATTTTCCCTACTATATGAACATACAAAATTCTAATGTACCCCATGGCGTGGGATAGTTTTCTTGTTTATCTAACTTTGCCCATTATCTAAATACTACGTTGAAAATACAAGACATTATTGGTATGAATGTGGCCATCATGGACTGTGATGTGTGTCTGTGTTGCAGGATATTGAGGGCCACCCAGCCTTCATGAGGTCCCCGGAGGATTTAGACCTGACCAAGCCACTGCACCCAGCTGTAGAGGGCCTCATGGCCATCAAGTACGAGAGTGAAAACCCAACAGGTGCAAATATGATTTCTTGATAAAACCTGGCAGCAAACAATTGTGAAATATTGTGAATTTCTAAACTTATCCTATCTCACACTATTCCTTTCTTCCTCCTTCTTTCGATCCTGTTGTGGAAACATCCCAGAATACAGTTTCCATCTTCTGAAAACTGTTCACCCAAACACGGCCCAGCATCACCATGGCTCGTCGGTTCTCGTAACCCAACAGGTGCAAATATGATTTCTCGATAAAACCTGGCTGCAAAAAATTGTGAAATACTGTGAATTTCTAAACTTATCCTATCTCACACTATTCATTTCTTCCTCCTTCTTTCGATCCTGTTGTGGAAACATCCTAGAACAAAGTTTCCATCTTCTGAAAACAGTTCACCCAAACACGGCCCAGCATCACCATGGATCGTCGGTTCTCCTCGTAGATCCAAGACGTGGTCGTTATCTACGGTTCCTGGGCAACCTACCTTGGCTGTGTCGGCTCCCACTATGTTATATTAGTTGCAACTTTTACTAAATATATTTAAAATAATAACAACCCTAAGCATAGCACTTCAGTGCAGCTGATCGCTATTGCCAGTTATTTTTTTTCACATGGAACAATTTGACCAGTCACCGTCCAGGCTCCCGCGCACGTGATCGTGAGAACTACATGTTGACATAGAATCGTCAAACTACAAGAAATATGACTTTTATTGAGTCAAAGTATTGCATTTATGATATAAGTATCCATTCTCTGTTAACTAATATTCGTTTCAAGGCGTCAATAGCGGTAATCTGACTGTGGTTGCTTTTAATAACGGTGAGTTGTACGATCTTCAGATCACTTCACACACGATTTGGCCGAAGTTAATTAAAACAATGTTAAAAGGAATTTTGAATAAAATTAATGAAATAATGTACACACTTAAGTCCAGATATACAATGAACACTTTTTATAACCAGACAGTGTAATTACAAGATTACATTGTGTACTCCAGTACGGATTTGTTGACGTAGTATTCCCGTCGTTACATGCTCACGGTAATGTTTTTGTGTTGGGGTGAAAAAACCCATCAAAACTCATTATGGCATGTATAATGCGCACCCCCATCTACACAGCTGTGTATTTTGGGAAAAAAGTGCACACTATATTCAAGAAAATACAGTAGTACTTCATCTCCCTACTTAGAGTCACTCCTGCTGGCCCTGACTTCTGCCCTCCAGCACCATTACCGCTCCAACCCCGTTGTTGACTCCCACGCCAGTCGTCCCTCCAAGACACACTGCTCCTGTTCATCCAGATGGTTCTGATGTCCTCTTGGGTTTTGAGCCTTCCCCAGCCTCATCTACGGGAGCTTCGACACCACCGATCCTGCGCTCGTCGTTCCTTCGCTTACTGATCAACTGCAGCTATGATGATGTACCAATGACCAGCTTTATGTTTCATCGTACCCAACGTTGGTTCCTCTGCCATCACACTGCCTCCCACAACAATCATGTCTGATGTCAATGATAATCTGGACAAGGCTTTTACAACTCTGTTCAACTCAGACAACATTGGATGGTGATCTTGCCACTCTCTGTCCCAGAGAGACTTCTTTCTACAGTCCTGTCGGCAACGGAAGCCATAGATGCGTCGATGTCACACTCCAAGTCCTTTAAAGATGCCGTTATCAGAGCTTCTGTATCTAGAAGATCTGCTGCATTTTCCCATGACATCCATCATGCTACTTCTTACAAATCATCCCGACATCATGGCGACCACATGGTCAGTCTTCAAGACGCGTATCTAGACGTACCGAGATCATCTCCACTTCTTCGTTTGAAATTTCTTTGACCCCATGCTTTTCACACGTATTACCAAGCCATCATGAAGTTCCTGCACATTCAAGGGATCATCTTTGAACATTACATCTACAATTGTATTCAGGCCCACACATATCCAGACATCCTCATGCGACATCTGGAGTTTACACTGCAGCTTCTTCATCATCTAGGTTGGCTAGTCAATGATGCAAAGTCCGAGACCACTCCCACTCAATGGCTCCAGTTCATCGGGGCTTTATTCAACACCAGACTGGGCATAATGTTCCTCCAGACAGGTGGTCGAAGATACAACGTTTCGTGCTGTTTGCACTTCGACAGACCCTGCCTCTACACCTATGGCAACAGCTGCTAGGTCTTCTGACATCAGCAGCCCTCTCTCAGAGAGGTCAACTTCAGGTTGGCCCAATCCAGTGCTTCCTGAAGCCTCTGGAATGACAGTTGCTGGCTCCCAATCACCCTAGAGATCTCACTGTGTCTGCATCTTCAGTGGTGGTTGGTGATGTCACATGTTGGCGCCAGAGTCTCTTTGCATCTGTTTGTCCCGACCCAACACCTTTTCGTCGACACCTCGATCATGGGTGGTTCGTTAAAACAAAAAGCGACTCTATATCAACAACCTATAGCTAAGGCGGTCATTTTGGCAGTGTCCCATCATTAAATTAAATTCCATATTAGAAAATGAATGCACATTAAATATATCTATTCAAATGTCATTGTCAAACTTTCTAGGAACAACCTCTATATTTTGTAGAATGCCTTTCTTCACATCATTGTTACCAGATGCTTCAATTGTGAAGCAAGCTGATCGCCCTCTTTGATCTATAATTAGATAATTCAGAAACAAGAGACATTTTGTCAATGGCCAGTAGTCAGTTGAAAACAAACTGATAGTACAGCCAGTTACTAAGACAAGGGCTGGCAGAGTCCATTTTTTCAGAGTAGGGAAGGAGATACATGGTACAACAGCCTTGGTACAGAAAATGGTTATTAGAGTCAGTCTAGAATGATTAGTGGTGGTTACGAGGGGGTTAAAGGAAATATAAACATTAAATTTACTGAAAGATGACACACCTGTGACCACCCCCACTGACTTAGAATAAAGTGTCCCCCCCAAATGTGCCATGCTATCGTCACGAGTGAGGTCAGTGCAGGGGCGTCAGTTTCACTCCCAGCTAATGCGAGAATGTAATGTAAAACCATGAATGAGACTCTCCCTTCCATCCGGCCGTCTCCGTGGTATGGTGGTAGAGTGTCCGCCAAGAGAGCGGAAGGTCCGTGGTTCGATCCCCGTCCTCATCATTCCAATAGATGTTGAAAGATGGTACTTTGGTGTGAAGAGGCTAAAACAAGGACTGGTCAGCTCGGAATCAGTATACTGTGTCTAAGTGGGGTGTTCATGTTAAACTGCAGCATGGTATCTCAGTGGGCTAGCTCTATTAAATCGGCTTAATTTGGACTAGTACAAGCAGCCACACACACAATGCATGCACGTCGCTCTATAAGTGCAATAATCTTGAACACGACGTTAAACCTCATTTCACCACACCTCCCTTCCATCCACAGACAAGTTACTATGGAAATTTACCGCCCTATTTGACCGACAGAAGGGAAATTCAAAATTTGGTTACCAATTTTAGAATGTTTTACTAAATGCAGACTTATTCCACTGTATGTACCATTGTTTCGCACTCGCTAACTTGATGCATGTCATCGTATCCCAATTGTGTGGATTGATGCTCATGACATCAATCACTGGATTATCTGGTCCAGACTCGATTATTTACAGACCGCCATCATATAGCTGAAATATTGCTGAGTGCGGCGTAAAACAACAAAGAAAAGAAACAAACAAACAAACAAACACAGTATGCATTCCTATCACCCTTGTACATGGTCCACACAATTATTATTATGAAATATTAGATAGTTTTCGAAATATTTCACAAACTGTATTTGAATGTTCCTCTGCTCTCAGCCCTACCCTAAGACAGTTGGTGCCATACTTGGAGGACATTTCCCTCCCTCCTTTATACCCGCATGCCGACCTTTAAACTCACAGACTTAAATAGATCTGATGGTCAGACTCATTGACTTACGGAGTAGTTGATTTGCATATCATCATACAACCCAGCTTTGGACTTTGCTCATAGACCCGTGAAGATCCGGGTTACAATAGGTCTTCAGTAACCCATGCTTGTCGTAAAAGGCGACTAACAGGATCGGGTGGTCAGACTCACTGACGTGGTTGATGCATGTCATGGATCCCGATTTGCGTGGATAGATGCTCATGATGTCAATCGCTGGATTGTCTGGTCCAGAGTCGATTATTTACAGACTGCTGTAATATGGCTGGAATATTGCTGAGTGCTGCGTTAAACAACAAACAAACTTTGCTCATATCCTCACCTACTGACTGATGTGACCGAGACTTGATTGATTAAAGGCCCCTCATATACCCTACATGAGTGAATCTAAATTTGTTCCAACTCAAACATGGTTATTTCTCCACAGCTCGCGCAGACAGCTACAGAGATGATGGTAATGACAACTTCAAGAAGAAAAAGTATCGCATTGCAATCGACAATTACACTGAGGCCATAAAGAGCAAGAGTCCCGACAGGAAGCTGAATGCTGTGTGCTATACCAACCGAGCAGCGGCACAGTACCACCTGGGTAAGCAGCATTGTGACACCAGGGTAAGCAGCATTGTGACACCAGGGTAAGCAGCATTGTGACACCAGGGTAAGCAGCATTGTGACACCAGGGTAAGCATCGTTGTATCACCTGGGTAAGCAGCATTGTGACACCAGGGTAAGCATCGTTGTATCACCTGGGTAAGCAGCATTGTGACACCAGGGTAAGCATCGTTGTATCACCTGGGTAGGCAGCCTTGTGACACCAAGGTAAGCAGCATTGTAACACCTTGGTAAGCAGCCTTGCATCACCTGAGTAAGATGCACATCATCGCCTGGGTAAGCAGTGCATTATCACCTGGGTAAGCAGTGCATTATCACCTGGGTAAGCAGCACATTAGACACCTTGGTAAGCAGCACAATATCACACCTCTGCTGGAATACAATGGCTACTGAGGATCGGACAGAACAGTTGGACACTGGATTTGTGATTAACATTCTGATGTTTTCTCTTTCAGGAAATTATGGGTCTTCTTTAAGGGATTGTATATTTGCTCGCAAATTTCAGCCTGACCACTGGAAGGCAATCCTGAGAGGTGAGTGAACCTGGGACATCGTGCAGTGCTGTAGTGTTGACATCATGCATTGCTGTAGTGTTGACATCATGCAGTGCTGTAGTGTTGACATCATGCAGTGCTGTAGTGTTGACATCATGCATTGCTGTAGTGTTGACATCATGCATTGCTGTAGTGTTTACATCATGCAGTGCTGTAGTGTTGACATCATGCATTGTAGTAGTGTTGACATCATGCAGTGCTGTAGTGTTGAATCATGCACTGCTGTACTGTCGACATCATGCACTGCTGTAGTGTTGACATCATGCACTGCTGTACTGTTAACACCATGCACTGCTGTTGTGGACAAGCAATGCTGTACTGTTGACACCATGCACTGCTGTCGTGGACAAGCACTGCTGTAGTGTTATACTTATACGCCATGATGTTGCAGGAATATTGCTAAAAGCGGCATAAAACCATACTCACTCACTCACTTATCCTCATTGTAATCAAGAAGTTGGTGTATAGTATATTCAGTTTTACCAAAGAAATGTAATGTGTCAATATGAGTACTGAAGAATGTTGTCACAATGTTTGAAATGCTCAGAGCTGACTAGTTGAGTTTGGAGATACTCATGATGTGCTTTCAGAATTCTGAGAAATTGACGCAGAAATAAGTATTACTCAAGCTAATTTTATTCAAGGTATTCATGTCAGTATCCTGAATAAGTTTGCATGTTTTTCAAATGACTTGAGATTGAGAGTATAATGATTTTCACCATGAAAAGTAAAAATAAGCAGGCTTCAAATCCAGTGTGTGATGACTTGTGTACTTCAGGTGTGGAATGCTGTATGAAGCTGAGCAAGCACGTGGACACCATGAAGTGGATAGATGCTGCTCTGCTGGTATCCTTCAAATAAACACATACTGCAAAGACATGAAGTCTAGTGTAGTGTGTTGTAATGAAATCATACCTGTGTCGAGGGTAAGTTTACTCTGACTTCACCATCATTAAGTCGTCATACCCAGAGTTGCATGACCTTGACCTTGTTCAGCTGGAACCTGGGCAGGAAGAGCTCCTCACGTTGAGGGGCAAGATCGACAAGCTGCAGGTGGGTACTGGAGGGGATGGGTGGGCCGTTCTGATGGTTGAGTTGGGAGTCAGTGGGTGGGCCGTGCTGATGGTTGAGTTGGGAGTCAGTGGGTGGGCCGTGCTGATGGTTGAGTGGGGAGTCAGTGGGTGGGCCGTGCTGATAGTTGAGTGGGGAGTCAGTGGGTGGGCCGTTCTGATGGTTGAGTGGGGAGTCAGTGGGTGGGCCGTTCTGATAGTTGGGTCGGGAGTCAGTGGGTGGGCTGTTCTGATTGTTGGGAGGGTAGTCAGTGGGTGGGTGGGCTGTTCTAATGGTTGGGTGGGGAGTGTGTGGGAAGGCTGTTCAAATGGTGAAGTAGGGGTAGAGTATGTGGCCTATTCTGATGGTTGAGTGGGGAGTGAGTGGGTGGGCAGTTCTAATGGTGTGTGTGTGTGTGTGTGTGTGTGTGTGTGTGTGTGTGTGTGTGTGTGTGTGTGTGTGTGTGTGTGTGTGTGTGTGTGTGTGTGTGTGTGTGTGTGTGCATGTGTGTGTTTGCATGTGTGTGTCTCAGGTATGATGGAGACTGCTGTGTTTGCATGTGTGTGTCTCAGGTATGATGGAGACTGCTGTGTTTGCATGTGTGTGTCTCAGGTATGATGGAGACTGCTGTTTGCATGTGTGTGTCTCAGGTATGATGGAGACTGCTGTGTTTGCATGTGTGTGGCTCAGGTATGATGGAGACTGCTGTGTTTGCATGTGTGTGTCTCAGGTATGATGGAGACTGCTGTGTTTGCATGTGTGTGTCTCAGGTATGATGGAGACTGCTGTGTTTGCATGTGTGTGTCTCAGGTATGATGGAGACTGCTGTGTTTGCATGTGTGTGTCTCAGGTATGATGGAGACTGCTGTGTTTGCATGTGTGTGGCTCAGGTATGATGGAGACTGCTGTGTTTGCATGTGTGTGTCTCAGGTATGATGGAGACTGCTGTGTTTGCATGTGTGTGGCTCAGGTATGATGGAGACTGCTGTGTTTGCATGTGTGTGTCTCAGGTATGATGGAGACTGCTGTGTTTGCATGTGTGTGTCTCAGGTATGATGGAGACTGCTGTGTTTGCATGTGTGTGTCTCAGGTATGATGGAGACTGCTGTGTTTGCATGTGTGTGTCTCAGGTATGATGGAGACTGCTGTGTTTGCATGTGTGTGGCTCAGGTATGATGGAGACTGCTGTGTTTGCATGTGTGTGTCTCAGGTATGATGTAGACTGCTGTGTGTGTGTGTGTGTGTCTCAGGTATGATGGAGACTGCTGTGTTTGCATGTGTGTGTCTCAGGTATGATGGAGACTGCTGTGTTTCAGAGGACGAAGGAGCGGGATGATCGGAAGCAAGCAGCACAGGACAGGAGGGAGGAGGCTGAAGACAGGAAGCTGATTGGACTGATAAAGGTGAGATGAAGTGACGGGATGCTGTTCAACCCCATTATGATGTCATCAGTGGAATGTCACCGTAATTATTTGATTTGCCTTATCAATTTGCTTATGTATCCCCACTGAGTATGGAAATTATTGTAGCCATTTATGCATGACATGGTACATTTATGTGAAATCTGATTCAAGTTGTGTCCCTTCATGGTGTGGCAATACTAATACTGTAAACAGCAACTTTAGTGAACGCTATGACAACACTGCTGTCAGATTTTGTAAAACAATTACTGAGGGTTTCAGAAATTCCTTAAAAGGGCTTACCTAAAAGGGCGGGCGGTCTGTAGTTATAGCAAGGAATTCTGTACGTCCATCCTTCTGAGGACATTTTTTGTGCGACCTATAACTTGAAAACTACTACTGGTACACTGATCTTTTCAAACTTGGTGAACAGTTTTTATACCTATAGGAGAGGTGCAGTGCGAAGTTTGCTTTCAATATTTTAATTTTCTGAAACAATACAGATTTTTTTACTTTTTTCCTTAGAATGGTTTTGCTTAAACATTTGTGTGACCTATAACTTATAAATTACTGCATAGATTCTTTTCAAATTTAGGAAACAGTTTTCTTACTTATAGAGGAGGTGCAGTGCAAAGTTTGATCTTGATATATGTATTTTCTGAAAAAAAATGTTTTTCATGTTTTGAACTTAAAATATTTTGTTTACTTCACCATTTGTGTGTCCTAACTTAAAAACTCCGTCATGGATACTTTTCCAATTGGGGGTACAGTTTCTATACCAATCAGAGAGATGAAGCACAAAGTTTGATATGGATAACTGGATTTTCAGAGAAAATGTTTTCCATGTTTTGAACTTCGAAATATGTTGGAGTGGAAGTCGGGGTATTCGTTAGCCCTGCTTATTTTTAGTCTTGTTGATACATGATCCTTAATAATTATTCAGGAAGAGAAAAAACTGCCATTTAGAATTTAAGAATCCTTTCTACAAAAGGTGATTGATTGGTGATGGACTTAGCTACCCAAAGATATTGTTTGTTCTTATGACCCACAATGAAACTTTGATGGTGGGAAGCATGTATAACATGGACGGACCTGACATGGCCTTGATAGGAAAAAACACGTCCAAGGGTTGTTATGATATTTAAAACCTGCATCCCGAGTGATTTTCCAAGGGAAAGGGTTTTAAATATCATAACAACCCGAGGGGAAGTGTTTCATCTTACTTATAAAATGAAAAAAGAAACTTCAAAACAACATTTATCAACATTTTTATGTTTCAAACATACTTTCCATGAACCTTAAGAAACGGGCGTAAAATATCTGTTGCTGGTGTACGGATCTTGAAAAGGACATTCTAAAAAGCAGTGCGGCTTATCAACACCTCTGTAGCCTTGTGGTACACTCACTGGGCTACAGATATGAAGGTTGCAAGTTCGATCCTTGGGAATATAAAAAAAACATTTGTCATTTGATTTTACATTTCATTACATGTTACAATCTGAACGGAAGTTATATTAATAATATACCCAGGACATTATATAAAATCCCTGGGATATTATAACACATTATATAGCAAATATGACTTGAATATCCTATAAAATCCCGGTGATATTATATAAAATCCCAGGGGCATTACAACGTCCCTGTTTATGAGATTTAACCCAACTGGAGAACAATAGGATGACGTCACCGGAGGTTTATAACTGCTGATAACAAACAAAAACGAAAACCTTGGGATGAGAAGCAGAATAGCTTGGATGGCACGACTATAAGCTTCATCAGATCTGCCATTAATGACCTGCGTGATGTTGCAGGACCGTGGCATCAAGGTGGGTGGACTGAAGAGGACGGCGGAGACGGCCAAGCTCAACCCTCTCCTGTTCACAAGTCTGGAAAGTCACAACCCATCTGGATCCAAGGTGCATGTAGATGAAAGCGGCACCATGTTCTGGCCAGTTCTGTTCTTCTATCCAGAGCATGGACAAACAGACTTCATTGAGGCTTTCAACGAGAATAATGTGTAAGTGTACGACCTGAAATCAAGGCAGGAACTGTTGGGAGGTTATCTTCATGACTGATAACAGTGGGTGATGGGGAAGCCTGATGGTTAACACCAAGCACTAGGGTTCAATTCCCAACTGGGGCGGTCCTAGTGGTTAAAGCGTTCGCTAGTCACGCCGAAGACCCGGGTTCGATTCCCGATATGGGTACAATGTGTGAAGCCCATTTCTGGTGTCCCCCCGCCGTGATATTGCTGGAATATTGCTAAAATCGGCATAAAGCCATACTCACTCACTCACTCCCAACATGAGTACTGTAAAACGTGAAATTAATGCGTCTCAAAAAGAATGCGACCGCTGGCCCCTAGCCAAAAATGCGACCCTCAGGATGCGAGAATCCTCACCTTAATCCAACCTTACATTAATCCAATCACACACCAAATAGCACCGCTTATTAGCGCTGAGTAGAGTACTTCCGCTAAAACAATACATGTGCGCTGGCTCGTGTCGGCCTTTGCCGCAGTCGCAAAGAGCAAAGACACCGTGTTGGGTGGCGTCTGTCTGGACTTGCAGGTGTGATCAGTGATGACATGAGTGAGTAGAAGGCTTGTCTTGACCCCAGCAGTGACAATTCACAGGATGTAATTAGTGTTTGAATAACATTGTTTATATACTTGTAACAAGTGCTGCTCAATAAACAGCGTTTGTCTAAGTTGGTATTTCTGCTATCCAAAATGTCTTATTGTTGATATAAATGCGATGTTTAATAATGCGAGCAAAGACCACTTGCATTTTTCGCATTTAATGCTGTGATGTGGCTGGAATATTACTAAAAGCATTCTAAAACCCTATTCACTCATTTATTAATGACAATCTTTTTGCCACTAATAGCTGATGGAGCAATAACAGTGACCAAGGATACATCTCCAGTACCCATGCTTGTCTCCGACTTGGCACTCTGACCCAGCATATGTCTCCAGTACCCCATGCTTATGTCTCAGCTGCCATTCTGACCCAGCAGGGATTTCAGAGCTAAACCATCTCTTGTCTCCCATAAAATATAATCGCTAAGGTCTATAAGAATACAATAACTCAAACTCAATTCTTTTCATAATTCATGTGGAATGATGCTTTGTACAATCAGGTTCTGGGACCACATTTGTCACATGTTTGGCCCAGGTGTGGAACCGCCGCCGTGGGATGAGGACAAAAAGTACACCCCCGAGGCTATAGAGGTGAGTATGTAGCATTTGATTGGCTGTTGCAGAAATAATGGCTTTTGATTGGTGCAAGCTTTAGACAAGTTTTTAGAACTATGAGTATGTATTGTAACGTCACATCTTCCCTTGGGGCACGAGTGGCCAAGCTACTGCAGTTCGTTATGAGTTGCTTCCCTTTGGTGTGCCTGTATTCTATGCCCATGTATCATGGATCAGGGGATTGGGCTCAGTGACTTGTTTAATTGCATGACATCGTAGCCTAAATGTGTGGATCGATCCTCATGATGTCAATTACTGGATTGTCTGGTCAAGACTCGATTATTCACAGACCTCTATCATATTGCTGTGTGAAGCCCATTTCTGGTGTCCCCCGCCGTAATATTGCTGGAATATCGCTAAAAGCGGCGTAAAATCATACTCACTCACTCACTCACTCACTCACTCACTCACTCACTCACTCACTGTCATATTGCTGGAATATTGCAGAGTGTGGTGTGACAAAAACTTGCTTGACAAATAAGTGCAATGGTGTGCTTGTCAGTAGAATTTTCCCTTGTTTGTGTGTTTCCATGGCAACAATAATCAAACAATTCTGTTGGAAGAGCGGCCTTTGTTTCCCCAAAAATATGTGTGACATAATCATAATTCCTTACACACCTTCCCTGCATGCTTGTTTGGTTTGTTCGAATAAATACACTGATACTCCCACATGAGTTTGGCATGGAATCTTGCCATCTGCCCAAGCAAGGGCGTTACTGAATATGAGAGTCCTGTTTTCATCCTTGCCAAACTAGGATGGACTTTCCAGACTCGATTGTCGCTATTATGAGTTATGTCCCTTCTATGTCCCTCCTATTGACCAACCAGATTCCACCTCTCATATCACTGGCATTTGCTGCAAACACATTAGCGGCATCCAGTCAAGACGATCTGATCGATAATCCAGCATAGTTCGGCAAGGTTGGAAACTGGACGTAAATAGTCAGTTAACGCCCTTGTCTCAGGAAGATGAAAATCTTCCTGCATGTACCCCCAAAACAGCAATTGTTTGACATTGTCCTGAACACACTAGATAGCAACATTGGACTTGGTAACATATTTTCTTGAAATAAAGCATTTTCATTGACAACAGTGGTGAACATGATTCTGCAATATTTCTATGTGTTCCCTATACTCTTCTTCAGTATATGTGAGAAGGGAGGTCAACATATACTTGATAAATGAATCTTGAATTGTGTTAATGTCATGACTTTCTGCAGTGTGTCAAACAGTTTGTACTCATGCCCCACGGATTCTGCAAGACAGTTCACCGGAACACACTTATTCCTGCACTATTTCAGATTTTCTTTGAGGATCGTGTGAAGGAAGAGCTACATAAAGTGGACCCCTCCTCCTCCCTGTTGCAAGCCATGAGGCACGAAAAGTAGGTTCATCATCATCATCATCATCATCATCATCATCATTCTTTGTTTCCACCCAGGGACTGTGGGTTGGAATCGTGTCTCCCAGTTTCCCAATGATGGGGATTAAGGGGAGACTGGTCGACTCTTAGACAGTACGCACACGCACACGGCACCTAGGTTACGTTTCTGTATTTTGACTAGGGTGTATTCCTGTATACAGAAACGTGCCTGGGGTATGTGTTGTGTTCTGTTCTGTGCCGACGACGACCCCTTCAGCAGCACTAACAGTTGTCAGTCCATGGCTTGAAACCCCAGTCAGTTCCTTGCCACTGATAATGGTTCTGTACAGCAGCATTTTAAGAAACATCATTGGGTACACATTCGTTAGCACTCCAACTCAACTACAATAGCTAAGTGAGAGACTGCATCTGTTTATACAGACACTGTTCTTTTATCCCAACATCCAGTACAAAAGCACTCCTCATTTTGGTCCATGCAGGAAGCAAAGGCACTGTAAGTCCCCATGGTCCCTGGTATGGTGATCTCCCTTTAGTTACTGACGATCTCTAGCCCATTTTTATATTGTGTTGTTCACTAATACTTATGACTTTTATATATTCTCAACTAGTTTTGAATAGACTCTGTGATATTCTAGTTATTGTACTGTCCATCGTTGACAGCTTTTTATATTGTATAAATATATGTATCATGAATGTACTTCTCGTCACGATATGGCTAAAATACTGCCGATGTGACGTTGAATCTTAACTCACTCACTCACTCATGTATACTCACCAACAAAAGAAACATGGATACCATATATGTTGGTTAATATATGAAGAATTACTCATATTCAAGAGATATTAGATTGGTTTGATGCACAAACGAACATACTGTTATGTTGTGTGAACCAACGCTCATGAACGCATCACATGACGTCATAGATCCATGACTCGAGATGCACCATTTGTGTCGTGCAGGATTAGCGTGTAAAGTTGGAAATCATGTGCAGCATATGATAAGAATAAAGACACTCTGTGGTAACACTTGACTGATTCTTAGTTTTGTCATTAATTGGTACACATTGGAAACTGCCCTTCTTATAAACATTGGAAACTGCCCTTAGGGGCGGTCGGGTAGCCTAGTGATTAAAGGGTTCGCTCGTCATGCTGAAGACCCGGGTTCAATTCCCGACATGGTACAATGTGTGAAGCCCATTTCTGGTGTCCCTGCCCTGATATTGCTTGGATAATGCTAAAAGCGGCGTAAAACCATACTCACTCTTATAAACGTACATACTTCTATATGTTTCTATAGTTCGCGTTTCTTTTGTCGGTGAGTATATTTGAGTGCACCTGTACCAGCTGTTCTGATTGTCATCATGTGTTGCAGGTTCACGGTGAATGCGGGCACGCCCTGTTTTATCCTGTTGGTGGTGGGCTCGAAGTGCTGGACAGATTATCTCAAACGATACAATTATGAAACATGATGCTCGATTAATAAATTTTAAAACATGAAGATTTTGCCTTTTTACTGGATCCCAGAGAGTTTGAATGTTTCTTGTCATCTGGAATCAACTTGAAGATCCTAAACTGAAACACTTTGAAAATGCAAATTCATTTCTGCTCAGTCAAGCTCAGCAACTAAGGGAGACAACTCTGCACTGGCAATTGCAGCACCTTGAATCACAAATGCCATAGGCCCACTGTGTACCACCATAGACCCAGAGTGTACCCCCATAGACCCACAGTGTACTACCATAGATCACAATAGACCCACAGTGTACTACCATAGACCCTCAGTGTACCACCATAGACCACTGTGTACTACCATAGACCACTGTGTACTACCATAGACCACTGTGTACTACCATAGACCACAGTGTACTACCATAGACCACTGTGTACCACCATAGACCACAGTGTACTACCATAGACCACAGTGTACTACCATAGACCACTGTGTACTACCATAGACCACTGTGTACTACCATAGACCACAGTGTACTACCATAGACCACTGTGTACCACCATAGACCACAGTGTACTACCATAGACCACAGTGTACTACCATAGACCACTGTGTACTACCATAGACCACTGTGTTCAACCCACCATACTTTCACTCACGCTGAACGATAAAACTAAACACGCCTTTCAGAAACATTGCTTTAATATAAGGAAATCATGTAGTGCATCACCAACACAGAGAACAGAGGGAAGTGTACTGGTGTTCCCGTAATGGAGGAAAGGGATGCATTAGGGTTTCAGTAAAACTGCATCAGAACTATCAGCAACACGGCATGGTATCACAACCTCTGTAGACGATTGACAGCACTGGGCACGATTCTGAAACGCCAAAAAGACTTCATTGGACAAACTTTATGCAACTATCTTTGATAAGACAATTTTTACCAATCAAGGTCGTCTACTGTTGATGGGGAATACAAATATGAAAATGTTTATTGATCATATTTTAGAACAATTCTCCGTTCCTCTCTGGCCAATGAGCGCTCAGATCAGATTGCGAAGATAGACTGGTTTTCCTGTCTTGCAGCCGCTAGAAGAAGGCGCTTGTCTTATCGCGGAGACGGCAATATTAATCGTGCAGCATTGGCTACGACCATGGGGCCATCTTCTCAACACACTGCTTGCGATAAAAGGCGAACTTTTGCACAAAATTCAAACATGGCGTTCATTTAACTTCTATGAGTTATAACCGGCCTCATTTCACTGATTGACTGAAAATAGACACGCGTCACTACTACACCCCATTTCGACTGTGTGTATTCACGGGTTATGAGTGAGTGAGTGAGCCGTGTTTAACGCCGCTTTGAACAGTTTTCCAGTTATATCACGGCGTGTCAGCTTAATGTGGAAGAAAAGTAATGCAGGTCTTAGACGTTTACCACTTTGGTGAAACCAACGAGCACGGGTATGGTGCTGACAAAACCGAGAAACATACTCTGGCCGAACCAGGATTCGAACCAACAAGGGACGCAACTCTGTACAGTGAAGAAGTGTAGAAGACTGGGCCACCCGCGCCCTCCGGGTGATGAGGAAACTATTTTGGCAAGCTCCACAACAGGGAAGTCCACATCATCCCACTAATACTGCGCCCTATATCTGTCCCAATTTACACGATCTTGTTTCTATATTCATTGTTTGTTTGTTTGTTGGTTTGTTGGTTGTTTAACGCTGCACCCAGCAATAATCCAGCTATATGGCAGCGGTCTATAAATAATTGAGTCTTGACCAGACAATCCAGTGATTGATATCATGAGCATCGATCCACGCAGTTGGGATACGATGACATGCATCAACCAAGTCAGTGAGCCTGTCCACCCGATCCCGTTAGTCTCCGACAAGCATTCTGTTTGTGAAAGTTAGTATTTGCTGAGTCAGGCTGAAGGCGTGGCATGGCTGAGGGTTTTTCCTGAAGTGCACCCTGTGTTTGAGGTACAGTGCACAATGAGGTATTGGATTATAGGTTCCCATAATCCTACCCTTATCCCTATCCCACGCTAAATATATTTACAGACAGCCAGAGGTCTTCAGCAACCCATGCTTGCCATAAAAGGCGACTATGCTTGTCGTAAGAGGCGAGAAATGGGATCGGGTGGTCAGGCTCGCTGACTTGGTTGATGGATGTATCCCAGTTGCGTGGATTGATGCTCATGATGTCAATCACTGGATTGCCTTTTCCAGACTCGATTATTTACCGACCGCCCTCATACAGCTGGAATATTGGTGAGTGGGGTGTTAAACAACAAACAACAACAGGCAGCCAGGACCATCGCATTCCCTCACTCCCTCACCCCACAGACAGATTTATAAGACCAGTTTACTTACAGCAATAAGGTGGATTCCCAGCGGTTTTGAGGAAGAAAGTGCCATGGAGGTTGCGGTCGGCGAAGTAGCCCATGCGGGAGCAGGGCGTGTCGTCGCTGCAGCTGCACTTCCCTGCCTTAAAGTCGGCCCAGTTGTCGCAGGGGACGGCGGTGTAGTGACACATTGCGATGGAAGCCCAGAAGAAGTCAACGGCGCGGCTGTGACTGCACGAGGCGCCATTGATGAGACCTGAGAGGAGACGGCAGTTACAGAGGAAAAGTCCTTGGTGAGTGAGTTGTGGTAAACCCCGTTTTTGAACAGCATTTCAGTTATATCAGAGCGTGAGTGGGTGAGTTTGGTTTTACGCCGCTTTTAGCAATATTCTAGCAATATCACACGGGGAACACCAGAAATAGGCTTCACGCATCGAACCCGGGTCTTCGGCGTGACGAGCGAACGCTTTAACCACTAGTCTACCCGACCGCCCATCTCACATGATGTGGAAGTAAAGGCTAGCGTGATGAAGGCCGCAGACATTGACCACTTTGGTGGAATCCACAGAACTGGTATCGTGTTAACAAACATGGAGCCATAATCAAAGCGACACGGGATTCGAACCCATGACCATAGGATTCCTGTGCGCTAGACACATACCCTTGATACCACCTGTCACCAGCTCAAAGAGGTGGTCGCCAGCGTTCTTGGGACATCCCTCCTGGTCGAAGCCACCGGCAGGGTAGAAGTCGGCGTGACCCATCCGTCGCATCATACCGAATCCTGGAACAAAACACGCCCAATTGGTACCCCTGTATTAACAAGAACGTTAATAAAGTCCGGGTGATGTACGATCGATGAGGGCACAGGCCCCTGAAACAGGATAGTGATATATCTGAAACACCGGAACCATATATAGAAATAGACAAGGTACGTCACTCGCCATCTTGACCGAAGATGAAATCGGCTGTATCGTTTAAATGTCATGTTAAACGTGCGCATGTCATATTCACAATATCTCCCCACCCCACTCCACATACGCCCTGCATGCCGCAAAGCTTAATGTTTTTTTGTACTTTAATACCTATATCGGTGATTTTATCGAAATATTGGCTCATATCAGTCGCGTCTGTCGGTTGCGCAAGTCGCGGACCAATCACAGGACTCGACGCCATTGAGCGCGGAGATTTCTTGTTTACTTCCATTACCGAGAGCCGCGACTGGGCAAATATTTCGATAAAATCATATATTTATTTTGGCTGGACTAACGAGTCTATGCATAGCCCAATCAAAACCGCGTAACGAAATCAACATCCGGTTCATAAACTGTCGTGCAGATTTCGGTCGATTGCAGGATTTGCCAAACAAGTGTACCGTTAACCAGAGACCATATATTATATCAACAGATATTTTCCAAATGTTTTCATGTTTTTAATCAAGGTGCTTACGTGATTTGATGCACTTCGCGAAGTTAGACCCGTTTTATTACAATATTGATCTTGATTAGCGATCAGATCGTCTTCACTAGGAGCCGCCATTTTGTTTGAAGCAAATGCAAGAGATATTAGAGGTGGAATCTGATTGGTCAATAGGAGGGATAGCCACTGGTGGTGTTACGATCCAACCCAGAATTTTTCGGCCTAGTTCGGCAAGGGTGGAAACTGGACAAGTTAGTTAACTCCCTTGCCTCGGGAAGATGGACGCAGAGTGGCATTGTCAACCACTGGTTTGCCTTCTTCTGGACTTATCTCCTTTTATACCACTCTTTTGTTTCTACACGTTGTTAGTCTTCGTAACGACCCCGCACAAGCCTCGACCGTCGGTTCACGGTTTTGCATCGTCGCGCAAAGCACAGCGCGTTGGCGCCCCCCTGGGGGCGATATGAACTTCAACGCTTTCGTGGAGGGCGCTCACCCATACATCATACCTGCTGCAGCTGCAACTACTCACCCAACTTGATCAGATGTTCCGCATCTGTGTGCAAGACGTCCACGAACATGGCGTCCGTCTTGTCCAGTCTGATGTCAGTGTTGTCCCTGTCGAACGACGGGCCAGCTGGATCCATCCCTGCGGACACATACAGAAACCCTTTATGTGGCTAACCTCATACAACAAACCTACGTTCTTAAACGCAATGATGCTACGACTAAGCTAAACAGGGTGGGTGTCGTTTAAGTGTGGGAATAATCTTGAACGCGACGTTAAACCCAATTTGACTTTACCTCACCATTTAGTCCGTCAACTATCATTTTGGCACCCGTTTTTTTTTACATTAAACCCAAATTATAGCTAAAATGGATAGAATTATCATTAACCGCCCACACGTTATCAGAAAGGGGCGGGCCACTGTAACTTGATAATGCCGTCATATTGCTTGACGACGGGCCATTATCAAGCCTGTTGTTAGGTGACGTCATAGGGTAGAGAAATGACGTCACGTATAATAGTGACGTCATCTATTTTGTTCTATGACGTTTCCATATTTGTAAAATGTGGTCAGTGACATTCGTGTTGATTGCAGTAGATGTTTCAAAACCGATGTTGTTGTTTCTTTTTATTTGATAACAAATTCCATCCATTTTAGCTATAATAACGGTAACGCTCTTTTTCAGGGCATTATCATTTGCAGAAGCCCTCGGTTAATGGAAAACCTCGAGCTTCTACAAATGATAATGCCCTGAAAAATAGCGTTACCCTTATAATAACGCGCCAAAATTTGGTTATTATCGACAAAACTGGTACTTCTGGTTAGGTGAATGATTATTCGTCGATAATATCCTACTTCTGCCGCACGGTTGTGTAAAAACGGGTACTAAAAGAATGGTTGGCGGACCAGAGTGTAGGACAGTACCCGTTGTACCGTTCTGTATTCCAGGTCGGTGTATTCTGATATAGGCAATATCATTAAAATATTATCTTAGTTCTCGTTACTGCCAAACAAAGATCTAAAGACACCCTATTACAGATCACGTCACTACGTCCTCTCGCGTACTTTGACCGACAAAACAACAAGTCGACATTAGCCAATCAGAAAGCAGCTTTCCCGAGTTTTACGGCGTTTGTTTCTAACTGGCGACTCCCATTCCAGACTACACTTTGACGAATATCGATTCAGAAATTTTTTTTAAATAAACAAAAGAAAATTCTCGAATGTCTAATGTCCGAGGTTTCCGTGGGTTATCCATAGGAAAGTATCTTCTGTTTTAAATGATTTTCCATTTGAAGCGACTAATAGACGTAGATCTCTACAGCCCGTAACTGTCGTTCGGAATACCTCGTGTTAGCCTTTTCGAGCTAGCATGATTAGAAAGTATATTCCGATTGTCACTTTCCAGATTTGGTAAGCGATGATTGGTCGGATGAAAGGTCGTTTTGACAGGATCCGTTATGGAATGTATTCAGATCTTGGTAGATATGATTATTGGTGTACAGAAATCGATACTGTCCAATCGTGGTCTGCGTAAACATTCATACACGTTCTGTCCAATGTTAAATCAGGCCGTTTTTACAATGTGATCAGTCTGCAGTAAGACTTGTACCTTACGAACAATTCTTACGTTTCTAAACCACCCGTGGAGATCCGGGTAGAGAATGGGTATTCAGCAACCCCTGCTTGCCATACGAGGCGACTGTGCTTGTAAGAGGCAACTAACCGGAATCGGTTGATGCATGTCATCGTATCCCATTTGGATAGATCGATGCTCTTAATGTCAATTAGTGGATTGTCTGGTCCAGACTTGATAATTTACAGACTGCCGTCATATAGCTTGAATATTGCTGAGTGCGGCGTTAAACAACAAACAAACAAACAAATAAGATCACCTTGTTTATGTATTGGCACACTTATTCCGATTGAACCTCCGTTTTCTAGTATACATATCGCCGCGAATAGCTGCAAAATTGCTGATGCGGCGTTAAGCATTATTCACTCACTCACTCTAGTATACATAAGAGTTCGAGATAAGGGAGTAATAGATCTGCTGAATGTTTAAACCATTCAAGAAACATTGTATATTAAGAAACAAACATTTCTAAACACAAGGCTATCACAGAAGTATTTTAATAATTCACTCTGCTGCCATTTCTCCTGCGTTTAAAATTGAATTTAATGGCAATGGACTTTGCATAAACGAAAAAGGCTCTTGGTAACTGTTGGTACTAAAGCCTCGGTCTAGTTCCCTCGCATCAACCTGGAATCCCGACTACATTTGTACTCTACCTGTAATTCGCCCAAGCTGTCCGTGAAGCCGTTGTCCCACTTGGCCGCTGATGTGGGCGCCGAGGCTGTGGCCGATGACGTGCATGTCGCTGTAGTGTGTGCCCATTTCGTTCAAGGCCTGCAAGAACGTTGCCAGCATGGATGCCACTAGTCTTGTGTTGGATGCTGCCTGGTCGTAGATCTTGGGGGATGCGCCAAGCTGCCAGTTGACGCGGAACACATTGAAATCTCCCTGTTTGGATAGCAGAATGCAGAAACATAAAGCTGAATAAACGATGGTCTCTATGCTGAAGCTGATGACGTACATAAATGTCTATGCTGAAGCTGATGACGTACATAAATGCCTCTATGCTCAAGCTGATGACGGACATTAATGTCTATGCTCAAACTGATGACGGGCATTAATGTCTATGCTCAAGCTGATGACGTTCATCGATGTCTCTATGCTAAAGCTGATGACATACATAAATGTCTCTACATCGATGTCATCTAGGTGACAGGAAGATAATGCAAGAGTATAATCGAGGTGACAGGAAGATAATACAAGAGTGTAATCTAGATGACAGGAAGATAATACAAGAGTTTAATCGAGGTGAAAGGAAGATAATGCAAGAATATAATCTAGGTGACAGGAATATAATTTAAGAGAATAATCGAAGTGACAGGAAGATAATGCAAGAGTATAATCTAGATGACAGGAAGATAATGCAAGAATATAATGACAGGAAGATAATGCAAGAATATAATCTAGATGACAGGAAGATAATACAAGAATATAATCTAGATGACAGGAAGATAATACAAGAATATAATCTAGGTGACAGGAAGATAATGCAAGAATATAATCTAGATGACAGGAAGATAATACAAGAATATAATCTAGGTGACAGGAAGATAATGCAAGAATATAATCTAGATGACAGGAAGAAAATGCAAGAATATAATCTAGGTGACAGGAATATAATTTAAGAGAATAATCGAGGTGACAGGAAGATATTGCAAGAATGTAATCTAGATGACAGGAAGATAATACAAGAATATAATCTAGGTGACAGGAAGATAATACAAGAATATAATCTAGGTGACAGGAAGATAATGCAAGAATTTCATCTCGGTGACAGGAAGATAATGCAAGAATAGAATCCAGGTGACAGGAACATAATTTAAGAGAATAATTGAGGTGACAGGAAGATAATGCAAGAATGTAATCTAGATGACAGGAAGATAATACAAGAATATAATGACAGGAAGATAATGCAAGAATATAATCTATGTGACAGGGAGATAATGCAAGAATATAATCTAGATGACAGGAAGATAATGCAAGAATATAATCTAGATGACAGGAAGATAATGCAAGAATATAATCTAGATGACAGGAAGATAATGCAAGAATATAATCTCGGTGACAGGAAGATAATGCAAGAATATAATCTCGGTGACAGGAAGATAATGCAAGAATATAATCTCGGTGACAGGAAGGTAATGCCAGAATGTCATGGACGGATGACTCACTATGTCAAGCAATGCCCGCTCAATGTTAGCCACCCATTCCGAGAGACAGTCGTCGGTGTAGCCGTGAATGATGAGGTAGGTGCGTTTCCCGACGGCGTAGTTGCTTTGGGAGATGCTGAATCTGTCGTCGTCTGTGTTGAGCCATTGTGGGTAGTACTTGTTCTCCCGGGTGTACAGGGCTAGTTGCATTCCCTGCTCTTCGGGCGTCTGGGGGATGCAGCCCTTCGTGTTGTCAAACGGAGTATCGTTGTCGAAACAGCCGAACAACCCGAAACATTCCCTCTTTATCTTCGACCCAAAGAACCAGCCTGCAACATTTCATTAAATGATAGAGTGAATACTTTTCAACCCCGCAGTCAGCAATATTCAAACTATATCACGGGGGACTGCAAAAATTCGAGTCTCGACCAGGCAAACCGGTGACTAGAAGCATTAGCAATGGTCCATTTCATCTGAGTACGATGACATACAATCAACCAAGCAAAAGAGACCACGTGATCCCTATTGTTAATCGTCTCTTACGGCAAGCAGGAAGTTCGGGGACCCAGTCTGACCCGGAATGCCCACAAGGACTTTTAATTATAAGCAGTACCTGATATCCATAAATATCAACGAGAAGCCCTCACTGGATATACAGTAACTCTTCGTATCGTCTTTAGGGACCGACCTTTTAATATTCTGGGGCGGACCCTGGGATAATGTATCGAGATAGGATATTATTTCAGCTTCAGCAACAAAACCATATATATCGTTTTTAATTTAAAACTATGAGTCTGAATATCCTTTAAGAAGAACACCTTGAAACAATTTAATTTATGTGGCAGGCAATTTCTTTTATTTCCAAAGGTCTGAAACATAACTCTCTCTTTTTCAAGAATGTTCATGGGCAATTTATTCTTTTCGATAAATTCCCAGTCAAGTTTTCACACATCCACTACCCCGAACAGCTAGTGCAACAGGCAATACAGAGCATCACCCAGAAATCTCCCCATCAGCAACCACAGAATCCATAGACTCTTAAAGAAACAGGCCAGCATCCAAGTCAGCTCTATTAGACCATATCCGTGACAACCCCAGCCACAGCATCCAGTGGGACAAAATCAAAAGCAACCAACCTCAAAGACTTCAAAATCAGAAAACACCAAGAAGTCATCAACATCAAACAATCAATCAATAACAAAAAAGACTATTACATAACCCACACGCACCATCAAGAGCCCAATCAATCGTAACCTATTTGTTTAGGATACTGGCTCCAGCTGTTGAGATGTTTACCTTATATCACCCGTTTTGTGTACATACAGGCTTCGGGGGCACGGGTGGTCCAGTCGTCTAAGGCGCCGCGATTCGCTGTGCAGAGTTGCGTCCCTTGGGCACGCCAGAAACCTATGATTGTGGGTTCGATTATGTTTCTAGGTTTGTCAGCACCATACCCGTGCTGGTGGGTTTCACCGAAGTGGTAAACGTCTGAGACCTGCATCACTTCGGGCTTTCCTCCCACATTAAGCTGACACACCGTGATATAACTGGAATACTGTTAAAAGCGGCGTCACACCCAACTCACTCACTCACCATACAGGCTTCTCACTCCAGTGTAATTACATCCTAATCTACTCAACTGTATAAACACTGCCTCCTACCTGTATATATATACTTGTCATCAATACTCTGTATATCACTTGCTTGATAAGACCCGTGAAGATTCCGGGGTAGAATAGGTCTTCAGCAACCCATACTAGCCGTAGAAGGCGACTATGCTTGTCGTAAAAGGCGACTAACGGGATCGGGTGGTCAGGCTCGCTGACTTGGTTGATACATGTCATCGATCCCAATTGCGTGGATCGATGCTCATGATATCAATCACTGGACTATCTGGTCCAGACTCGATTATTTACAGACCGCCGTCATATAGCTGGAATATTGTTGAGTGCGGCGTTAAACAACAAACAACAACAACTTGCTTGATAACGTGTTAGAACCTATATACACCGAAACGTCGCTTCTAAGTGTAATAACGAAGTTGTTCATTCTGAAGTAACTTCTCAGTGCCACTAAAAGAAATAAAGAACTGTCCTTATCAATTGGACTTGGGTTCCGTTACATTGTTTAGCATTTACATACGGCCCTGGTTAATGTTTATCTGGGAATCAGTTTATCATAATGCATTATTTCAGAGTATGGGAGTAGTGTTTCTAACTATTGAAGTACAATCGTATTTGTTAAACTGTTCAGCCCGGTTGGTTGTGATCGTCGCAATAAAGCTGCAATAATGATGACTTCCGATTCAAATAACATTCGCTCAGTCACACACGCACGCACGCGCGCGCACACACACGCATACACACGCGCACATACACTCACACACACACACGCACACTCACTCACACACTCTCTCATTCTCTCTCACACACACTCACGCACACACACACACACTCTCTCACACACTCACTCACGCACACACACACTCTCTCTCTCTCTCTCTCTCTCTCTCTCACACACACACACACACACACACTTTACCCTTCCCACTTGTTACAAGTGAGGACCGTGATAGTTAAATGTTCATTCAACACCTTAAAGTTCAAATGGAAATGTGCCAATCACTTCAGTTGTCAAAACAGTGACAAGCGCAAAGCGTTCTAAATATTGGTCTTTCATGCAATCAAACAGCGCTTCGTAGTTTAACAGATCTGTCAAATATACGTCAACAAAAGCACCAGATTACTAATATCAATTTGAGTGTTTCTTGGCATCCCACTGAATATATTAACCATGTTATAACCGCAAATGTCATTTCAAAACTTCCTAAGTGAACTTATCCATCAACGTCAGTTTGGACAAAACGGCTCTACGCCTTCTCCTGACACTGACACAATAAGAGGCGGGTCGGTGCCGTCCTTGGTCTTCTAATGATAGTCTGATAGAAACGACCATTGAAACGTGATGAATTACGAAAGCGAATGTGATATATATATATGTAAATATATATCATAACTGGGGCACTGCAGTACTGCGGGCAAGGTCGATATAATGTAATGCGCTCAGCGCACTTATCAAAAGTGCATTATGTGATTGACACGCCAAAAAGAAACTGAAGTATAGGCCAGTGGTGCATACCGTAAACGCAATGTGCCATCTCACATTTAACTTCCATAGACCGTAGTACTTATAGGCAGTGGGATAAACCGTGTGCCCTACTTTCTGACTGAACTGAACTGGACTGAACTGGACTGGACTGAACTGAACTGAACTGAACTGAACTGAACTAATCTGCACTGGTCTGGACTGGACTGAACTGAACTGAACTGAACTGAACAAGATTTACACTCATTTCGCTAGCAGCGATCACAGAATCACAATTCTCAAGTCTTGATGATACAAGAAATTACATGATAACAATGAAGAAAATATTTTTAATCGGACATGACATATTACAAAACTGTGACTGTTTAATATTCGATAATAACCAACCTATGTCGTGTAATTGTGTGTTTGATGGAAACCAGTTGTGAAAATCGGCTTCCAAAGTGATGGTTGACAGGCTATTGTGTATTATCCGTCGGCATCCCCATAGCCCAATCCGTGGACTACCCTAAATGCCCTATCCGTCGACTACCCTAGTGCCCTTTCCGTCGACTTCCCTAGTGCCCCATCCGTCGACTACACAAATGCCCAATCTGTCGACTACCCAAATGCCCAATCTGTCGACTACCTAAATGCCCTATCCGTCGACTACCCCAGTGCCCTATCCGTTGACTACCTAAATGCCCTATCCGTCGACTACCTAAATGCCCCATCCGTCGACTACCCTGGTGCCCAATCTGTCGACTACCTTAATGCCCCATCCGTCGACTACCCTAGTGCCCTATGCGTCGACTAGGGCTACCTAAATGCCCTATCCGTCGACTACCTAAATGCCCCATCCGTCGACTACCCTAGTGTCCCATCCGTCGATTACCTTAATGCCCCATCCGTCGATTACCTTAATGCCCAATCTGTCGACTACCTAAATGCCCAATCTGTCGACTACCTAAATGCCCAATCTGTCGACTACCATACCCGTGCACGCGGGTTTCACCAAACTGGTAAACGGATGAGGGTAGCATCACTTCGGGCCTTCCTCCCAAGCTGAGATGCCGTAAAATAATTTTTGTGTTTATTTGTTTGTGTTTAACGCCGCACTCAATATTCCAGCTATACGACCAGCTGTAAATAATCAAGTCTGGACCAGACAATCCTGTGACTGACATCATGAACATCGATCCACGCAATTGGGATACGATGACATGAATCAACCAAGTCAGCGAGACTGACCACCCGATCCCGTTAGTCGCCTCTTAAGGCAAGCATAGCCGCCTTTTATGGCAAGCATGGGTTGCTGTAGACCTATTCTACCCCGGATGTTATATGAGTGCAGAATAGGTGTCGGTCTTACCATCAGCCACGGCACAGAGAACGAGCAGAAGCAGCAGACCTCTCATCGTGAAGAACAGCTCCAGGGGCACCGGGCACGTCTCTGTGACTCTGTCTCTCCACCAGCAGGTACTACGACTTCAGCGAACGCAGGATGCATTTTAAACCGTTTTACTTCACCAGATCCGCCAATCAGAAGTCTTGTCCCGGGTAGCTGCCCATCAATAGGTGCCAGGCAACTAGGTGACGGGTATATCCCTAACAGTCACTGATTGTTGGAGCTTGTACAGCGTGCACTGTTATTGGTGGAAACAGCGCATTCATTCCTACACACGCGCACATGCACGTGAGTGCGAGTGGAAAAGTAGCTGACACCTTTACTCATATCTCTATGTGAATTATCTGTACAATTTATAACTTTGTACTGAATGCCAACTATATTAATTATGCACATACACAAGATAATCTACCTCAGCAACAACGTGCCTACATTCCACACCAAAAGCCGACACCACCCACCATAACGTGCCTACTTTCCACACCAAAATCCTACACCACCCACCATAACGTGCCTACATTCCACACCAAAAGCCTACACCACCCACCATAACGTGCCTACACATCACACCACTTGTCTACACATCACACCATAACGTGCCTACACTTAACACCATAACGTGCCTTCAAATCACACCATAGCCTGCCTTCAAATTATACCATAACATGCCTTTACATCACACAATCACATGTCTTCACGTCACAACGTAACGTGCCTTCACATCACACAACCACATGTCTTCACGACACAACATAACGTGCCTTCACTTCACACAACCACTTGTCTACACATCACAACATAACGTGCCTTCAAATCACACCATTACATGTCTTCAAATCACACCATAACGTGCCTTCAAATCACACCAAAACCTGCCTTCAAATCACACAACAACTTGTCTTCACATCACACCACTTGTCCACACATCACACCATAACATGTCTTCAAATCACACCATGACGTGTCTTCAAATCACACCATAACGTGTCTTCACATCACACCATAACCTGCCTTCAAATCACACCATGTGTCTTCAAATCACACCATAGCGTGTCTTCAAATCACACCATAACGTGTCTTCACATCACACCATAACCTGCATTCAAATCACACCATAACGTGCCTTCAAATCACACCATAACGTGTCTTCAAATCACACCATAACGTGTCTTCAAATCACACCATAACGTGCCTTCAAATCACACCATAACGTGTCTTCAAATCACACCAAAACGTGCCTTCACATCACACAATAACGTGCCTTCAAATCACACAACCACTTGTCTTCACAACACACTTGTCCACACATCACACCATAACATGCCTTCAAATCACACCATAACGTGTCTTCAAATCACACCATAACGTGTCTTTAAATCACACCATAACGTGTCTTCAAATCACACCATAACGTGTCTTCACATCACACCAACACCTACCTTCAAATCACACCATAATGTGTCTTCAAATCACACTATAACGTGTCTTCAAATCACACCATAATGTGTCTTCAAATCACACCATAACGTGCCTTCAAATCACACCATAAAGTGTCTTCAAATCACACCAAAACGTGCCTTCACATCACACCATTACATGTCTTCAAATCACACCATAACATGCCTTCAAATCACACCATAACGTGTCTTCAGATCACACCATAACGTGTCTTCAAATCACACCATAACGTGTCTTCAAATCACACCATAATGTGTCTTCAAATTACACCATAACGTGTCTTCAAATTACACCATCACGTGCCTTCAAATCACACCAAAAGGTGCCTTCAAATCACACCATAACGTGTCTTCAAATTACACCATTACGTGCCTTCAAATCACACCAAAAGGTGCCTTCACGTCATACCATAACGTGCCTTCAAATCACACCATTACGTGCCTTCAAATCACACCATAACGTGTCTTCACATCACACAATAACGTGTCTTCAAATCACACCATAACGTGTCTTCAAATCACACCATAACCTGCCTTCACATCAGACCATAACCTGCCTTCACATCACACAACCACCTGTCTACAGATCACCACAGCGTGCATACACACAATCATCAACGTTTTTCCACTACCCACAACGTGTTTCCACTACCCACAACGTGTTTCCACTACCAACGTGTTTCACTACCCACAACGTGTTTCACTACCCACAACGTGTTTCACTACCCACAACGTGTTTCCACTACCCACAACGTATTTCCACTACAACAACGTGTTTCAATACCCACAACGTGTTTCAATACCCATGGTTGTGATCGTCGCAATAAAGCTGCAATAATGATGACTTCCGATTCAAATAACATTCGCTCAGTCACACACGCACGCACGCGCGCGCACACACACGCATACACACGCGCACATACACTCACACACACACACACGCACACTCACTCACACACTCTCTCATTCTCTCTCACACACACTCACGCACACACACACACTCTCTCACACACTCACGCACACACACTCTCTCTCTCTCTCTCTCTCTCTCTCTCTCTCTCACACACACACACACACACACACACACACACACACACACACACACACACACTTTACCCTTCCCACTTGTTACAAGTGAGGACCGTGATAGTTAAATGTTCATTCAACACCTTAAAGTTCAAATGGAAATGTGCCAATCACTTCAGTTGTCAAAACAACTAACAGTGACAAGCGCAAAGCGTTCTAAATATTGGTCTTTCATGCAATCAAACAGCGCTTCGTAGTTTAACAGATCTGTCAAATATACGTCAACAAAAGCACCAGATTACTAATATCAATTTGAGTGTTTCTTGGCATCCCACTGAATATATTAACCATGTTATAACCGCAAATGTCATTTCAAAACTTCCTAAGTGAACTTATCCATCAACGTCAGTTTGGACAAAACGGCTCTACGCCTTCTCCTGACACTGACACAATAAGAGGCGGGTCGGTGCCGTCCTTGGTCTTCTAATGATAGTCTGATAGAAACGACCATTGAAACGTGATGAATTACGAAAGCGAATGTGATATATATATATGTAAATATATATCATAACTGGGGCACTGCAGTACTGCGGGCAAGGTCGATATAATGTAATGCGCTCAGCGCACTTATCAAAAGTGCATTATGTGATTGACACGCCAATAAGAAACTGAAGTATAGGCCAGTGGTGCATACCGTAAACGCAATGTGCCATCTCACATTTAACTTCCATAGACCGTAGTACTTATAGGCAGTGGGATAAACCGTGTGCCCTACTTTCTGACTGAACTGAACTGGACTGAACTGGACTAGACTGAACTGAACTGAACTGAACTGGACTGGACTGGACTGAACTGAACTAATCTGCACTGGTCTGGACTGGACTGAACTGAACTGAACTGAACTGAACTGAACTGAACTGAACCAGATTTACACTCATTTCGCTAGCAGCGATCACAGAATCACAATTCTCAAGTCTTGATGATACAAGAAATTACATGATAACAATGAAGAAAATATTTTTAATCGGACATGACATATTACAAAACTGTGACTGTTTAATATTCGATAATAACCAACCTTCGTCGTGTAATTGTGTGTTTGATGGAAACCAGTTGTGAAAATCGGCTTCCAAAGTGATGGTTGACAGGCTATTGTGTATTATCCGTCGGCATCCCCATAGCCCAATCCGTGGACTACCCTAAATGCCCTATCCGTCGACTACCCTAGTGCCCTTTCCGTCGACTTCCCTAGTGCCCCATCCGTCGACTACACAAATGCCCAATCTGTCGACTACCCAAATGCCCAATCTGTCGACTACCTAAATGCCCTATCCGTCGACTACCCCAGTGCCCTATCCGTTGACGACCTAAATGCCCTATCCGTCGACTACCTAAATGCCCCATCCGTCGACTACCCTGGTGCCCAATCTGTCAACTACCTTAATGCCCCATCCGTCGACTACCCTAGTGCCCTATGCGTCGACTAGGGCTACCTAAATGCCCTATCCGTCGACTACCTAAATGCCCCATCCGTCGACTACCCTAGTGTCCCATCCGTCGATTACCTTAATGCCCCATCCGTCGATTACCTTAATGCCCAATCTGTCGACTACCTAAATGCCCAATCTGTCGACTACCTAAATGCCCAATCTGTCGACTACCATACCCGTGCACGCGGGTTTCACCAAACTGGTAAACGGATGAGGGTAGCATCACTTCGGGCCTTCCTCCCAAGCTGAGATGCCGTAAAATAATTTTTGTGTTTATTTGTTTGTGTTTAACGCCGCACTCAATATTCCAGCTATACGACCAGCTGTAAATAATCAAGTCTGGACCAGACAATCCTGTGACTGACATCATGAACATCGATCCACGCAATTGGGATACGATGACATGAATCAACCAAGTCAGCGAGACTGACCACCCGATCCCGTTAGTCGCCTCTTAAGGCAAGCATAGCCGCCTTTTATGGCAAGCATGGGTTGCTGTAGACCTATTCTACCCCGGATGTTATATGAGTGCAGAATAGGTGTCGGTCTTACCATCAGCCACGGCACAGAGAACGAGCAGAAGCAGCAGACCTCTCATCGTGAAGAACAGCTCCAGGGGCACCGGGCACGTCTCTGTGACTCTGTCTCTCCACCAGCAGGTACTACGACTTCAGCGAACGCAGGATGCATTTTAAACCGTTTTACTTCACCAGATCCGCCAATCAGAAGTCTTGTCCCGGGTAGCTGCCCATCAATAGGTGCCAGGCAACTAGGTGACGGGTATATCCCTAACAGTCACTGATTGTTGGAGCTTGTACAGCGTGCACTGTTATTGGTGGAAACAGCGCATTCATTCCTACACACGCGCACATGCACGTGAGTGCGAGTGGAAAAAGTAGCTGACACCTTTACTCATATCTCTATGTGAATTATCTGTACAATTTATAACTTTGTACTGAATGCCAACTATATTAATTATGCACATACACAAGATAATCTACCTCAGCAACAACGTGCCTACATTCCACACCAAAAGCCGACACCACCCACCATAACGTGCCTACTTTCCACACCAAAATCCTACACCACCCACCATAACGTGCCTACATTCCACACCAAAAGCCTACACCACCCACCATAACGTGCCTACACATCACACCACTTGTCTACACATCACACCATAACGTGCCTACACTTAACACCATAACGTGCCTTCAAATCACACCATAGCGTGCCTTCAAATTATACCATAACATGCCTTTACATCACACAATCACATGTCTTCACGTCACAACGTAACGTGCCTTCACATCACACAACCACATGTCTTCACGACACAACATAACGTGCCTTCACTTCACACAACCACTTGTCTACACATCACAACATAACGTGCCTTCAAATCACAGCATTACATGTCTTCAAATCACACCATAACGTGCCTTCAAATCACACCAAAACCTGCCTTCAAATCACACAACAACTTGTCTTCACATCACACCACTTGTCCACACATCACACCATAACATGTCTTCAAATCACACCATGACGTGTCTTCAAATCACACCATAACGTGTCTTCACATCACACCATAACCTGCCTTCAAATCACACCATGTGTCTTCAAATCACACCATAGCGTGTCTTCAAATCACACCATAACGTGTCTTCACATCACACCATAACCTGCATTCAAATCACACCATAACGTGCCTTCAAATCACACCATAACGTGTCTTCAAATCACACCATAACGTGTCTTCAAATCACACCATAACGTGCCTTCAAATCACACCATAACGTGTCTTCAAATCACACCAAAACGTGCCTTCACATCACACAATAACGTGCCTTCAAATCACACAACCACTTGTCTTCACAACACACTTGTCCACACATCACACCATAACATGCCTTCAAATCACACCATAACGTGTCTTCAAATCACACCATAACGTGTCTTTAAATCACACCATAACGTGTCTTCAAATCACACCATAACGTGTCTTCACATCACACCATAACCTACCTTCAAATCACACCATAATGTGTCTTCAAATCACACTATAACGTGTCTTCAAATCACACCATAATGTGTCTTCAAATCACACCATAACGTGCCTTCAAATCACACCATAAAGTGTCTTCAAATCACACCAAAACGTGCCTTCACATCACACCATTACATGTCTTCAAATCACACCATAACATGCCTTCAAATCACACCATAACGTGTCTTCAAATCACACCATAACGTGTCTTCAAATCACACCATAACGTGTCTTCAAATCACACCATAATGTGTCTTCAAATTACACCATAACGTGTCTTCAAATTACACCATCACGTGCCTTCAAATCACACTATAACGTGTCTTCAAATCACACCATAATGTGTCTTCAAATCACACCATAACGTGCCTTCAAATCACACCATAAAGTGTCTTCAAATCACACCAAAACGTGCCTTCACATCACACCATTACATGTCTTCAAATCACACCATAACATGCCTTCAAATCACACCATAACGTGTCTTCAAATCACACCATAACGTGTCTTTAAATCACACCATAACGTGTCTTCAAATCACACCATAACGTGTCTTCACATCACACCATAACCTACCTTCAAATCACACCATAATGTGTCTTCAAATCACACTATAACGTGTCTTCAAATCACACCATAATGTGTCTTCAAATCACACCATAACGTGCCTTCAAATCACACCATAAAGTGTCTTCAAATCACACCAAAACGTGCCTTCACATCACACCATTACATGTCTTCAAATCACACCATAACATGCCTTCAAATCACACCATAACGTGCCTTCAAATCACACCAAAAGGTGCCTTCAAATCACACCATAACGTGTCTTCAAATTACACCATTACGTGCCTTCAAATCACACCAAAAGGTGCCTTCACGTCATACCATAACGTGCCTTCAAATCACACCATTACGTGCCTTCAAATCACACCATAACGTGTCTTCAAATCACACCATAACGTGTCACAATCATCAACGTTTTTCCACTACCCACAACGTGTTTCCACTACCCACAACGTGTTTCCACTACCAACGTGTTTCACTACCCACAACGTGTTTCACTACCCACAACGTGTTTCACTACCCACAACGTGTTTCCACTACCCACAACGTATTTCCACTACAACAACGTGTTTCAGTACCCACAACGTGTTTCAATACCCACAACGTGTTTCCACTACCCCCAACGTGTTTCACTACCCACAACGTGTTTCCAATACCCACAACGTGTTTCCAATACCCACAACGTCTTTCACTACCCACAACGTGTTTCAATACCCAAAACCTGTTTCCACTACCCATAACGTGTTTCCACTACCCACAACGTGTTTCCACTACCCACAACGTGTTTCCACTACCCATATCGTGTTTCACTACCCACAACGTGTTTCACTACCCACAACGTGTTTCCACTACCCACAACGTGTTTCACTACCCACAACGTGTTTCCACTACCCACAACGTGTTTCCACTACCCACAACGTGTTTCCACTACCCACATCGTGTTTCACTACCCACAACGTGTTTCACTACCCACAACGTGTTTCCACTACCCACAACGTGTTTCACTACCCACAACGTGTTTCCACTACCCACAACGTGTTTCCACTACCAACAACGTGTTTCACTACCCACAACGTATTTCCACTACCCACAACGTGTTTCCACTACTCACAGCGTGTTTCAACTACCCACAACCACTACCCACAACGTGTTTCCACTACCCACAACGTGTGTCCACTGCCAACAACGTGTTTCCACTACCCACAACGTATTTCCACTACCCACAACGTGTTTCCACTACCCAAAACGTGTTTCAACTACCCACAACGTGTTTCAACTACCCACAACCACTACCCACAACGTGTTTCCACAACCCACGTGTTTCCACTACCCACAACGTGTTTCACTACCCACAACGTGTGTCCACTACCCACAACGTGTTTCACTACCCACAACGTGTGTCCACTACCCACAACGTGTTTCACTACCCACAACGTGTTTCCACTACCCACAACGTGTTTCACTATTCCACTTCCACTATTCACTGTGGACGGTCTGACTCAAAACGGCATGCTGTATAACTGTTGAACCACTGATCCAGGTGCTTGCATTACCCGCTCATACCACCAACATTCACGGAGAGATATCCATGAAAACATTATAAACAAGGGCGTGGCTCACTTATACCCCGACCCTCCGAGTGTGTCAGTAGTTTCAAATTAAATAATGGATAGGGTTAGGGTTTGAAACATTCATAAAAAAAATTTGAAAATTAATAAAAACAATTTTTTTTCTTTTGACTGCACCCCTCCATATGACACAGATTATATGTACTAAGTTTAAGATGAATCATCTGAATAGTTTAAGAGAAATCGCGCGGACAAAGTTTTCGGACGGACGGACGGACGGAACCTTGGTATAACTATATACCCCCGACCTAAAAGGTCGGGGGTATAATTAATACAATCCGGGAAACCGTTATGAAAGTACATATCTATACACATGTTTCAAAAAATTACCTTTATTAAAAGTTCATTATTCTCAACATGTCCACTACACACATAGAATTGGTAGCATCACAAGAAATGGTAAACTATCATATGCGTAACAGTAGCCAATGACCAATTTCGTTACATGTTCTTCAGTTTCAAGAAGGTTTGTCCTGAAATCAGGGTTCCACGCACAGCGGCAGTGGGCAGTCGAGTCCTAGTATATAATCCACTGTGTGGTTGGCAGTGAGGGCAGCTCCCTCACCTAACTCCCCGGGGGTGCCTCGGCTACACTTCCTTCCAAAACCGACAGGGTCGTGCATCTTCCCCTTTACCCACCTCAGCGATCGAACTACATTACGATACCCCAGCCTGCTTCTGCAACACGCATCAGAGCGGTTATCTGAATCTCCATCCGCATCACTGTCGACACTCGATTCTGACAGCGATGCTGTATCGTCGTCAACGTCCTCGACGTCATCCTCACCAACATCCTCCTCACTTACAGGACATGCTTCCATAAGTCGAGACTCTCCCACAATTGAATCCAGGGCGTATCTCACTGATCGGTACTCATCCAGAAACATGTTGTCTTCGAAGAAGGCTCCGTCACCAATGGCAACTACAATCAGAGCCATCGATGTGGCCTGGGGTAGGTCAAGGTCACTTGGACACCTGTCAAGGTCAGGACTTGGGACAGAACGAGAGGAATCTGGAGAGCTTGCAAATGTCTCCTTTCTGAATGCGGAGACTCCATGGTGAAGTTGGTTCTTACCATACATGTTTTCCGATGTCTGCTGAGTTATTCCATCTGACACAGGTCGCACTACAGAGGCGTAGGTAAGGGGAGGCACACCTTCCCACTCAGTAGAAGAAGAGATGGGTGGAGCCACATGCTCCCACTCATTAGAAAGGTAGCTGGGTGGAGCCACATGCTCCCGCGTAGTAGAAGGGTAGACCTGTGGAGCCAAGAGCTCCCACTCAATTGAAGGGTAGCTGGGTGGAGCCACGCGCTCCCGCGTAGTAGAAGGAAAGACCGGTGGAGCCACGTGCTCCCACTGATTTGAAGGGTAGCTGGGTGGAGCCACGCGCTCCCGCGTAGTAGAAGGAAAGACCGGTGGAGCCAAGAGCTCCCACTCAATTGAAGGGTAGCTGGGTGGAGCCACGCGCTCCCGCGTAGTAGTAGGGTAGACCGGTGGAGCCACGTGCTCCCACTGACTTGAAGGGTATTTGGGTGGAGCCACGCGCTCCCGCACAGTAGAAGGGTAGACCGGTGGAGCCACAGCATCCCACTGATTTGAAGGGTAGCTGGTTGGAGCCACGCGCTCCCGCGTAGTAGTAGGGTAGACCGGTGGAGCCACACGCTCCCACTCAGCAGAAGGGTAGACACGTGGAGCCACACACTCCCACTTAGCAGAAGGGTAAACGCGTGGAGCCACACCCTTCCATCGCTGACCAATGGTGCTGGGTGGTGGTTGTGGAGTGGTTACCGGAGGAACGTACAGGACAGATCCGTCTACCCCAGTCGTGATTCCATGACAGTATGGCGGCACTTTGATGGGGAGAAGATGCTTCTCAAATCTAAACTTCTCGGAGCCGTAGCCAGACTGTACAGAAAACGCGTTTTTATTGTCCTCCATCATTGCCGGTTCCTGGAAGTGCGTTTGGATGGGGTGATAGACTGCGGCCTGATTTCGGTATTCTAAGAATCGGTTGGCCGCCCCATGTTGGTTTACTGGTACAAAGGTCGGTACTGTCGAACTTGTATGCAGAATTGCTGGTTCTCTGACGCTCCTTGGAATCTGATTATAGATGATTGTCGGACTTGGCCTAACTACCTGGTGTCCCTGGTGAGAGGTTATTGGTTGTTCCGCTGGCAGTCTGTGTGTGGTGAACGGAACTGGCTTTAGGTAAGGTTTTAGCCTCCGGAAACTCCTCCCTCCTGGGTATACAGTTTTTACCGGGTTAGTAATGCGTGTCGCTACGGATGGTGGAACAGAAGCTATGGTATCATCTATCTGAAGTGGCTTCATCATTCCCATAGGCGATGCGACATGTACCCTGGGGCTGAACGTCTGATTCATCCCAGTGGCTTTTCGGCTGCCTCGACAGGTCCTGGGCCTGGCGGGCTGAGAGGGTTCAAACAGCCGGAACGGATTCATCTCCCTCTTCTTCTTGTCCTTGCCTGCCGCCTTCTGGGGCTTCTTGGACCAGGGTAGCTGGTAGACAGGCTGGTCAGATAGATAGCGTGGATTGACTGTTGGCTGCTGGGGGCTGGGCAGTGTGATGGATTCTAGAGGTATACGCATGGGAACAATAATGGAGTTTGTTCTGACATCAATAGGACAAAGCTGGTCATTGACCATGACTTGTGGCAAGGAGTTCATGTCTGCAACAGAACAAAATTAAAAATGTATACATCTACACACAACAGCCTCCCTGGTCTAGTGCTAGAGCGTCCGCCCCGAGAGCGGAAGGTCCGGAGTTCGATACCGGGTCATACCAAAAGACGTTAAAAGATGATAATTGTTGTTACCCTGTCTGACGCTCGGCATTAAGGGGATGAAACAAAGACTGGTCGGCTCGGAGTCGGTATACTGTGTCTGAGTGGCATATTCGTGTTAACTGCGGCATGGTATCCCACTGGGCTAGCACTATTAAATCTGCATTAGTCCTGACAAGCAGCCACACACACACACACATGTGCATGCACGTCGCTATATAAGTGCAATAATCTTGGAAGCGACGTTAAGCCCAATTTCATTTCACGTCACGTCACGTCACGTCACATTCCCACACACACATCTACTAAATTCTATTGCGTGGAACAATGTGTTACATTTCTTGATTCGATACCCCCATGGACAGAGCGACATGCAAGCTAACCACGAAATGTCTGTCTGTCTGTCCATGCCGATATGCCCATTGACACGTTTTGCCATACTACACTGGATGAGGTTCGACGCTGCGTCAAGCAGTATGTCAGTTGTCCCACAGTCAGGCAAAGAAACAGTTGACTGAAGCATGATAACCTACACTACACTAAGCCAGATCACAGTTGGAACCATCCGATCCTCATAAGCCGACCCTTACGGCAATCATGTTGGACCTGGGACCCCACTCTCCTACCCAGAGCTCCATGCGGCCGGCAGCCAGCCAGGATAGTACCTCTGCCACAGGCCAGCGCCATGTGACGATTCGTCACATCTTTCACAGTCCATTCAAAATATAGCATATGCTTTTCATCCGTTTCATGTTTGGCAAGTCTGCACATTTTCATAAACAGATGTCAAAGAATGGTTACGGTTCATTAAGAAAGTATCCCTTACGTGAAAATCTACTTGTTTTTGCGTAGTTATCCTATGTTTACATTGGTTTGTACGGCTCCACGTGCTGTCACCGAAGCCCAACGGAGAGCTAGCGATACGGTCACTTTGATGTATAAATATATATTGTCATGCAACTCACTGTCTTAGTTGTAATAGCATATCTATATAATTATGCAAAACAATATGTAAAGCACCCTCAAATACTTGCATTAGTCCGTTCTATACTGATTTCTGAAAAAGCGCGTTTGTTTACAAACAAGAGAAAAGTCCGGTCACGTGATATGCAAATTAGCCTATGGCAGTGGTGTTATGCTGAGTCACCACTGCGCCGGAGTGTGCTGGGACCCCAGAATCCTGACTGAGTTCGAACCCACGGACCTCAGATCCTTGTATTGTATGGCATAAATGTGGACGCAATTGAGTCTGCGCGGCGTTTTTGGCAGCAGGGGGGCTTTGGGGGAAAACGTCACAGGAGAACGTACAGCACTGTTTGACCACCCCCGTTATAGCGCGAATAATCGCGATAAAGGTGGCCGTCCAAAAATTCATTACCCACGTGGTGAAGATACAGGTGGTGAGATACTGAACTTTCGCTCGGTCAGATACCATAGAAAGTCCACTCGTTTCGTAAAAATGGTATCTAACGAGAATGATTGTAGTATTCTCTATGTATGACGTCCAAAAAATCACGATCAGATGATACATTAACTTTATCGTTATACGTGAATTACCTTCACTGCGAAACACACAGAACCATGTATTGCAGCACACTTCAATATCGACCCTAATGTGAGAGTGTGTTTATTACGGTAAAGGGGCCACCGGCCCATTATACATGAAACTTGACATAATAAGCGCTGAGGTGAGGTGAAGTGAAATTGGGTTTAACGTCGCGTCCAAGATTATTGCACTTATATAGCGACGTGCATGCACGTGTATGTGTGTGTGTGTGGCTGCTTGTACTAGTCCGGACTGATGCCGATTTATAGTGCTAGCTCACTGAGATACCATGCCGCAGTTTAACATGAATACCCCACTCAGACACAGTATACTGACTCCGAGCCGACCAGTCCTTGTTTTAGCCCCTTAATGCCGAGCGCCAGACAGGGTAACAACAAGTACAATCTTTTAACGTCTTTTTGTATGACGCGGCCCAGGATCGAACCCAGGACCTTCCGCTCTCCGGGCGGACGCTCTACCACAAGACCACGGAGGCGGTCCTAATAAGCGCTGAAGCGCCACATAATATTATTACAGTTTCTGTTTATGCAAATATTAAATGATGGACATCCATATTATGCAAAATATTTACTACGTTTCTTTAAAGCTAAAAAGATAAATTAGCCAAATTATTGATGACCGTGATTTTCCGTGATGTGAATAATAAAATAAGCTTATTGTTCGATGGGAATTTAAAATAAAATTCTAGAATAAGACTTTCTCTTAAGTCCTGATAAAATGGACATTCAAGACAAAAATATTGTTCTGATTCAATATTAGTTATTACACAAAAGGGACAAAGGCGATTCTTACGGTCAAGTTTGAGACGTCGACCGTACTAAATCATTAGGTAGTGGTTGGAACAGCGGAACTTGCATAACGCTTTTACATTAATTACATTAAAATAATCTTCTTCGCTTAACTGCACCTTAATTTGTCTGTACATTTCAAGTTTAGAATATTTACCAAGGTCTGATAGCCAATTTTGAACGTCAATGTCAATACATCTTTGTTTAAACTCGACTAGAAATTGTTGGACATTGACAACACGCTGCTCCATCCATACCTGTCCAAAACCATAAGTGAACAATAGGTTTTTTACTTTTAGTGCCCAGCAATCTATATTTTTCTCTGGTAAACTATACTGATATCTATATACATTGTACAATATTATATTTTCCCTTTGACTTATGCACCTCATCCAATATTTAACTATCTTAATGTGTTTATTGACATTCAAAGAGTACCTGCCAAGCTCACCACGAGCTACAATGTTCGGAGTCGAGACAGAAAGTCTTAGTATTTGTTTACAAAACTTATCCTAAACATGAAGAATATTAGGCTAAGAGTGAAAACCCCAAACTTCGGCTCCATATAGCAAAATAGGTACCATTTTTACATCAAAAATATGCAATAAGACCTTAAGTGGTAAACTATAAAAAAAATCCTTAATTGATGATCTAGCTAATGATAACACTTTCCATGCCTGTTCAGCTAATATTTTCTGTGTAATATACCAACTGCCAGAACTCAAAAAATGAACACCCAAGTATTTATACGTATAACGATTTCTAGGTTTTCTCTACCCAAATAAAATTTCTCATATTTCCTCAATCTGCCAGCTTTTCTAAATACAATAACTTTACTTTTATCAGTATTTATTTTAAGCTTCCATTTCTGACAATAGGAATCTAGTTTGTTAATTCTCATTTTCAATCCCAATGGTGTACTGTCAAATAAAACAATGTCGTATGCGAAAAGCAAAATAAACAACTCAATAAAGTCTAAACTTATACATCTTTGACCGTCTAGGGCTTGAAATTCCACCAAATCATTGATAAAGAAAGAAAACAAAAAGGGAGATAACTGGCACCCTTGACGTACGCCAAATGCACAATCAAAGAATGGAGTGTAACCCTTTTCAAGCGAGACACATGACTTTACTTTTGCATACATATTTCTTAATAAATTATACATTCTGCCTTTAACATTACCAGACCAGAGTTTGAATAAAAGACTTGTCCTGTCTACAGAATCAAATGCTGCTTTCAGGTCAATGAAAGCACAGTAAAGGCGACCCTTATACAACGAGAGATATTTATTGATAACTGTGTAATAGACACCACGGAAACGCTTGCACACGTGTTTGATAAATAGGTTCTTGTAACACGCGAATCTGTTGGCGTAGCCTATGACCATGAACTTCATAAAGGGAGATCACTCTAAACGAACGTCAAACCAATTATGAGCACATGTTATGCTGGTGTCATTACATTCAAGAATCTACCTTGATGTATTTCACTATGAATTCTGTAATCACCACGTCTTTGAAAGTGCCAGTCTAAATTTACATGTGGGAAAAGATAATAAAACGAATATGGTGTAGCTGAAAAGATCTAGTCAGTAAGCTAGCTACAAACGTCTGACTGACACGTCGAGATAGACAAGACTAGATCTAATTTGCTATTTCTTAGTACATCGTGAAGCGACTATATTGTTACCCGTGTGTGTATTGTCCATCGATACTTTTGCACTGGCTGTGGTATCTCTAGATTCTGTACTGTGAGTAATACTTGATACTGTAGGCGCGAAGACCGCGCGGCCCTGTCGACGTAAGTAATGGCGGGTCAAAGTGCCCGGATTATAAGCGTCATTGACTTTCTAAAATTTCGGATACTTTTGTTCTATAACTGCAAGTTCGATTCCCAATTCCCTGATATTTTTTTTCACCCTGTAAAACATTTCTAACACATTTCTACAATGCATTTACCAATTACTCATTGCACACCTGACCATTAATATCATCGAATTTATTTGACGTGAACACGTTCTTCAGAATCAAAAGTCAAACAAACAAATGACGTTGAAATCAGGTTCTTTTTTCTTATTTGGGGGTGGTTGGGGGTGGGGGTGGGGGTGGGGGTGGGGGGGGGGGGGGGGGGGGTGGGGGTCACGGAAGGCCCAGTCGTCTAAGGCGCCGCAATTCGCTGTGCAGAGTTGTGTCCCTTGGGCACGCCAGAAACCTATGATTGTGGGTTCGAATCCTGGTTCGCCCCAATTAGGTTTCTAGGTTTGTCAGCACCATACCCGTGCTCATGGGTGTCACCGAAGTGGTAAACGTCTGCGACCTGCATCACTTGGGGCTTTCCTCCGACATTAAGCTGACACGCCTTGATATAACTGGAATACTGTTAAAAGCGGCGTTAAACCAAACTCACTCACTCAGTCTTTTTTATTGGTGGCGGTTTGGCAGTCCATCTTGATCGTCAACAATACCCGTCGTAGTCGATGTTGTGAGGCGCATGTATGCACGGAAAGTCATCGTCGACTAGTCTGGAATCTTAATATAATCACCGTGGATCTTAATATAGGTGCGCGGGTATGCGTGTCGTAAGAGGCGACCAAAAAGATCGGGGGTCAGATCCAGTGGTTTGCTTGATTGCATGCCATGCTAATGTGTGGATCGATGCTGATGTCCATCACTGGGTTATCTGGTCCAGATTCGATTATTTACAGACAACTGTCGTCTAGATGGAATAGTGCTGGGTGAGAAGTTAAACAACAAACAATTAAAACACTATACCATAGATACGGTGACTGCACAGTATGTCAGAAGGCCATCTACGTTTGTGTGTCCTGTGACACACCCGTCCACGTCACACAAGTTTTTAAATCTACAAGATTAGTGTTTATGTCACCCGGGCCAGGAAAAATTCATAATTTTGTAATGTCTATATAGTTATAGAAACTTTAATTGCCTATTCTAGGCCACATGTATACTGTGAATAAAGCTCTCAACAGCAACTGAATATAGATCAGATTGTGAACCTCCTAAACAGACCAATTGTCAGTTGTATGAATTCACGGCCAAAACATATTTATTTATTTATTTATTTATTTATTTATTTATTTATTTATTTATTTATTTATTTATTTATTTATTTATTTATTTATTTATTTATTTATTTATTTATTTATTTATTTATTTATTTATTTATTTATTTATTTATTTATTTATTTATTTATTTTTGTAAAAAAAAAAATTTAAAAATTAAAATTATTTCTATTCCTCTCGCACACCCCATCTACCGCTGAGAAACACAAAATAATATGAATGGCCTCACAATGTACTGTCTAATCCTTACCCAGTCTGCTATCTGCACTAATGTGCGTATTGTCATCACACGAGCGGGTGAACGTTATCACCGTGTTATCTCTAGTCACACTGTGCTGTCTCATCTTCTAAATAAGGACCAACCAAAGTTTCATCAGTTTGTGAGGACACGTCTGGAGTGAGAGGTTCCTTACTGATCACATCCACAATGTTTACACTGATGTGTATATGCGCGACTCTTGTCACATCCCTTTATGGGGACAGTCCCGAGACTATCAGCTATACGGACGTTCTTCTTACAGCCCACTCCTCACAGGAACGGACCCGGCACAAGGATTTCTACTATGCGACAATAAAGGAACTGGCTCGTTCGATAAACCCTGATCGACTGCCACAGCTTGGTGAATACCTTCAGGATGAGGATGTGCCTGTGACAAATCTGCTTCAAGTAAACGCCGACCCAGGGAACGAGACAGAGAAGGTGCCCTCTGACCTATGTTCGAACCACACCGGGCTAATCCTGACCCAGGCGGCCGCTGGAGATGACTGGGCAATGGCCAGTATGTGAGCTTTTGTGTTCGTTAGTTTTTAGAGAGTACCTGGTTCGACGCCAGTTTAAAAAAAACCTGGTTCAGCTCAACTTCGTCGTGACCGCCTCCGTGGCAATAGTATATAATCCTAAACTCCTACCAAAAACAACTAGACACAACAGCGTCCCACGCATGGACAGCCTCCGTGGTCTAGTGGAAGAGCGTCCGCTCCGAGAGCGGAAGGTCCGGGGTTCGATCCCCATGCGTCTTACCAAAAAAGGCCCGTGAAGATCTGGGGTAGAATAGGTCTTCAGCAACCCATGCTTGCCGTAAAGGGCGACTATGCTTGTCGTAAGAGGCGACTAACGGGATCGGGTGGTCAGGCTTGCTGACTTGGTTGATGCATGTCATCGATCCCAATTGACTGGATCGATGCTCATGTTGTCAATCACTGGATTGTCTGGTCCAGACTCGATTACTTACAGACCGCCGTCATATAGCTGGAATATTGCTCAGTGCGGCGTTAAACAACAAACAAACAAACATACCAAAAGATGTAAAAAGATGGTACTTGTTGTTACCCTGTCTGGCGCTCGGCATTATAGGGCTAAAACAAGGACTGGTCGGCTCGGAGTCAGTATACTGTGTCTGAGTGGGATATTCATGTTAAACTGCGGCATGGTATTTCAGTTTGCAAGCACTATGAAATCGGCATCAGTCCGGACTAGTACAAGCAGCCACACACGTGCATACACGTCGCTAGGCGACGTTAAACCCCATTTGACGTCACCTCTTCTACGTCACCTACGCTGGGTGCCCTAACGGGCGCATGTTTATCCACGAGTCCTGGTATGGATTCTAACAAATCCGGGGAGAATCACGGGATTCGAACCCGTGTGGTCATCGGATCATGTTTGTTTGATAAAATTCATGGTATGTTATCAAAGTGGGCCTTTATAATCCCCTCTTCCAAGAACGAATACCCTATTTATCATTCAGAAGCAGCAAGGAGCCAAAATGATTAAATCCTTAAAATAATGTGGACGCGGTTGATGTTGCACAATCACTTCGATGAGTTGCACAACCAGTTAATAGAACTGGCTGTGCGTAATATTCTACCAAGTTGGGATCAGGTTCAGTTAAGTATGGCTAGTATGGAGCAAAGATAACAAGAGCATGAATAGCACGTGATGGAGTAGTTGTGTCTGGACGGAATGGATCGTACCTCGGGCTAAAATTGTGAACCTTTAACGTAGATAACAGACAAATTGTCAATTGTATTCTCGTTATTTATTTTTGTTTGCTTGTCTGTCTTTCTGTTTGTTTATTATTATTTATTTTTTATTATTTTTATTATTATTTTATTATTTATTTATTTATTTATTTATTTATTTATTTATTTATTTATTTATTTATTTATTTGTTTATATTAGATAATTGTAATTTCTGGATTTCCATGTCAAATTACTGATATCGAACTTTCGTACGTACATCTCAGAAAATGTTATTGTGAAAAGGTGTGAATGTGTTTTATACTTTTATACTCTACATGGGGCATGCATGACGTCCCTTAGCCAAGGCGGAATCTGCTGATTGTGATTTCGAATCCAGAGTCGCCCTGATTATTATGTTGTGTCTGGTAGTAACATATCCGTGCTAATGTATTTCACCAAGCATAAACACGTGTAAAGAACTGTGTCACTGGGTCCCTTCCACCGACATTAATCTGACATTTGATTGTATACATTACAAATGTTCAAAGCGGTTATACCCAAATGATTCACTCTCTCATACATTGATCTAGATTCCCCCCACAGCGATAACCTCCCCCGGGGACCTGCTATAGTCTCTGTGCTCAATGAGGTGAGGTGAGGTGAAATGGGGTTTAACGTCGCGTCCAAGGTTATTGCAATTATATAGCGACGTGCATGCACGTGTATGTGTGTGTGTGTGGCTGCTTGTACTAGTCCGGACTGATGCCGATTTATAGTGCTAGCACACTGAGATACCATGTCGCAGTTTAACCTGAATACCCAACTCAGACTGACTACTGACTACGAGCCGACTAGTCCTTGTTTTAGCCCCTTAATGCCGAGCGCCAGACAGGGTAACAACAAGTACCATCTTTTAACGTCTATTGGTATGAAGCGGCTGGGGATCGAACCCCGTAATGCTCAATGAATGTGTCTGCCTGTGTGTGCGGTTTTGTCTTCGTCAGCCAGTCTGTCTGTTCTTGTCTTGATCTGTCTGTCTACCTGTCCGTCTCACAAAGGAATGTTTTATACCAGTGTTGGACGCCGCAGCTAAGCCCGACAGCAACATCATGGGCGGTCAGCTGATGTGGGTGGGGTCCTACAGAGAGTGCATCAAAACACGGGCGAAGGTGTACCCGGGGCTCCAGAATGAGACCGAGGCTGAGCAACTGTTTGAAGGTCAATACTGCATGGCCTTCCTGCCTCTCACCCCCGGGCCAGTACAGGTGAGACCATGCCACTACACATCCGTCATTCCCTTACCCCCGGCCCAGTACAGATGAGACCATGCCACTACACAGTTGTCCTTCCCTTACCCCCAGCCCAGTACAGGTGAGACCATGCCGCTACATAGTTGTCCTTCCCTTACTCCCGGCCCAGTACAGGTGAGACCATGCCGCTACACAGTTGTCCTTCCCTTACCCCCGGCCCAGTACAGGTGAGACCATGCCGCTACACAGTTGTCCTTCCCTTACCCCCTGCCCAGTACAGGTCAGACCATGCCGCTACACAGTTGTCCTTCCCTTACCCCCAGCCCAGTCCAGGTGAGACCATCCCACTACACAGTTGTCCTTCCCTTACCCCCGGCCCAGTACAGGTGAGACCATGTCACTACACAGTTGTCCTTTCCTTACCCCCGGCCCAGTACAGGTGAGACCATGCCACGACACAGTTGTCCTTCCCTTAACCCCGGCCCAGTACAGGTGAGACCATGCCACTACACAGTTGTCCTTCCCTTACCCCCGGCCCAGTACAGGTGAGACCATCCCACGACACAGTTGTCCTTCCCTTACCCCCGGCCCAGTACAGGTGAGACCATGCCACTACACACTTGTCCTTCCGTTACCCCCAGCCCAGTCCAGGTGAGACCATGCCACTACACAGTTGTCCTTCCGTTACCCCCATCCCAGTACAGGTGAGACCATGCCACTACACAGTTGTCCTTCCGTTACCCCCAGCCCAGTACAGGTGAGACCATGCCACTACACACTTGTCCTTCCGTTACCCCCAGCCCAGTACAGGTGAGACCATGCCACTACACAGTTGTCCTTCCCTTACCCCCAGCCCAGTCCAGGTGAGACCATGCCACTACACAGCCGTTCTTCCCTTACCCCCGGCCCAGTACAGGTGAGACCATGCCACTACACTGCCGTTCTTCCCTTACCCCCCGCCCAGTACAGGTGAGACCATGCCACTACACAGTTGTCCTTCCCTTACCCCCGGCCCAGTACAGGTGAGACCATGCCACTACACAGTTGTCCTTCCCTTAGCCCCGGCCCAGTACAGGTGAGACCATCACACTACACAGTTGTCCTGTGAGGCTGTATAGTGAGCCTCATGTAAGGCTATATAGTGAGTCGCCTTTAAGTCTGTATAGTGAATCGTCTGTAAGGCTGTATAGTGAATCGTCTGTAAGGCTGTATAGTGAGTCTCATGTAAGGCTATATAGTGAGTCGCCTGTAAGGCTGTATAGTGAGTCGCCTGTAAGGCTGTATAGTGAGTCCCTTGTAAGGCTGTACAGTGAGTCGCCTGTAAGGCTGTATAGTGAGTCGCCTGTAAGGCTGTATAGTGAGTCGCCTGTAAGGCTGTATAGTGAGTCGCCTGTAAGGCTGTATAGTGAGTCTCCTGTAAGGCTGTATAGTGAGTCGCCTGTAAGGCTGTATAGTGAGTCGCCTGTAAGGCTGTATAGTGAGTCGCCTGTAAGGCTGTATAGTGAGTCGCCTGTAAGGCTGTATAGTGAGTCGCCTGTAAGGCTGTATAGTGAGTCGCCTGTAAGGCTGTATAGTGAGTCGCCTGTAAGGCTGTATAGTGAGTCTCCTGTAAGGCTGTATAGTGAGTCTCCTGTAAGGCTGTATAGTGAGTCGCCTGTAAGGTTGTACAGTGAGTCGCCTGTGAGGCTGTATAGTGAGTAGCCTGTACGTCTGTATAGTGAGTCACCTGTAAGGCTGTAGAGTGAGAGTCGCCTGTAAGGCTGTACAGTGAGTCGCCTGTAAGGCTGTATAGTGAGTTGTCTGTAAGGCTGTATAGTGAGTCGCCTGTAAGGCTGTACAGTGAGTCGCCTGTAAGGCTGTATAGTGAGTCCCATGTAAGGCTGTATTGTGAGTCGCCTGTAAGGTTGTATAGTGAGTCGCTTGTAAGGCTGTATTGTGAGTCGCCTGTAAGGCTGTATTGTGAGTCGCATGTAAGGCTGTATAGTGAATCCCCTTTAAGGCTGTATAGTGAGTCGCCTGTAAGGCTGTATTGTGAGTCGCCTGTAAGGCTGTATTGTGAGTCGCATGTAAGGCTGTATAGTGAGTCGCCTGTAAGGCTGTATAGTGAGTCCCCTGTAAGGCTGTACAGTGAGTCGCCTGTAAGGCTGTATCGTGAGTCCCATGTAAGGCTGTATAGTGAATCCCATGTAAGGCTGTATAGTGAGTCGCATGTAAGGCTGTATAGTGAATCCCATGTAAGGCTGTATAGTGAGTCGCCTGTAAGGCTGTATAGTGAGTCACCTGTAAGGCTGTATTGTGAGTCTCCTGTAAGGCTGTATAGTGAGTCGACTGTAAGGCTGTATAGTGAGTCGCCTGTAAGGCTGTATAGTGAGTCGCCTGTAAGGCTGTATAGTGAGTCTCCTGTAAGGCTGTATAGTGAGTCTCCTGTAAGGCTGTATAGTGAGTCGCCTGTAAGGCTGTACAGTGAGTCGCCTGTGAGGCTGTATAGTGAGTCGCCTGTAAGGCTGTACAGTGAGTCGCCTGTGAGGCTGTATAGTGAGTCACCTGTAAGGCTGTAGAGTGAGAGTCGCCTGTAAGGCTGTACAGTGAGTCGCCTGTAAGGCTGTATAGTGAGTCGTCTGTAAGGCTGTATAGTGAGTCGCCTGTAAGGCTGTATAGTGAGTCGCCTGTAAGGCTGTACAGTGAGTCGTCTGTAAGGTTGTACAGTGAGTCGCCTGTAAGGCTGTACAGTGAGTCGCCTGTAAGGCTGTATAGTGAGTCCCATGTAAGGCTGTATTGTGAGTCGCCTGTAAGGTTGTACAGTGAGTCGCTTGTAAGGCTGTATTGTGAGTCGCCTGTAAGGCTGTATTGTGAGTCGCATGTAAGGCTGTATAGTGAATCCCCTGTAAGGCTGTATAGTGAGTCTCCTGTTAGGCTGTATTGTGAGTCGCTTGTAAGGCTGTATTGTGAGTCGCATGTAAGGCTGTACAGTGAGTCGCCTGTAAGGCTGTATCGTGAGTCCCATGTAAGGCTGTATAGTGAGTCGCCTGTAAGGCTGTATAGTGAGTCGCCCGTAAGGCTGTATAGTGAGTCGCATGTAAGGCTGTATAGGGAGTCGCCTGTAAGGTTGTATAGTGAGTCTCCTGTAAGGCTGTATAGTGAGTCTCCTGTAAGGCTGTATAGTGAGTCTCCTGTAAGGCTGTATAGTGAGTCGCCTGTAAGGCTGTATAGTGAGTCACCTGTAAGTCTGTACAGTGAGTCACCTGTAAGGCTGTATAGTGAGTCTCCTGTAAGGCTGTACACTGAGTCACCTATAAGTCTGTACAGTGAGTCACCTGTAAGGCTGTATAGTGAGTCGACTGTAAGGCTGTATAGTGAGTCGCCTGTAAGGCTGTATAGTGAGTCGCCTGTAAGGCTGTATGGTGAGTGTATACAGAGCTCCAGACACATGCTTCATCTTCTCCAGCCCCAGGCGTTCGGCGCGTCGACTCCTGGAATCAAGATAGGCGTCTGTTTCCCCAGCTCCTGTTCAGGCGCCGATGTCACAGCCCTCCTCAATGCAGGTGGAGATATCAGTTTCCTTCTCTCTCAAAAGGCGACTCAAAAGACACGCACATGTCCTCGCACACAAACCTGTTAAAGAACTATTGGGGTAACACATGTACTGTCAGCCCAGAAACTAATGCCTCACACTCTCAACGTTGAACATTATTTTGTTAATAATATTTTTTTATTTTTTCGGGAATAAAGCGAATTGCAAATAGTCAGAGAAAAAAGACAATATATGGAATTTAGAGGATACTGGCCCAAAATATCAACTTTACAAGTTACATTTCTAAGCGCAACAACTTATAGATACCAGAAAGGTGTAATTAGACATTTTCTTGGAATGAGGTAGACAAATCCATACACAGACATATGCACACATACAACACAGTGAGTGAGTGAGTGAGTTGGGTTTAACGCGGCAGTATTCCAGTTATATCACGGCGTGTCAGCTTAATGTGGGAGTAAAGCCCGAAGTGATGCAGGTCGCAGACGTTTACCACTTCGGTGAAACCCACGAGCACGGGTATGGTGCTGACAAATCTAGAAACATAATCAGGGTGGACCGGGATTCGAACCCACAATCATAGGATTCTGACGTTCCCAAGGGACGCAACTCTGCACAGCGAATCGCGGCGCCATAGACGACGGCCACCCGTGCCCCCACATACAACACAGACACACATATTATTTGTGATGTTGTTGAAAATTAATGCATAGTAAGCAGCATTAAACCTCTTTCTTTTATTACATTAAAATGGCCAATTATAAACAGGAATTATCTATTCGTTCATTATAATCATGAATGTGTTTACTGCACTGTCATATCTGATGTGTTTACTAATATACTCTTTTTTCTCCAAGAGGTATATGCATCACATACAAGTAATACAGGAATCTCATTTTTTATGTTCGTGTTGTCATTAAGCCAGAACAAATATTCAAACCGAGACCGGGGCGGTCGGGTAGCCAAGTGGTCAAAGTGTTCGCTCGTCACGCCGAAGACCCGCGGTTCGATTCTCGACATGGGTACAATGTGTGAAGCCCATTTCTGGTGTCCCCCGCCGTGATATTGCTGCAATATTGCTAAAAGTGGCGTAAAACCATACTAACTCACTCACTCATGCACTCACTCATGCACTCACTCATGCACTCACTCACTCACTCACTCACTCACTCACTCACACACCCACTCACTCACACCAACTTGTCTATTTGTCCCCAGCGCTGGAAACCACCAACATCACTTTCCGGGTGGCGGCGTCCACCTGCCAGGAGAAGAAACAAGAATACACCGACACTGCCATCATTGTTCTGTGAGTACTACGAACCAGCGAGTGAATGCTCTGTTGCGCCGCAGTCAGCAATGTTCTACTTATGTAACGTGGGTTATATAATCTGGCTTCACAAACCAGTGGTTGATAGCGCAAGCAAAAATCCCCGACATCGGGGTATGACACACATCATTTTTGTGGGCTTTTGGGTTGCAGGTCGTTGATACTGCACATTTACAATCATTCACTCACACAAGATTGTGAAAGAAATAGTTAAGCTCGGGCTGACTTGAAGAGATACCGGATATATGTCATGTTGGTAATCTCCCTGAAGGGTATACCGGAAGTACGACATATCGTCTGAAGGGTATACCGGAAGTACGACATATCGTTAATCTCCCTGAAGGGTATACTGGAAGTACGACTTATCGTTAATCTCCCTGAAGGCTTTACCGGAAGTACGACTTATCGTTAATCTCCCTGAAGGCTTTACCGGAAGTACGACTTATCGTTAATCACCCTGAAGGCTTTACCGGAAGTACGACTTATCGTTAATCTCCCTGAAGGCTTTACCGGAAGTACGACATATCGTTAATCTCCCTTAAGGCTTTACCGGAAGTACGACTTATCGTTAATCTCCCTGAAGGCTTTACCGGAAGTACGACTTATCGTTAATCTCCCTGAAGGCTTTACCGGAAGTACGACTTATCGTTAAACTCCCTGAAGGCTACACCGGAAGTACGACTTATCGTTAATCTCACTGAAGGCTTTACCGGAAGTACGACTTATCGTTAATCTCCCTAAAGGCTTTACCGGAAGTACGACATATCGTTAATCTCCCTAAAGGCTTTACCGGAAGTACGACGTATCGTTAATCTCCCTGAAGGCTATACCGGAAGTACGACATATCGTTAATCTCACTGAAGGCTATACCGGAAGTACGACATATCGTTAATCTCCCTGAAGGCTTTACCGGAAGTACGACTTATCGTTAATCTCCCTAAAGGCTTTACCGGAAGTACGACATATCGTTAATCTCCCTAAAGGCTTTACCGGAAGTACGACTTATCGTTAATCTCCCTGAAGGCTATACCGGAAGTACGACATATCGTTAATCTCACTGAAGGCTATACCGGAAGTACGACATATCGTTAATCTCCCTGAAGGCTTTACCGGAAGAACGACTTATCGTTAATCTCCCTGAAGGCTATACCGGGAGTACGACATATCGTTAATCTCCCTGAAGGCTATACCGGAAGTACGACATATCGTTTATCTCACTGAAGGCTATACCGGAAGAAGGATATATCGTTTATCTCCCTGAAGGCTATACCGGAAGTACGACATATCGTTAAACTCCCTGAAGGCTACACCGGAAGTACGTCATATCGTTAATCTCCCTGTAGGGTCTACCAGGCGTACGACATGTTTGTTACCTCCCTGTCCGTAGTCCGTTTTCTTAGTTTGTTTGTTTGTTGTTTAACGCTGCACTCAGCAATATTCCATCTATATGACTGCGATCTGTAAATAATCGAGTCAGGACCAGACAAACCAGTGACTGACATCATGAGTATCGATCCACGCATTTGGGATACGACGACATGCATCAACCAAGTCAGCAAGCCTGGCCACCCAATCCTGTTAGTCGCCTCTTTCGGCAAGCATGGGTTGCTGAAGACCTATTCTAACCCGGATGTTCACGGGTACCTGTGTGATTAGCGGACGTATGTCATGTACGTAATCTCCCTGTAGAGGATACCTGACGTATAACACACCTATAGCCTCTTCATAACCTCCTTCATCTCCAACAGGTTGGTGCTGTCGCTGTTTGTGGCGGTGATGCTGATGGCCACGATGTATGACATCATGTGGGTGCAGATGCCGAAGTGGGAGAAGGAGAAGCAAAGATCAGCTGAGGATGTCAAGTCTACGGTCAACATCAAGGACGTCTCACAGTCCACAGAGCAGACGCCTTTATTGATGGACAAGGATGCGGCGCGGGTGTCTCGGTCCACGGGTAAGCGACAAGCAGAACGAGTGGTGCCGTCATCTTTTCTTCCAAAGCCGGAAAGTTGTATTTACAACCTAACATTTGCGACACATTTATTTCTTCTATTATCTTCAAATTAATTTAAATTCATGTTATCATATTTACACACATCGAAATGTTTGCATGTGCCTTTATAGAAACCATTTTTTAAACTTTCTTGAATACGTGTGAAAAAAGGTGACCTATATAATAGGGCTGGGACGGGTAACTCGGACACTCGGGTCGGGTGGGTCCTGAGTAGGACACGGGGACCCACAGGACTACCCGGACCTGTGGTTAGTCACGTGATACATGCATATTGTTTAAAGACGAAACTTATCTAAAACTCTATGGTTACACTACAATCACTAATTTTCCCATTTCTTTCTGACAATGCACCCATTCCTTCTGACTTTTATATGTTTGAATAAAGATAAAACTTCATGCAGTAAACTTCAGTTTAGGCATGACCGATCGTTTTACACGTGTATGTAAATACATTTTGCTAGGGCTACAGTCACACATTTCCAAATCGGACAGTTTGTACCTTATTGTATCTCTAAATATCTACAGTGGATACCCGGGTAGCATCGGGTAATAGAGTGGTGGATACCCGGGTAGTAAATTTGGACTCGTTCCAGCCCTACTATATAACTGTCATTAAATTGTGTTTTAATGACAACATTCAGGGTGTATATGTAGTAGCAACTAATGGAATGTCAAACAGCGCGTGTAAGCAAGTGATTCTCGTGCATGACCTGAGATCACACTTGCAATGGGTCTGATGTTTATGTCGACATCTTAAGGGAGCGTCTCAAAAGTAAAGAAACACTTATTCTTTCTGCAGCTCAGTCATTTTCAGTGAGAGTGAGTTAGCGACGCCGCTTTTAACAGTATTCCAGTCATATCACGGCGTGTGGGAGGAAATCCCGAAGTGATGCAGGTCTGGGATGTTTACCACTTCGGTGAAACCCACCAGCACGGGTTTGGTGCTGACAAAAAACATAATCGGGGCGTACCGGGATTAGAACCCACAATCATAGGTTTCTGGTGTACCTATGGGACGCAACTCTGCACAGCGAATTGCGGCGCCTTGGACGACTGGGCCACGCGTTCATTCATGATGTCTTTCACAACCTTCAGTTTGAATGAAACATTCTCTTTAAATACTGATTGTTATGTCGGGTTCAGGTCACAGTTGATTTTGTATAGGGGGTATATTTTGTTTTTACTGACCAATAACAAGTTCCTGTGGTAAAACTGCATGGCCATGGTTCTTCAAAAGCAGGTCTATTAAGTACACTGAGGCGGTTTGTTTGCTAAAATGATTTCATACAGCGTTTCTTTGGTGCTCTTACCTTGGTAACCAAGAGATTGGGTCTCCTTTTTGTTTAACCGACGTTGGAGTTTTTCATATGGGTCTCTAACACTGTGATATGATGCGATCCCCAACAAAACTAAACTCTTGTCTGGGAGAGCAAGAAGAAGCTGTTCAGCTACATAGTATGTAAATGCCGTGGAGTTAATTACAGTGAGGTAGTCGCGTCGGTTTGTAGATTTTGACCGAAAAACCCAAGTGAGCCCTTCATGTACAATAATTAATCTCTCTCCATTCCCTGATGGTATCTTACGATTTGGACTTGTATCAGAGTGTTGCCACTGATATGATGGCGTAGGATTGAATTTCTCCACGTTTCATCAAGGTACATAACGACCACCCGATCCCGTTAGTCGCCTTTTACGACAAGCACAGTCGCTTTTTACGGCAAACATGGGTTCCTGAAAACCTATTCTAACCTGGATCTTCACGGGTGTAAATAACGTCATAGCCCTCTTCCCGTTCCTCTGAAATTGTGCGTGAATAATTTGCTCTCATGTTTACCAAATGCGTTCTTTGCAAAGTGATAGTTTTGTGCTTGACATACGTTTCTATCGAAAAGTATACTTCACAAATAAATTACATATTGTGTATCTTGAAAAAGAAATATTGTGTTCTTCGTGTAGAATCTTTTCAAGTTTTCCTGATGACAAATACTCGTTTTTCTGGTGAAATCTTCGAAATACGTCTCTCCCTACTCTCAAATCGAAACTGTGTTGCTTTGCTGCACATCTTGATTTGTTTAAATATTTGGTAGTTGAAGTCTTGTCAATGGCCTGATCAGGGGAGATAATCCGGCACAACGTTGAACGTGGTATTTTCAATGCTCATAAAGTTCTTTCCGTAGACGTGGAAAGCGATACAATGGGAATACCTCTCTCGGCTTCCTTTTTGAAGAACGAATACACACTGGTGATCATAGTGTGTGGTCCATGTATGTTAATCGTCGTATCGTTTCCGTTTTCCAATCATGTATATTCATTATTACACTTGTAGGGATGACCTCAGGTCATGCACGAGAATCACTTCCTTACATGACCTGTTAGACATTCCATCAATTGCGACCACACCTGAACGTTGTCATCAAAACAAACGCGAAATTATTATGATAGTTATATAGGTAACATTTTTCACAAATGATCAAGACAGTTTTAAAAAATGGTTTCTACTAAGGCACAGGCCTTATGTGTACAGGCATATGATTATTTGATTAATTTGCTGATAATTGGGAAAGGTTGACGAACTATAATGTGTAGAAGCCAGTCAAATAGACCAGGGGGGACAACCGTGCATCTGAGATGGTAGTTTGGCCTGTTGCAGGTGTTGCGCCGCAGATGTTGCTGTCGTTCTCCGTGTATTCCAACACCGTCAAGTTGTTGTCCGTGACACAACCCCCCGGGTCCATCTCCTGCATCCACGGCATCAGGTTCTTCAGCATGACGTGGGTCATACTTGGACACTCCCTGGCCTTCGCTATGTCAGCTGCACGTACGTCCAGCACTTTATATTGATTGTAATGTACACCTCATCTGTTCGGGCCTTCGCTATGTCAGCTGCACGTACGTCCAGTACTTTATAGTGATTGTAATGTCCACCTCATCTGTTCGGGCCTTCGCTATGTCAGCTGCACGTACGTCCAGCACTTTATATTGATTGTAATGTCAACCTCATCTGTTCGGGCCTTCGCTATGTCAGCTGCACGTACGTCCAGCACTTTATATTGATTGTAATGTCCACCTCATCTGTTCCGGCCTTGGTTTGTCAGCGCACGTCTACATGTGCCATTTTGTTTAATCTCCATTATCACGGCGTGGTTTAGGTGAAATCATGCTCAAAGTGGCATTAAGCCCTTTTTAACTACACGGTCGTTAAGTTCACAGCTGTAGCTGTTCTTACTCGCATGCCACATCTTAGTTATCGCGTATTCTTCTGAACTGTATGGTGGCTGATTAGGGCCATTGTCATATCGCTCTAAGAATCCATGCGATATCGCGATATTGTAACAGTACGACATGTCATTTCGATATCGCGACACGATATCGCGATAACACGACATGATTGAGTGAGTATGGTTTTACGCCGCTTTTAGTAATATTCCAGCAATATCACGGCGGGGGACACCAGAGATTGTACCCATTTCGGGAATCGAACCCGGGTCTTCGGCGTAACGAGCGAACGCTTTAACCACAAGGATCCCCGACCGCCCCTAACACTACACGACATGACGATAACACGACATGAAATGGCGATAACATGACACATTTCGATAATGCGATGTGGTAAGGCGATATTGCGGTATGGTAACGCGATATGGCGATAAAGCGACATGGAGATATTGCGATATGGAGATACGGTAATATCTCGATGGCCCTTATCAGAACTGAGATGCACAGATGAAAAATACAAGAGTGAGCACATTCAATCATTGCATGTTGCCTTGTGATTATGTGTTTGTGGCGTCTGTGTGACGTATACATGTACGTGGCGTGTGTGGGACGTATACATGTACGTGGCGTCTGTGTGACGTATACATGTACGTGGCGTTTGTGGGACGTATACATGTACGTGGCGTGTGTGTGACGTATACATGTACGTGGCGTCTGTGTGACGTATACATGTACGTGGCGTCTGTGTGACGTATACATGTACGTGGCGTGTGTGTGACGTTTACATGTACGTGGCGTCTGTGTGACGTATACATGTGCGTGGCGTCTGTGTGACGTATACATGTACGTGGCGTGTGTGTGATGTATACATGTACGTGGCGTCTGTGTGACGTATACATGTACGTGGCGTCTGTGTGACGTATACATGTACGTGGCGTTTGTGTGACGTATACATGTGCGTGGCGTCTGTGTGACGTATACATGTACGTGGCGTCTGTGTGACGTATACATGTACGTGGCTTCTGTGTGACGTATACATGTACGTGGCGTCTGTGTGACGTATACATGTACGTGGCGTGTGTGTGACGTATACATGTACGTGGCGTGTGTGTGACGTATACATGTACGTGGCGTGTGTGTGACGTATACATGTACGTGGCGTCTGTGTGACGTACGTATACATGTACGTGGCGTGTGTGTGACGTATACATGTACGTGGCGTCTGTGTGACGTATACATGTACGTGGCGTCTGTGTGACGTATACATGTACGTGGCGTCTGTGTGACGTAAACATGTACGTGGCGTCTGTGTGACGTATACATGTACGTGGCGTCTGTGTGACGTAAACATGTACGTGGCGTGTGTGTGACGTATACATGTACGTGGCGTGTGTGTGACGTATACATGTACGTGGCGTCTGTGTAACGTATACATGTACGTGGCGTCTGTGTGACGTATACATGTACGTGGCGTCTGTGTGACGTATACATGTACGTGGCGTCTGTGTGACGTATACATGTACGTGGCGTCTGTGTGACGTATACATGTACGTGGCGTCTGTGTGACGTAAACATGTACGTGGCGTCTGTGTGACGTATACATGTACGTGGCGATTGTGTGACGTATACATGTACGTGGCGTGTGTGTGACGTATACATGTACGTGGCGTCTGTGTGACGTATACATGTACGTGGCGAGTGTGTGACGTATACATGTACGTGGCGTTTGTGTGACGTATACATGTACGTGGCGTCTGTGTGACGTATACATGTACGTGGCGTGTGTGTGACGTATACATGTACGTGGCGTCTGTGGGACGTATACATGTACGTGGCTTCTGTGTGACGTATACATGTACGTGGCGTCTGTGTGACGTATACATGTACGTGGCGTGTGTGTGACGTATAAATGTGCGTGGCGTCTGTTTGACGTTTACATGTACGTGGCGTCTGTGTGACGTATACATGTACGTGGCGTGTGTGTGTGTCACCTGCACAATTTGACCACCTTTATATCACCTGTAAATTTCATTCACTTGTTTATCACACAAACAGTGTATTGTTGGTTGGTTTGTTGTTTAACGCCGCACTCAGCAATATTCCAGCTATATGACGACGGTCTGTAAATAATCGAGTCTGGACCAGACAATCCAGTGATTAATATCATGAGCATCGATCCACGCAATTGGGATCGATGACATGCATCAACCAAGTCAGCGAGCCTGACCACCCGATCCCGTTAGTCGCCTCTTACGACAAGCAGAGTCGCCTTTTACGGCAAGCATGGGTTGCTGAAGACCTATACTACCCCGGATGTAAGCGCTTTAAGAAGCAACCAACTCAAATCAGTGATCATATTATAGAAATAAATCATTCTCCTATTCTACCCCGGAATCTTCACGGGTCTACAGTGTATTGACTATATATACAGTGTATTGACTATATTATATATAAACTGTGTTCACCTGTATAGTTGTGGTCACGAACCCTCTGTTGCAGAGAACATGGCTGACTACTCGGCCAGGTCTACAAAACACTGGACGTTCCAAGCCATCAGTAACGCCACCGTCTCCGTAGACTCCTTCTTCACTCTCAGGTGAGATACGTCCTCCTTAGATCAGAACGGGCACACTACGGTGATCTAAGTTAGAGACATTGAAACAATCAGTAATATAGACGACAGGCAACACCTTTGTAATGCTCAGGTAATGTCTTTCTCAATTAAGTCACGTGTCAGGTAAGTCACGTCACGCTGACGTAATGAAGTCGACACGTTTTGTATCGAGATGAGATATTTTTTTCAGCTTAAGCTATAAAACCAGATTATTTTTAAAGACATGTGCCTGAATAGTTTTTTTTAAGAAAAACATCTTTCAACGAAGTAATTTTGGGGGCAGGAAATTCCATTTCCTTTTCAACAGACTGAAGCATATTTACGGAAGCCTTTTAGGGCCATTTGGTTTTTTTGGTTTTTTCGATACTATCTTGAAATTTCAAGATACTAAGTTGAAATTTCAAGATACTAAGTTGAAATTTCAAGAAACTAAGTTGAAATTTCAAGATACAGAAGTTGAAATTTCAAGATACTAAGTTGAAATTTCAAGATGGTATTTTGAAATTTCAAGATAGTATCTTGAAATTTCAACTTAGTTTCTTGAAATTTCAACTTAGTATCTTGAAATTTCAAGATAGTATCGAAAACAAATATTTAAAAAATGGCCCTAAAAGGCTTCCGTACATATTATATTTTTTTTCAAGAACTTTCGGGGACAATTTATTGTCAGCCAGCCCCTAGAATATCAAATAATCGGTCTCTAGATGTCGAACGCAGCAGAGGGTGGTGGTCCTCTGTACGTTGTTTTCATGAAAGACATGTTCTGTTATGGCAGCGGTCTGCTGGTGTCGTACCTCGTGCTGAAGGAGCTGTCCCGCAACAACGGCAAAATCAACTGGTTGATGTTCTTCTTCCACAGATTCTGGAGGTAGGCACTGCTGGGACTACATATGTAGCACGTCCAATTGAAGCTTACGCCGCTATTTAGCAATATTCCAGCAATATTCACAACGATGAACACGAAAAATGTACGAAAGCCCAATGGCGCCGCCTTGACTGCATAATTATTTTTTCTAAATCGAAATTTCTAGTCATTTTAATTATTTGTTTATTTTTCCGAAATTTCGAGGTGTATCTTGTTAATTGAATTACATATTTTCGTAATTTCGATTAATTTTTTTATTTTTTAAGTTTTGTTTTTTTTTAATGAAATTTTGAATTTTGTCTCGTTACTTCGACTATGTTCTCGTAATTTCGAGTATTTTTCTCCTTACTTCGATTATTGTTTTGTAGTTACGATTATTTTCTCTTTATTTCAAGTTTGTTTGTTTTTAAAACGAAAATACGAGCAAATTCTTGTATAATCGATTATTATCTCTTTATTTTAAGTTTATATAATAAACTGGAAATTTGGAATTTTTAGAATAAACTCAAATTATGAGAAAAAGATTGAAATTACGACAAAATAATCGAAGTTACGTGAAAAAACTTGTAACTTCAATCTTTCAAAATAAACTAGAAATAACGAGAAAATAACCGAAATTACGAGAAAATAATTGAAATTACGAAAATAGGATCGAAGTAACGAGACAAAAATCCAAATTTCGAGAAAAAACAACAAATAATTGAAATTAGAAATTTCGTTTAAAAAAACACAATTATGCTACAAAAATGCGCACAATAAGTGAGTGAGTATGGTTTTACGCCGCTTTTAGCAATATTCCAGCAATATCACGGCGGGGGACACCACAAATGGGCTTCACACATTGTACCCATATCGGGAATCGAACCCGGGTCTTCGGCGTGACGAGCGAACGCTTTAACCACTAGGCTACCCGACCGCCCCACGCGCGCACAATAAGGCTTTCGTAGAAGTGTGCTTCATACATTGAACCAATACATGTAGGTTCAAGCGACACATTTACCCCTGTCCTTGGTGGCAGGCTGACCCCCGTCTACATGCTGGTCATCATGGTGTACGTCCCGCTGTTCCGCTACTGGGGGGAGGGGCCCTTCTGGCCTCAGGGGGGCATTGAACCCACCAACTGCGAGTACTGGTGGACCAACCTCCTCTACATCAACAACCTCGTCAACACAGACAAAATGGTATGAACATCTCCGTGGACGACAAAGTAGCCGTCATTAATATTAACAAGATAGGTGAAATTGCGTTAAAAATTGCAAAACTGCTTTACTACTCCTATAATGAAACGACTTGTGCACATAAAAAATAATAAATACATCTCGAATTAGTGATGTTTCGTGCACTGGCATGCATTAGGTGTTGTTTCAGTGTATGAACTGGTACTGACGTGCGTCTGGTGATGTTTCAGTGTATGAACTGGTACTGACGTGCGTCTGGTGATGTTTCAGTGTATGAACTGGTACTGACGTGCGTCTGGTGATGTTTCAGTGTATGAACTGGTACTGACGTGCGTCTGGTGTTGTTTCAGTGTATGAACTGGTATTGGCTTGCGTCTGGTGATGTTTCAATGTATGAACTGGTACTGACGTGCGTCTGGTGATGTTTCAATGTATAATCTGGTATTGGCTTGCGTCTGGTGATGTTTCAATGTATAATCTTGTAGTGACGTGCGTCTGGTGATATTTCGGTTTTTGTTTGTTTTGTTTGTTGTTTAAAGCCGCACTCAGCAATATTCCAGCTATATGACGGCGGTCTGTAAATAATCGAATCTGGACCAGACAATCCAGTGATTTACATCATGAGCATCGATCCATTCAATTGGGATCGATGACATGTATCAATCAAGTCAGCGAGCCTGACCACCCGATCCCGTTAGTCGCCTCCTACAACAAGCACAGTCGCCTTTTACGGCAAGCATGGGTTGCTGAAGACCTATTCTACCCCGGAATCTTCACGGGTCTACAGTGTATTGACTATATATACAGTGTATTGACTATATATAATATATAAACTGTGTTCACCTGTATAGTTGTGGTCATCTGCCCTCTGTTCCAGAGAACATGGCTGACGAGGTATTGATCTGCGTCTGGTGATGTTTCAGTATTGTGGTTTTTTTTATGTTTCAATGTATGAACACATCCCATTTTTGTTACCTTGTTCCCGTGTGTGTAATGTTGTTTCGGTGCCTGCTTTGTTGTTTCAGTGCATGGGTTGGTCCTGGTATCTGGCGAACGACATGCAGTTCTACATCCTCAGCCCCCTAATCTTCATGCCGTTCTTCTAGTAAGTCACATATGGCCTGGAGATGAGTGTCTAGTGGAAGTAAACGTTGTATCATCATTTTACCCACATCACGATACACACATCTTTCCGAGGCAAAGGAGTTGAAAACTAACTATAGAAGTCCTGTTTCCACCCTTGCCAAACTGGGCTGGGATTTCGTGGCTCGATTGTAGAGCCACCAGTGGCTATTACGAGTTATGTCCCTTCTATATCCCTCCTATTGACCAATCAGATTCCACCTCTCATATCACTTGCATTTGCTTCAAACAAAATGGTGGCGCCCGATCGAGACGATCTCATCGATAATACAGATCTTTATTGCAACAAAACGGGTCTCAGCTCGCGAAGTGCACAATATCATTTGAGCACCTTGATTAAAAACCTGAAAACATTTGGCAAATATCTGTCAACGCCCAGTTGACGGTACACATGCTTTTCAAATCCTGCTGTCGACCGAAACCTGCACTTGAAATCCATGTTGATATCTTCCTTTTTATTCGATTTTGTCCGCAATTTCAGCCTAGTTAGGCAAGAGGGCACTGGTGGCCCAGTCGTCTAAGGCGCCGCAATTCGCTGTGCAGATTTGCGTCCCTTTGACACGCCAGAAACCTATGATTCGCCCCGATTATGTTTCTAGATTTGTCAGCACCATACCCATGCTCGTGGGTTTCACCGAAGAGGTAAACATCTGAGACCTGCATCACTTCGGGCTTTCCTCCCACATTAGGCTGACACGCCGTGATATAACTGGAATACTGTTAAAAGCGGCGTTAAACCCAACTCACTCACTCACTCACTAGTTCGGCAAGGGTGGAAACTGGAGTTCTATAGTCAGTTAACTCCATTGCTTTGGAAAGATGCAGTGGGGCACACCGCCAATTGGTTTCACACGTTGTACATTCGGACGAGCCAACAACTTAACCATATCTACGCTAAACTATATAGCCTCTTCATAATTTCACTCATCCTCTACTAACATACAGTAAACTACGGTTATAACGAACTCAAAGGGACCACCCATTTTAGTTCGTAATAACCGTAGTTCGTTTTAAGCATATATACAGCATATATGCAACACATGGCCGGGGCTAACAAGTAAGTTCGTTATATCGGTTTGTTCGTTATACGCGTGTTCGTTATAACCGTAGTTTATTGTAATCCAAAAAACACCAAACTCCGTGTTACAGTTCGTGGAAGGCGGGGACTGCCTCAGCGATGACGTTCCTGCTGACGACGTTCATCGCCTCCGGTGTCATCTCCAAAGAGAACGCCTTCCCGGCCAGCATGATGAGCAACCCTCTGTGGGTACCCTGTTCCTCCCATTCCTATTGTGAAGACCGCCTCCGTGGTCTAGTGGTAGAGCGTCCGCCCGGAGAGCGGAAGGTCCGGGGTTCGATCCCCGGCCGCGTCATACCAAAAGACGTTAAAAGATGGTACTTGTTGTTACCCTGTCTGGCGCTCGGCATTAAGGGGCTAAAGCAAGGACTGGTCGGCTCGGAGTATAGTATAGTAGAGGTCTGTAAATATTCGAGTCTGAACCAGACAATCCACTGATTGACATTATGAGCATCGATCCACGCATTTTGGATATGATGACATGCATCAACCAAGTCAGCGAGCCTGACCACCCGATCTCGTTAGTCGCCTTAAACGGCAAGAATGGGTTGTTGAAGACCTATTCTACTTCGGATCTTTACGGATGTAGACATTGACGTTGGTGATAAAAATAAACAATGACCACTGTAATGGAACGTTGGTCAAAGGGATATAGATATAAACTGACCACTGTTATTGGACGCTGATCAAAGGGATATAGATATATACTGACCACTGTTATTGGACGCTGATCAAAGGGATATAGATATATACTGACCGCTGTTATTGGACGCTAATCAAAGGGATATAGATATATACTGACCGCTGTTATTGGACGCTGATCAAAGGGATATAGATATATACTGAACACTGTTATTGGACGCTGATCAAAGGTATAAAGATATATACTAACCGCTGTTATTGGACGCTGATCAAAGGGATATAGATATATACTGACCGTTGTTATTGGACGCTTATCAAAGGGATATAGATATATACTGACCGCTGTTATTGGACGCTTATCAAAGGGATATAGATATATACTGACCGCTGTTATTGGACGTTGGTCAAAGGGATATAGATATAAACTAACTACTGTTTTTGGACGTTGGCCAAAGGGATACAGATATATACTGACCACTGTTTTTGGACGTTGAACAAAGTGATACAGATATATATTGACCACTGTTATGGACGTTGATCAAAGAGATACAGATATATACTGACCACTGTTATTGGACGTTGATCGTACAGATATATACTGACCACTGTTATTGGACATTGATCAAAGTGATACAGTTATGTACTGACCACTGTTATTGGACGTTGATCAATGTGATACAGATATATACTGACCACTGTTATTGGACGTTGATCGTACAGATATATACTGACCGCTGTTATTGGACGTTGATCAATGTGATACAGATATATATTGACCACTGTTATGGACGTTGATCATACAGATATATACTGACCACTGTTATTTGACCTCGATCATATAGATATATATTGACCACTTTTATTAGACATTGATCATACAGATATATACTGACTACTGTGATTGGACTTTGATCATACAGATATATACTGACCACTGTTGTTTGACCTTGATCATACAGATATATACCGACTGCTGATATTGGACATTGATCAAAGTGACACAGATATATACTGACCACTGTTATTGGACGTTGATCAATGTGATACAGATATGTACTGACCACTGTTATAGGACGTTGATCAAAGAGATACAGATATATACTGACCACTGTTATTGGACGTTGATCAATGTGATACAGATATGTACTGACCACTGTTATAGGACGTTGATCAAAGAGATACAGATATATACTGACCACTGTTATTGGACGTTGATCGTACAGATATATACTGACCACTGTTATTGGACATTGATCAATGTGACACAGATATATACTGACCACTGTTATTGGACGTTGATCAATGTGATACAGATATGTACTGACCACTGTTATTGGACGTTGATCAATGTGATACAGATATATACTGACCACTGTTATTGCACGTTGATCGTACAGATATATACTGACCGCTGTTATTGGACGTTGATCAATGTGACACAGATATATACTGACCACTGTTATTGGACGTTGATCAATGTGATACAGATATGTACTGACCACTGTTATGTCCATCCAGGAAGACTATGGACTTTATGCTGAAATACTACATGAAACCATACACCCGTATAGGGCCCTACATTGTCGGCCTGTGGGTCGGCTACCTGCTCTACAAGACTGACTGCAAGTATAAAATGTCCAAGGTGAGTCACAGTTGTGTGTCAGGTCCACGTGTGCAACTGGATCTGAAAAGGTCTCCCACCCTTTCTTCTTTCAAGAGTTGACTGTCAACACACCTGTTCCAAAAATACCACGGCCGAACAGGAGTTGTGTTCTTTATTTCATGGCTGATTGATTAACTCTGAGATACCATGCCGTAGATAACATGGATACCCCACTCAGACACAGAATACGGACTTCGAGCCGACCATTCTTTGTTTTATTCCCTTATGGGGCCTTTACAAAGAATGGCGACCTTTGTGGCTCCCGTGTGTGACCATAAAATTTGCCAGGTCGTCGTTGGAGGCACAAAGGTGGCAGAATGGTTGCCTTGGTCGTTCCAAGGTGGTACACAGGAGGTTCAGACATCGCCATGGACGCCATGGTCGCCGTAATTTTTTTAACGTGTTCAAAACAGTCGCACAAAGGTCTCCGAGGAGGTTGGTTGCTCAAAGGAGGCTCAAAGCAGGCAGAAGGGAGGCACAAGCATTGTTGTTGTTGCAGAATGAAGGCACAGTCGCCAGGTAAAAGATGCGTTCTGCTGAACTATTTTCCCGTCAATCTGGGCGATGCTTCTGCCTCCCTTGTGCCTCCTTTTGGGCGACCAACAGAGTGCATTAAACGATGACTGTGGCGCCAGCCGTGCCAGCCTTGGGCACCATGGCAATGCTTCTGCCTCTTTTCTGCCTCCTTTGAGCTACCTGTGATTGTCATTGTGATTGCAGACGCTGAACAACTCGAGCAGTTACTGCTGAACAACTGCTGGAGCAGTTACATAGAAACATGATTTTCTGGGTTTAGGCGACCAGGCCTGTGTAAAGGTCGCAGCCCCGTGTAAAGGGGCCTTTAAATTCAAAGCGCCTGGCAGGGTAACAAAAAGTACCATATTTTATATAACGCCTCATTGTTGGACGAGGTTGGGGATCGAACCACATATCTACTCTCCGGGCAGAAGGTCTGTCTACTAGACCACGGAGGCGGTCTGTGAGTTACGCGCTGGGGATGGTTTAGGTTATGTGTTTGACGGTTGAAAATCAAGATTGTGTTTTACATTTACAACATTCTGAGATGACCAAATTGAATATGAGTCACCTTGGTATTCTGTTGGGTCAATGTAACTGTTGCAGACTGTCACCTTGTTAGGATGGGCTATAGCATCGGCTGTCGCCCTTGCTGTGTTGTATGGCCTTTACGACGACGCCAACGGCCACCACCTCACCGTCGACGCGGCCGCTTTCTACAACGCCGTCCACAGGACTGCTTGGGGAGCGTGTGTAGCGTGGGTGGTGTTCGCATGTGCAACCGGGAATGGAGGTAGGTATCTCTCGCTGGTGCTGTTTACATACCAGGATACAGGATAGGATTATCAATGTTTGGCCTACACTAATACTGGGACCACACTTTACAGCCATGGCTTTCTCAATCTCATTAAAATCACATCTTAGTTCTCGCTACCGCTAAACAAAGATCTGAGGACATCCCATTAGGGATCACGTCAGGACGACCTTTCATCCGACCAATCAGAGCGTCGCTTACAAGATCATGAAAGTGACAGTCGGAATGTGATTTCTAATCATGCAACCTCGAAAACTTTAACACGGGGTATTCCGAACGATAGTTACGAGTTAAACAACTGAATCCATACAATCTAGACAATATATTTGCCATTCCGAATGTCATTTTGTTCAGGTTTCAAATTTTTAATAGAGAATTTGTGAAAATATGTTTCGAAGCGTAGTCGCCAATTTGGAATTAGTGCCGTAAAGCACGAGAAAGCTGCCTTCTGATTGGCTAATGTCGACTTCTTGTCAGTCTTTCCATTGGTCGGTCAAAATTCTCGCAAGATCGGTCTGACGTGACCCGTAATGGGATGTCCTCAGATCTTTGTTTAGCGATAGCGAGAACTAACATCTGATTTTAATAAGATTGTGGCTTCCTCTCCCTGTAAACCTATGGGGGTCCCAAGCAGCCTTGCTGCTCGCAAGAGGCGACTAAAACGATCGGGTGGTCAGGCTTGGTGACTTGGATTGTGGCATGTCGGCGTGGACCGTTTCTCATGCTAATAACTGGATCTGATCCCGGCGTCTTTATTTACAGGCGGGGCGGTCGGGTAGCCTGGTGGTTAAAGCGTTCGCTCGTCACGCCGAAGACCCGGGTTCGATTCCCGACATGAGTACAATGTGTGAAGCCCATTTCTGGTGTCCCCCGCCGTGATATTGCTGGAATATCGATAAAAGCGGCGTAAAACCATACTCACTCACTCACTCACTTATTTACAGGCCATCGTCATACAGCAGGAATAGCGCTGATTGTGCCGTTAAACAACGAACACCCACTCTCATTGTATTAAACTAAACCGGAAATCGTTTTCAATAAAAATAACAAAAAACGGTTTGACATGTACTTTGCCTGCCCCTACTCTGTCGGTAACTACACTTCACGTCCAACTCTGTGTTGTTTGTTTGTTTGTTGTTTAACGCCGCACTCAGCAGTATTCCAGCTATATGACGGCGGTCTGTAAATAATCGAGACTGGACCAGACAATCCAGTGATTGACGTCATGCACATCGATCCACGCAATTGGGATACGATGTCATACATCAACCAAGTCAGCGAGCCTGACCACCCGATCCCGTTAGTCGCCTCTTACCCCAAGCATAGTCGCCTTTTACGACAAGCATGGGTTGCTGAAGACCTATACTACCCCGGATGTAACTGCTTAAAGAAGCAACCAACTTCAATCAGTGATCAAATTATAGAAATAAATCATTCTCCTGAAAAATGTCACTGGCAGCAAATCACCACCTTAAAAGACAGTCTTCTTGTTTACTGCTACTCTTGTCTTCCAGGTTTCGTCAACACCCTGCTGTCCTGGCGTGCCATCATACCTCTCAGTCGCCTCACCTACACCGGCTACCTCGTCCACCCCATCGTCATGTACGTCTACTACTTCGGACGGGAACAGCTCTATGTCTTCTCCACAGTAGATGTGGTAAGGGTCCTCTGAATGAAGCCTCCTTGTGCTAGTTGTATGAAACATGCTTCTGTTGTACTAACCTTGGTCATGTAGTTGTATGAAACATGCTACTGTTGTACTAACCTTGGTCATGCAGTTGTATGAAACATGCTTCTGTTGTACTAACCCTGGTCATGCAGTTGTATGAAACATGCTTCTGTTGTACTAACCCTGGTCATAGTTGTATGAAACATGCTTCTGTTGTACTAACCCTGGTCATGCAGTTGTATGAAACATGCTTCTGTTGTACTAACCCTGGTCATAGTTGTATGAAACATGCTTCTGTTGTACTAACCCTGGTCATAGTTGTATGAAACATGCTTCTGTTGTACTAACCCTGGTCATAGTTGTATGAAACATGCTTTTGTTGTACTAACCCTGGTCATGTAATTGTATGAAACATGCTTCTGTTGTACTAACCCTGGTCATAGTTGTATGAAACATGCTTCTGCTGTACTAACCCTGGTCATAGTTGTATGAAACATGCTTCTGTTGTACTAACCCTGGTCATAGTTGTATGAAACATGATTCTGTTGTACTAACCCTGGTCATGCAGTTGTATGAAACATGCTTCTGTTGTACTAACCCTGGTCATAGTTGTATGAAACATGCTTCTGTTGTACTAACCCTGGTCATAGTTGTATGAAACATGCTTCTGTTGTACTAACCCTGGTCATAGTTGTATGAAACATGCTTCTGTTGTACTAACCCTGGTCATAGTTGTATGAAACATGCTTCTGTTGTACTAACCCTGGTCATAGTTGTATGAAACATGCTTCTGTTGTACTAACCCTGGTCATGTAGTTGTATTAAACATGCTTCTGTTGTACTAACCCTGGTCATAGTTGTATTAAACATGCTTCTGTTGTACTAACCCTGGTCATAGTTGTATGAAACATGCTTCTGTTGTACTAACCCTGGTCATAGTTGTATGAAACATGCTTCTGTTGTACTAACCCTGGTCATGTAATTGTATTAAACATGCTTCTGTTGTACTAACCCTGGTCATAGTTGTATGAAACATGCCTCTGTTGTACTAACCCTGGTCATAGTTGTATGAAACATGCTTATGTTGTACTAACCCTGGTCATAGTTGTATGAAACATGCTTTTGTTGTACTAACCCTGGTCATGTAATTGTATGAAACATGCTTCTGTTGTACTAACCCTGGTCATAGTTGTATGAAACATGCTTCTGTTGTACTAACCCTGGTCATGTAATTGTATGAAACATGCTTCTGTTGTACTAACCCTGGTCATAGTTGTATGAAACATGCCTCTGTTGTACTAACCCTGGTCATAGTTGTATGAAACATGCTTCTGTTGTACTTACCCTGGTCATGTAATTGTATGAAACATGCTTCTGTTGTACTAACCCTGGTCATAGTTGTATGAAACATGCTTCTGTTGTACTAACCCTGGTCATAGTTGTATGAAACATGCTTCTGTTGTACTAACCCTGGTCATAGTTGTATGAAACATGCTTCTGTTGTACTAACCCTGGTCATGTAATTGTATTAAACATGCTTCTGTTGTACTAACCCTGGTCATAGTTGTATGAAACATGCCTCTGTTGTACTAACCCTGGTCATAGTTGTATGAAACATGCTTCTGTTGTACTAACCCTGGTCATAGTTGTATGAAACATGCTTCTGTTGTACTAACCCTGGTCATAGTTGTATGAAACATGCTTATGTTGTACTAACCCTGGTCATGAAGTTGTATGAAACATGCTTCTGTTGTACTAACCCTGGTCATAGTTGTATGAAACATGCCTCTGTTGTACTAACCCTGGTCATAGTTGTATGAAACATGCTTCTGTTGTACTAACCCTGGTCATAGTTGTATGAAACATGCTTATGTTGTACTAACCCTGGTCATAGTTGTATGAAACATGCTTATGTTGTACTAACCCTGGTCATGAAGTTGTATGAAACATGCTTATGTTGTACTAACCCTGGTCATAGTTGTATGAAACATGTTTCTGTTGTACTAACCCTGGTCATGAAGTTGTATGAAACATGCTTCTGTTGTACTAAGCCTGCTCATGTAGTTGTATGAAACATGCTTCTGTTGTACTAAATCTTCTTGCGCCAACTGTTTGATTGGCATTCTAGAAGTTGGTGAGTAAGAAAACATACAACTTTATGGATAACTATAAGCAACAAACCAGAAGTTGTTATCCATAAAGTTGTATGTTTTCTTTCTTCTTGCACCAGTTGTATGAAGCATTTTTTCTGTTGTACTAACCTTGAACCAATTGTATGAAACATTCTTCTGTACAAAAATCATCTTTTTGACTGATTTCCAGGAGTTACAGGAATTGACCAAGACGAATAAATCCCTAAAAAGACCTTCATAGTAGATCATTATAGGAAACTGAGTGTCATTAGAAGAACGACCAACAACCTATTTCAGAAAATGCTTAAACAAAACATGTTTTGTTTTTAGTTATGTTACATTGAGCCTGTGTGCTGGGAACAAAATCTGATAAAGAAGTGAATGATAAAATGCCTCAGGTTTATCATCATATTATGACAGAATTGACATCTAATATTATTTTGTTCCAGATATGGACCTTCTTTGGAAATTTAGTGGCTGCATACATAATAGCATATGTGACATCTCTTGCATTTGAGGCGCCGATGATGGGGCTTGAGAAGATCCTGCTCAAAAGGAAGAAATCTTAGCACATCTCTCCATCCTTCTCTTCACAAGATTACAGCCATGAAAGCAGACAAACCTAATGCCATCTGGACCACAAATACAATTTATTTCCAATTTCCTGACATTAGGCGGAATGTCTCCATATGTTTATAGAGAGACATTTATCAATATTTCTATCTGAATGTTCTATCTCAGCATATGTACATCCTTTAAAGCTCTTGTTCGTAATGGTGGATAACACAATAGACAGCATGTTAATTACATTAATGATGATTTCAATACAGTATTTGATCTAGTGTAACTGTGATGCACTTGGTAGGTTGACTTGTACAGTATTTTCCTCTGTGTCAGTCGCTTCTTGCCGACATCTGTTATGGGGCTGTCTTACACCTTATTTGTCTGGAAAAATATCTGACTGTGCAAGAAATGTTTTGTATTGACCTTAATCAAAATAAATCCATGAACAAAAACAAACATAGATTCTAAATTTATTTGGTTTCACTTAACCAGCCTATCAAGCAGTAATTCGCAAAATGAATGACTTGATATGGATTACTGTATTTGTGTCCATTTGCAGTGCATTCCCAAACACAAGATCCTAAGACAAAGGCTTGAACTGAGTATGCCTGCAGCAGCTCTATCAGCATTTGCCCCACAGGCGGACTCTGTTGTATATTATAATGATTACACTGGAAGTGTCATAAGGTTTGGGTTCCCCAGGGCCCACTTGCACAAAGCGATCTTAGCACTAAGACTATGGTAAGCCTATGTTGAAGTATGGGAGTTACGATCATTTTAGCGCTAAGATCGCTTTGTGCAAGTGGGCCCAGGAGTGATTCTGTTCAGCTCAAAGTACTGCCACAGCATTGTGACAGCAAGCTGTTGATTCCTGAGTTTATTCCCACAGCAAGCTGTTAACTTATTTATGGACTACTTCCACAGCCAGGTGTTGTGACCAGGTCGTACTGCCAAGCTGCTGCACCCCTCCAGACAACACATCCCCTGCTGGAGTCCCTCCCTGCTACTCCTCCTGCACCTCCCCACAGTCTTCTATAGACACTCTCTTAACTGGGGTGCCATTCCGGGAACCACAAGCCTGCAGAAGGAATTGTGCAATTAATAATAGTTGGCTACATTAACTAAGGAGCTTAACTTGAGTCAGTGACTACTGGGGCTTTTGCAGCTTTTAGCAATATTACAGCTACATTAAATAAAAACGGGACATCACAATAGACTTCCCATTTCCTAACATAGGGAAACAAACCCTGGTCGTTGGCAATGAAATGTCTCCTTGGATATTTTCAGACAATGAGATATATTAAATACAGTTAACACTTGTATCGAACTTTGATGTGTCGAACTGACGCTTGTCTTGAAATATAAGCTTGGTCCCTGCATATTCATTCTTTACTCATCACTTACAGTTAAGTCAAACCTCAGATAACTCGAAATATTTACGTAACTTCAACACAGCAGTGTTTGTTTGACTAATTTTTAGAAAACATACTAAACATTTCATTGGTTGTAAGTTTGAAGTCCTATGACCTTGTTTCAATGGAAACAATCATAACAAACCAAACTTAGTGTAGAGCTGACAAGAAATATAGATGCTAAACGCTGCAAGATGACATGAGGTACTTCTCATATATCAGTTGAGCTAGAAAAACAGGCCAACATCAATTCACACATCTCCATATGAAATATCAGAACAAATTCAGTGTCAAGTAATATCTAAATCAATTAGTTGACAAGCTTGTCGTTTCAACAACTGATGCTGATGGCAGATCAATGATAAAGTGAGTGAGTGAGAGAGTGAGTTGGGTTGAACCTGCTTTGAACAGTATCCCAGTTATATGTGTGAGAGGAAAGCCCTAAGTGATGCAGGTCTCAGACATTTACCACTTCGGTGAAACCCACGAGCACGGGTATGGTGCTGACAAACCTAGAAACATAATCGGGGCAACCTGGGATTCAAACCCACAATCATAGGTTTCTGGCATGCCCAAGGGACGCAACTCTACACCGCAAATTACAGCCCCTTAGACGACTGGGCCACCCGTGCCCCCTTCAGTGATAAAGTGTCTCACCTCCATCTTCTTGACGATGTCCAAGCCCTCGGTGACTTGACCAAACACAACATGCTTCCCATCCAACCTGGAACACAGCAACATGACAGTGTTGTCTAAACTAATATCTTATCTTATTCAAAATTGTTATTTCATTCAAAATTGGGATTATTTTACAGTTCTCATTTTCCTAAGTTCAGACATCTTTTATCACTGTATCTTAACAAAACATTCAATAAAGTAAAAATAAGCATTTACGTTTTAATTCCAATTGGAAATTTTTTACTGACATTTGCTGCAGACTTGGGGCCAAATACTAGCCTCTAAGCAGGTCTAGATAAATCCCTGATGACTTAAAATTTAAATAACAGAGCATGCATGATGCTTCCTGGCTTAATATTGTCTCAATCTAAGACAGATTTTATCACGCTTCAGATGCAGCAACTTTAACATTGCAGTAAATGCAGGAAGACACCATTCTATACCTTTTTAGTCTCAGTAAGGGAAATTATTTTATGGAAGATGAATTGTATATTTTGTTTGTGTATGAACTTCATAATCTCCCAAGAAATAACTTGATATGTTAATATATAACTATCCCATCCATATAGTCTTTCATAATCTTGATTTCATCACAAGATTATAAAAATATTGCATAACGCAAGTGTATTCCTCTAGAGTGAGTGAGTTGGGTTTAACGCCGCTTCTAACAGTATTCCAGTTATATCGTGGCGTGTCAGCTTAATGTGGGAGGAAAGCCCGAAGTGATGCAGGTCTCAGACGTTTGCCACTTTGGTGAAACCCACGAGCACAGGTATGGTGCTGACAACCCTAGAAACATAATCGGAGCAAACTTGGATTTGAACCCACAATCATAGGTTTCTGGCGTGCACAAGGGACGTGACTACACAGCGATTCGGGGCCCCTTAGACGACTGGGCCACCCGTTTCCCCTATTCCTCCAGAAGGCAAATCAAATAAGAAATACTGTTCCTTACATTATTGATATATATACACATCTATTTCTGTATGTATCATGTATAACTATATTGTGCTGATGGTTATATCTCTGCTATACTGATGTATGTTCATCTTCCCAGGGCAAGAGCATCCACAAGCCTTGTTATCAAAGTCTTGTTTCCACCCTTGCCACATCAAGCCCACTTTCCTGTGCTAAATATGATTGGACTATCACACATGTCGATAGTCCAATCAGAGAACGTTTCCCAGAATCAACATCCACGACTGGTACACCTTCGTATGAATGTGATTTTACCACCGCCTGTCTTTGTTGACATGAATATGTCTTATTCATCTTTTAAACTCCCAACGATTGCCAATGTTTTTGTGTCAGGGATGAAATCGCGAATGTTTGGCTATTTGATCGACTAGGTCATTGCCTATGGTAGTCGCCATCTTTGTGAAGCTATTCAAGATAACAGCGAGCTGATTGGATATCACGTTTTCATTACAAGGGGCACTAGTTGTGATCTACGCGAGGTGGCCAGGGTTCCAGCCAAGAAAAGTGGCCTTGATGTGGCAAGGGTAGAACTAGGCTTTGATATGTTTATTGGGCCAATGTCCTTATACTGAATAAATGTCTGTCTGTCTGTCTAATGTCTCAATGTGTATTTAATTCCAGTGATTTGCTGTGCAAGTCGATTGTGATGTTTTTTCGGCAGTGAGCAGGGATTATTCTGATGTGAGATTGACGAAAGGTGCCTGGTCTGCAACAAATGGGATATTTTTGAAATGCTAATGAATATTTGTGCTGTGTATGAATATGAAATAATTACAATATTAAATTGGTAGTATCATACCATTCTGTTTTTTCTGTGCAAATGAAGAACTGAGAGCCATTTGTGTTGGGGCCAGCATTAGCCATGGAGAGAATCCCTGCAATGAAATATAACCAAACATTACAGATCTTTGAAAAGAAGTTTGTTTGTTTGTTTGTTTGTTGTTTTACGCCGCACTCAGCAATATTCCAGCTATATGACAGCGGTCTTTAAATAATCAGGTCTGGATCAGACAATCCAGTGATTGATATCATGAGTATCGATCCACACGATTGGGATACAATGACATGTATCAACCAAGTCAGCGAGCCTCACCACCCAATCCCGTTAGTCGCCTTTTATGACAAGCATAGTCGCCTTTTACAGCAAGCATGGGTTGCTGAAGACCTATTTTACCCCGGATCTTCTTGGGTCTATTTGAAAAGAAAGCTGAATAGGGCAGTTTTACACTTCATTAACATCTGCCTTTGTAAGCATTGCATGCATAACATTCAGAATACATGTAGTTTGTAATCGTCGGGAAAGAAGAGTGAGAGTTCATATTTTACCCTGCACCTGCATTTCTTCAAGAACCATATGGACACACCATCATGAGCACGTCACATTCCCCAATACATCTTCCCCAGGCAAGAGAGTTAACTGACTTTATAAGTCCAGTTTCCACCCTTGCCGAACTAGGCTGGAATTCCTGGGCTCCATCGTAGCGCCACAAGTGGCTATTACGAGTTATGTCCCTTCTATTCCTAACCTATGGACCAATCAGAATCCACCCCTCGTATCACTTGCGTTTGCTTTAAACAAAATGGCGCTGCCCAGTCAAGATGATCTGATTGATAATCAAGATCTATATTGTGATATAACAGACCTTACATCATGAAGTGCATCATCAAAAAGCAGCACCTTGATTAAAAACATGAAAAGATTTGGAAAATATCTGTTGACAATGAGTTGGCTGTGCACATACTTTGCAAATCCTGCAATCGACCGAAATCTACATGACAGGATTTTGATTTCATTGCGAGATTTTGACTGGACTATGCATAGACTTGTTAGTCCAGCCAAAATCTAACTCCATAATACAAGTCTAGTTCGGCAAGGGTGGAAACTGGACTTTTATTGTCAGTTAACTCCCTTGGCTCAGGAAGATGTCCTCAACAGGGATTTACCTTTGCGAATATATTTGTGAGCCCCGGCAACTCTGTACAGAATACTACGGTTTGTTATAACGGAAGTTCATTATAAGCATATATACAGCAAATGTCCAGGACATTAAAAACAGTTCATTATATCGGTCATTTTGTTATAATCATGTTCGTAATAAACGTAGTTTACTGTATTTTTTTTTCTGTATTTATAACCCAGAGTATGTGCAATACTTTATGCTTATCAAACATAGGGATATCCTTGTTTCAATCAAGACTGAGAGATAACAACACATTAGGGCTGGGACGAGTCCGAATTTACTACCCATGTACCCAACCCCCTATTACCCGACCCTACCCGGGTACCCACTGTAGGTCTCAAGAGATAGGTACAAAATGTCCGATTTTTACCATAGCACTGGAAAAACGTATTAACATACATGTATGTATCAAACAATCTGCATACACTGCAGTTGACTCAAGTTATATCTTTAGTCAAAGATTTGAAAAGTCAGAAGGAATGGGTGCATAGTCAGAAAGAAATGCAAACATTTGTGACTTGTAGTGTAACCATAGAGTTCTAGATAGTTTTTGTCAATAAACAATTTATCACGTGACTAACCAAGGGTCCGGGAAATCTGTGGGTACCCGGGTCCTACTTAGTACCCACCCGACCCGGGTACCCGAGTTACCCGTCCCAGCCCTACAACACATTATATTTCTGATGAGAAAAAAAACATAAGATGAATCTTACGGACGTGGTCAATCATTCCAACATCCAAACTATTTTTGCCTACAATAGGATGCACCAAGGATATTACTTGCATCCATTCTAAAAATAATTTGTGCAGGATGCAATATTTTGTAAAACAAGTTCTTGTCTCACGTCTCACCTGGTCCAGTGTGCTTCAAATCAAAGTTCTCATCAGCAAATTTCTCCCCATAGATGGACTTCCCTCCAGTGCCGTTGTGTCTGGTGAAGTCTCCTCCCTGGCACATCTGACATACAGATAAGGATCAGAGAGACAGACGGGCTAAACATCGGACATACAGATAAGGATCAGAGAGACAGATGGGCTAAACATCTGACATACAGATAAGGATCAGAGAGACAGATGGGCTAAACATCGGACATACAGATAAGGATCAGAGAGACAGACGGGCTAAACATCGGACATACAGATAAGGATCAGAGAGACAGATGGGCTAAACATCCGACATACAGATAAGGATCAGAGAGACAGATGGGCTAAACATCGGACATACAGATAAGGATCAGAGAGACAGATGGGCTAAACATCGGACATACAGATAAGGATCAGAGAGACAGACGGGCTAAACATCGGACATACAGATAAGGACCAGAGAGACAGATGGGCTAAACATCGGACATACAGATAAGGATCAGAGAGACAGATGGGCTAAACATCGGACATACAGATAAGGATCAGAGAGACAGATGGGCTAAACATCGGACATACAGATAAGGATCAGAGAGACAGATGGGCTAAACATCGGACATACAGATATGGATCAGAGAGACAGATGGGCTAAACATCTGACATACAGATAAGGATCACAGAGACAGATGGGCTAAACATCTGACATACAGATAAGGATCAGAGAGACAGATGGGCTAAACATCCGACATACAGATAAGGATCAGAGAGACAGATGGGCTAAACATCGGACATACAGATAAGGATCAGAGAGACAGATGGGCTAAACATCGGACATACAGATAAGGATCAGAGAGACAGATGGGCTAAACATCCGACATACAGATAAGGATCAAAGAGACAGATGGGCTAAACATCTCACATACAGATAAGGATCACAGAGACAGATGGGCTAAACATCTGACATACAGATAAGGATCAGAGAGACAGATGGGCTAAACATCTGACATACAGATAAGGATCACAGAGACAGATGGGCTAAACATCTAACATACAGATAAGGATTAGAGAGACAGATGGGCTATACATCTGACATACAGATAAGGATTAGAGAGACAGATGGGCTAAACATCTGACATACAGATAAGGATTAGAGAGACAGATGGGCTACACATCTGACATACAGATAAGGATCAGAGAGACGGATAGGCTAAACATCTGACATACAAATAAGGATCAGAGAGACAGATGGGCTAAACATCGGACATACAGATAAGGATCAGACCGACAGATGGGCTAAACATCTGACATACAGATAAGGATCAGAGAGACAGATGGGCTAAACATCTGACATACAGATAAGGATCAGAGAGACAGATGGGCTAAACATCTGACATACAGATAAGGATCAGAGAGACAGACGGGCTAAACATCTGACATACAGATAAGGATCAGAGAGACAGATGGGCTAAACATCTGACATACAGATAAGGATCAGACCGACAGATGGGCTAAACATCTGACATACAGATAAGGATCAGAGAGACGGATGGGCTAAACATCGGACATACAGATAAGGATCAGAGAGAAGATGGGCTAAACATCTGACATACAGATAAGGATCAGAGAGACAGATGGGCTAAACATCTGACATACAGATAAGGATCAGAGAGACGGATGGGCTAAACATCGGACATACAGATAAGGATCAGAGAGACGGATGGGCTAAACATCTGACATACAAATAAGGATCAGAGAGAAGATGGGCTAAACATCGGACATACAGATAAGGATCAGAGAGACAGACGGGCTAAACATCGGACATACAGATAAGGGTCAGAGAGACGGATGGGCTAAACATCGGACATACAGATAAGGATCAGAGAGACAGATGGGCTAAACATCTGACATACAGATAAGGATCAGAGAGACGGATGGGCTAAACATCTGACCTGGTGCTGACAAACCTAGAAACATAATGGGGCAAATTGGGATTCAAACCCACAATTATTGGTTTCTGGCATGCCCAAGGGACGCAGCTCTGCACAGCGAATCGCGGCCCCTTAGACGACTGGGCCATCTGTGTCCCCCTGATAATTTTCAGACCACAGCCATATGGCTGTATTATTGCTCAGAGACGTATGAACATGAACAGACAACATGACCAAAATTTCATGATTAGGATACAAAACTGGGGATTATTCTATGAAAGGAGCTGCCCTTGTAGCCGAACCCTTTGTCGTGTGTACACAAAGCTCTGAAATTCTCTGAAAGAGAAAAAAAACATCATTTGAAAAAAACATAACCAAATACATTTCAAACCTGTTTTCTAGAAAGGTTGAGAAATAATAACGTGAAGCATCTATAGTATAAGGGTAACGCTATTTTTCAGGGCATTATCATTTGCAGAAGTCCGAGGTCTTCCATTAACTGCCCGACGAAGGAGGGCAGTTGAAAAGACTGAGGGCTTCTGCAAGTGATAATGTCCTGAAAAATAGCGTTACCGTTATTATAGCTGAAATGGATGGAATTTGTTATCAAATAAAAGAATCAACAATATCGGTTTTGAAACATTTACTGCAATCAACAAAAATGTCACTGATCCACTTTTACAAATATGGAAACGTAATAGAACAAACCAGATGACGTCACTATTGAACTTGACGCCACCTATCCCTATCCTATGACGTCACCTGACAACGGGCGTGATATTGGCCCTTCCTCAAGCAATATGAGGGCATGATCAAGTTACAGTGGCCCGCTCATTTCTGATAACATGCGGCCGGTTTAATGATAATTCTATCCATTTCAGCTATAATTTTGTTATTCTTTGACTTGAAAAAAACAAAGCTTCTTTATTTATCTGCATCCAGAACATCAAATGAGATATATAGGGATCTGTTTCGCTATCGCCCAGCGGCACCAGCGCAGGTAAAACATTGCAAATGCAGGTAACCTTTATTGCCAGGATGCACCAAGTGCAGGTAACATTTCCAACCACACATGCACGGCAGCAGTTATGTTTGATAATAAGTAGAAAACTGAATTCTTTTGGAACTGGCTGTAAATCTTTTAGAATCCAAGAATCAAAAGTTCATGAAAATAGTGAAATACACAGATCTGCATGCAATGAACTTGCAGAACTAATTCTTCACAATTACCACTAGAACGTCACTGATGAGGTTACAATCAGAAACAGACACTTTGAAACTTTGTTTACTGGATAACAAGAAAGACATATTCAGATTTCCTTCAAATAAAATACTGGAGCACATTCTCAAGTTTATTTCCTCTGAATTTATTTAAAATTCAAAACAACTGAAAACACAGTGTTTCAATTTATGATAAACTGGTGCAGCCAATATTTTGGTTGTGCAACCTGATTAATTCACTTGGTTGCACCTGGTGCAGGTGGTAAAACAGAATGAAATCGTACCCTGGATATATAATGTACAGGAGACAATGCCCAGACAATTTCTACTGCTTAGAGTTTTCACCATCAACAACTGGACATGATAAGTTTGTCCCAGCAGATCAATCATCAATCGATTTATAATCTGTTACTCAAACACAGCATGCATTATTTTCATGATATGAAAATCTTATAATTCTATTCATCAATCAAAATTTGTTGCATCTTAAATGATGAGTGTGATATTTATATATGGAAAGATTGAATTATAGTTAAATAAAACCAAACATTTCATATCAAATAACACCGTCCTCCACAATCAATATGGAAACATACAATCAATCAATGACAGACAGACATATTAAACAATGCATGTGGGCTACATTTTCAGAAATATAATGGACCCGTGATGATTCCGGGGTAGAATAGGTCTTCAGCAACCCATGCTTACTAAAAAGGTGATTCTGCTTGTCGTAAAAGGCGACTAACGGGATCGGGTGGTCAGACTCGCTGACTTGGTTGATGCATGTCATCGATCCCAATTGCGTCGATCGATGTTCATGATATTTATCTCTGGATTGTCTGGTCCAGACTTGATTATTTACATACCGCCGTCATATGAGCTGGAATAATGCTGAGTGCGGTGTTAAACAATAAACAAACAAACAAACAAACAGAAATATAATGGGTAAGCCTATTTTTAGTCAGATCAATTACTTCACGTACCTGCTGTTTTGGGGGCTACGTCAGCCCGTAGTTCCATAACAATACGCCCAGCATTGCTGTGGTCAATACTGATGTCAAAGAAAACTTGAGGATTCTTTGTGCTTTGCGCCCGACTTTGGCTGAACTGAAACATAAGTGAGTTATGTTTTATGCCACTTTTAGCAATATTCAAGCAATATCACAGCGGGAACACCAGAAATGGGCTTCACACATTGTACCCATGTGTCAGAGCTCCAGATAAGCTGCGTATCTGTGTAAAATACGCATCAGAAATGCAGAAATATGCAGTAAAATAAAATCCAAGCGTATCAATTACGCAACGACCATTACAGATACGCTACAAAAATAAAACTTGTGCGTATCATCAAAATATTGTGAAGTAACCCTGTGTTTTCAATTAGCAAATCAGCAACTTATTTTGAAATTATAAACGGGCATTCCGTCAACCTTGTCAAACTCCACGATGACAGTTACATCATTATCATTTGCCATCACACTTTCATGTGGAAGTATCGTTGTATTTTGGAGTCCTATAAAGCTCTCGAACCCACACGACACCAGTTTGCAGGGACTAGATGAATAGTGTTTTTAAATATTTAACTTAAATACCCACATGTGTAAAAACTAGTGGGTAACAGAAATTTGAATACCCAGATAGAATTACTGATACCTAATGATTTTAAAATGCATGGGTAAATTACCCACAACACCAAAAGCTTATCTGGAGCTCTGATGTGGAGAACTGAACCTGGTTCTTCGGCAATACGAACAAACACTTTAACCACTAGGCTACCCCACTGAAACATTAACATGACAGGCACACATGAATGAATTAAATCATACCACAAACATGTTCATCCACCTAACAGAAATATGTACTATAACTACTTCAAAATATTTAACAAGAGATAAGAGTCCATATTCTATTTGGAGATCTAAATATGCCCATTAATATTAATCAAAATGTTCCAACTACATTTGTGTTGAGATTATTAATATTAATGTTATTTACATAACATTGGTGTGATACAGCAGAGACTAGGGCTGGGACGGGTAACTCGGGTTGGGTGGGTCCTGAGTAGGACCCGGGAACCCACAGGACTACCCGGACCCGTGCATGGTTAGTCACGTGATACATTGTTTAATGACAAAAATTCACTGGAGCTCAGTGGTTACACAACAAGTCGCTAATGTTCGGATTTCTTTCTGACGATGCACACATTCCTTTTGACTTGTACATGTCTGAGTAAAGATAAAGCTTCAGTCAACTTCAGTGAACGCATGATCTGATTGTTTGATACATGTATCTAAATAGTTTTAGCCAGGGCTGCGGTAAAACACTTACCAATCAGACATTTTGTTCCCTACTCTTGAGACTTGCAGTGGGTACCCGGGTAGGGTCGGGTAATAGGGGGTCGGGTAAATTTGTACTCGTCCCAGCCCTAGCAGAGACCATAATAGATTATATTATTATTATATGGTCTCTGGATACAGACAATGGAATAACATTACGAGTATTTATTCACGTTGAAACTTTGTGCATTGTCATTAACCAAATATCGTGTTTTAGGAAGCTCTGCAACATGTTATGCCATTTGAATAGAACCACAGGTACATAAACACCGGTCAAGGTTACACGCACGTGTTGGCAACCTGAGGCTGTGTGGAAGTGTGGCAACTTTTAGCATCGCCTGATTCGTGTAATTCTTATTCAGTGATTTTGGCATGATTACCCTGACCCCATGCATATTCGAAATTCAGTTTATGTCTGTGTGCTTCTTTTACCCGTAAAAACTGGGTCCCGACGCCAAGCAATCGTCTTGATAAAACCATGTTGTCACTGGATGTTATCGTGGGTTGAGATTCAGAGTTACCTCCCTTTACTAACGCTTGGTCACATTAAAACAGTGCCCATTCTTCGCCGCTGGTGGAAAGGGGTTTCATTTTAATTCTTTTTTTCTCATCATAATGATCATGTAGACATCTCATCCTTCGACATTTATATAGAAACCATACTGTACTGTATTCAGATTTTGAACTTTAGTTTTTTAGATGAGGTGTAGCTTAGATCTGACGTTAACTGACGCAATCGGCATTAATATATTGCCTTTTTTAATGCAATTTAATGTAATATTATGTATGGAATTCGCTGTGCATGTTCACAGTTTTAGATCTGACCTAGGTACATGAAAATATCATGATTTACCGCACATCCCATCCCAAGTATGATCGTGTAGTTTCAGGTTAAACGCTGAGATGTTGAAACAAAACAAACGTTCCCATCATATCTAATATACTACTGGTGAAGACTTTTTTTCTTTACATTCAAAACACCCATTTTTTTATTCAAGGATAACAATTATGCGACATTCATTTGACTGTAAAACGAATTAAACATCAACTGTCAATATTTAGATGTAGCATATATATATTAATATATATTGTTTAATGTCGGTGTTTTTCATAGTTGTTGTAATCCTTGGAAGAACTCTTCAGGAATACACGAAAATCTCGTTCCATATCAGCTCGTGCTACCATCGCTTCACTTTGGATACTTGATATATTGATAGCATGATCTGATTAGTCAAGTGTACACTTAGTGACTGGTGACAAATCATTTTTCTAATATCATTTTTAAATCTGGTCCTGAAATAAATAATCCAGACTGCAGAGTATTTCCGGTACAGAAGCTCACCTGGGTCCCGTTCCTCAAAGCGATCTTAGAGCTAAGTCGATCTAACTCCCATTCTTTACACTGACTTACGACAGACAGTCGTAACGCTAAGATTGCTTTGTGGAGAATTTGACCGCTATCTAATTTAGCAGAAACTTTATCACTTGAGAATTGAGTATAAAACTATAAATACCCTGCAAAATATTGAAGTTATTTGAGCCATCCTCTTCTGTGGTGTGAACTGGGTGGTCCTGGAACTAGTGGGGTACGTGGCTTTTGAACAGATCTGTATCTAAAATATGTTAGTTAGTAAATAACATTATGTAGGCCTATACGCAACAAGTGACTTTCGGCACCAGTCTCTTTGGGAACTATATGAGACCCGTACCTTGTTTATATTGGTGGACTCGTACACACGTTGGGTAACCTGTACCCCATCGTACTTTATTACCTGGATGACTCCTACCAAACGATTTCAAGCGTCTCTTTGATCTTAAAGATACGGAGCCCATTGTCGACCCTCATCTTGATGTTGTTTTTTTCTAGATTTATAAACATTATTCCAATGCATCAGCCCTTCTCAACAATCCACAGAAAACATTCGCAATTAATAAACCATAAACTGCCTTCATCGCCAATAATTTTCTATCACAGGTGAAAATAACGTTTCCTTTCTATCGGTAGTTCTTTGCAACTGGAATAGCTGCATCTGTTATTTTGGTGAGATCTCCCTGGTCTTGAGATTAGTTGGAAATATTTATATAGAATAGTCTATTTAGCCTATTCTCAAACTTGCGACTTGCATAGATTATGGAAAGAAAACTATCAATAATAAAATCTTAACTTTTCCAGGGAAACTCTTCCTTATTTCATACATTGGGGTTTACGTTGCACATGTTAAAAGTGTTAAAACTATCATGAGAAAAGCAGTTGAGTGAGTGAGTGAGTGAGTTGGGTTTAACGCCGCTTTTAACCGTATTCCAGTTATATCACAGCGTGTCAGCTTAATGTGGGAGGAAAGCCTGAAGTGATGCAGGTCTCAGACGTTTACCACTTCGGTGAAACCCACGAGCACGGGTATGGTGCTGACAAACCTAGAAACAATCGGGGTGAACCGGGATTCCAACCCACAATCATAGGTTTCTGGCGTGCCCAAGGGACGCAACTCTGTACAGCGAATCGCGGCGCCTTAGACGACTGGGCCACCCGTGCCCCCAGCAGTTAAGGAAGGTGATATCGTGAGAACAAATCCATGGGGTTTAGAGTGTAGTAGACCTACCAAAAACTTGTTTCTGCAGCACAAAAAGGTCATTTAAATAGAATTTGAAATGTTGGGGCGTAGAGAAAGGTGTTATTAACAAGAGAACATAGTGATCAATATCTCCCGCCATCTTTGCATTTTTAGTACAATTGTAAATACATATATTTGTGTGAAAACGATAGCCACCAGTCGTTACCAGCCAAACACATTTGCAAACATTCTTGGAAAAAATGAAAGCTTTGGCACCAAAAACGCACCCTGTAAATATTTTACACTTATTTCAACTTGTTGCCTTGAAAAAAGCAAATTATTATTTCTTTAAAAATTCCAGAATAGCACTAGTTCAGTTGCCTGATGGATGTGTATGCAGTTTCATGAAATTATATTAAATGGTTTATGAGTTATGGTCTTGAAACCAACCCTACCCTCATTTGACAAATGCAACAACAAAAAATAAACAAAAGCCCTGAATCTGTAAAACATCAGCTCTCGATGGCGGTATTGAAACTTTGTAACATATTCACCACACATGGCTATAGTGGTTTCCAGACCGCCCCCGTGGTCTAGTGGTAGAGCGTCCGCCCGGAGAGCGGAATGTCCGGGGTTCGATCCCCGCCCGCGTCAAGACGTTAAAAGATGGTACTTGTTGTTACCCTGTCTGGCGCTCGGCATTAAGGGGCTAAAACAAGGACTGGTCGGCTCGGAGTCAGTATACTGTGTCTGACTGGGGCATTCATGTTAAACTGCGCCATGGTATCTCAGTGAGCTAGCACTATAAAATCGCCATCAGTCCGGACTAGTACAAGCAGCCACAAACACATATGCATGCACGCCGCTATATAATTGCAATAATCTTGGACGGGACATTAAACCCAATTTCACGTCACTTGTCACCATTGGCGTTAGTGTGCATAAAAACAAGGTACAGAACTCTAATTCTCGGTGCTGGTTTTCGACCTCCATCAACATAATTATTATGTATACCTTGATGATGTTTGCACAATGGCACCCTTGTATCTGTGATAGTTTCCGAGAAAATGTGTTCCATTTGGGTGTATCATGTCCAAAAATAAGACAAGGTCTATAACATGGAAGATGAATGTATTGAGGCTCCAGGTAAACCGCAGGTCTCATAATCAAAGTGCTGTTTCTCGGCACACATTATACAGTGATTGAGGTAATGTCACATCAACAATATTTTTACCATAAATCCCCTTTTCTTACAGAACTAAAAATAGCTTTGTTAGTTTTAATTTAGATATTGGCTGGTATTTACAGTGTTAATCACATCTTCCCAAGGGAAGGGAGTTAACTACCTACAAAAGTCCAGTTAGGAAACTGGACTTGTATCTCAGTTATCTCCCTTGCCTCGGGAAGAAGTGTTAATTACTTATGACAAACACTTTCTTCATGGATCAATTTACTCATGACACTTTGGTGGTTCTAATAACAGGCGTTTATCAGACTATAACAGGCTGTTATCTTTAATCTACTTATATGTCTTGATTGCAAGGCCAACTAGACAATAAGATTATAGATACAGTTGATAATTTATAAAACAATAAAATATTAGAAACGTTCTCTTCACTAAAGAGTATGAAATAACCCTAAATGATGGGTCAGATCTCTGAAGTGTAAAACATAAGGGCCATTTGCTGTGTGTGTTAACAGACCAACTTTATCACATGGCCCTGTTAAAATCTAACTGATTACCAGGGCCCCGTTCTTCAAAGCGATCTTAGCACTAGTATGATCGTAATCCTACCTATGTCAGAATGTGGGACTTGCGATCACCTTAGCGCTCAGATCGCTTTGAGGAACAGGGCCCAGAAATGTCAAAAACCAGTGGTGGATAGTGTGAGCAACGATCTAGCTGTCTGCTAGGATGTCATTTGGTGGTCAGGTCACAACAGAGTTACTGGTTGCCAATGTCCAGATACTACAAATACTCAGTAGACATTGTATCTACTCATTAATGACAAAATGTCCTTGGTTCCAGAATGAAGCATTGTGGTGAAAAACGTCTGCATTGTCTGAGATTGGTTCCCTGATTTGGTCAAAAGCAAACACAATTTCTTCTGATGTCTGTATACTGCTCTCAAGAAGTTAAAGATAGATTAACTGTAGTAATATGAAAGAATTGGGTGTTCTTTGACTTCTTTTAAGTAGTATGTCTGGTATGGTTTGAGGGCCTCTGAATGACACCAATATCCCATCTGTAGGAGGTTACCACCTGGTCATCAGAACTGCCTCTGTGTGCTGAGATGTGGGGATGTACTCAGTGGGGCTGGGACGGGTAACTCGGGTACTGGGATCAGGTGGATACTGAGTAGGACCTGGGTACCAACAGGATTACCTGGACCCGTGGTTACTCATGTGATATATTGTTTAATGACAAAAATTATGTAGAACTCTATGGTTACACTACAAGTCACTAATGTTCGCATTTCGTTCTGACTATGCACACATTCCTTCTGACTTTTCATATGGTTGAATAAATATAAAACTTAAGTCAACTTCAGTGAATGCATGATCAGATCGTTTAATACATGTATCTAAATACGTTTTGCAAGTGCTGTAAAAAAAAATCCCAATCAGACATTTTGTACCTAATGAGACCTACAGTGGGTACCCCGGTAGGGTCGGAAAATAGGGGGTAGGGTACCAGGGTAGTAAATTTGAACTCATATCAGCCCTACTCCTCAGAAACTGTTTCCCCAAACCATCCATGTCATAGAGAAGACAAGACACCTTGCTCCTTATTTGATTTAACAAAAAACAAAACAAGCATCACATAATATAAAAGTTTATATTTGTACATATATACAGAGAACATCTCACAACATGGTTGCTCTTCAAGAACAGTAGTTCATGGTGATGCTGCTGAATGTTCTTTTACGGCAACAGCAATACCACACAATGCATCATAAGAAGGAATATTCTACAGTATATTCCTAAACATGTCTGTTGACATCTGTTGTACTATAATTGACGCCTGTTGCATCACTAAAGACATACATCTAGATGTCATGTTGCTGTGCATGGATGCAATGATCAGTACATGAATATCTTTCTGATGTGTTTGAGGTTGACACAGGCAGGACTGACACGTTGCCATATTTCCTCAAATCAAACTGTAAAATTCATCTGTTTTCACAAATATACAGTGAATCGACACTTCCCGAAAGACATCCTACAAGCTGTGACACTTCCACGTGGCAGACACATCGAGATCTGATCCATCCACTGATGTCTTCCTTCTACACAAACTCCCCACAGTTGGTGATCACCACCTTCTCAGATGGCTTACCTCCCTTGCTTCCACACGCCTGGAAAATATAACATTCTTCATCTAGTTACCAAGTTAATGGACATGTCATACAACAGAATATTAATGAACCAATCTTCATATTACTATATATCCATAAGTTCAGTCGTATTTGATAGCAGCATAGGCCATGTGGGCCATTATTCTCTCATGAAACTTGTACAACGCCAGTGAAATGCTTACTCAGTTCCATGACCTACTGCTACAGATCTACGAATAATCCCTGTAGGATTTACAAATGTTCTGGGGCAGTGGGGTAGCTTGTCTCCCGGAGGCCCGGGTTCCATTCCCCACATGGGTGCAATGTGTGAAACTCATCTTCCAGTGTCCCCCACCGTGATATTGCTGGAATATTGCTAAAAGCGGCGTAAAACCATACTCACTCACTACAATGTTCCCAGCAGAATCTAGTCTTCTGTGCCTCTCTATAATTTGTTTTCATGTCGAGTTTCCTTGTTGTTTAACGCCGTACTCAGCAATATTCCAGCGATAGGACAGAGGAGAGAGACATGCATGTCGCGATATAAGTGCCTTTTAAACCCCATTTCACCTCCCCTCATCTCCTTATCAGATTATAAATTGATCTCTTAATGTTTTGTTGTTTGTGCGTATTATGCTGCAATATTCCAGCTATATGATGGTGGTCTGTAAATAATCGAGTCTGGACTGGAAAATCCAGTGATTGATATCATGAGCATCGATCCATGCAAATGGGATTGATGGCATGCTTCAACCAAGTCAACGAATCTGACCACCCAATCCTGTTAGTCGCCTCTTACGACAAACATAGTTGCCTTATACGGCAAGCATGGGTTGCTGAAGACCTTTTCTACCCCCAGTTCTTCACGGGTTTTTTCATGTTGTGAATTGGTGTGACAGTAGATGTGTTACAATGTGTAGTTAAGTTGGCAAGTTGCATCAACATGATGGTGGATAAACCTACCAATTCTCAACTCGTACCAATGTGGGGAACTGAAGCTCACAACAGTAGGACAAGCAAATGGTTAACCACAAACCTGAATTTATGAATTAAAACAAGCAGGAATTGACAAACTCAATGTATACACTAGAAGGGAAACCCAGGTCACCTGTCTCTGATGATTGACATATCTTACCTCCATCTTCCTGACGACATCCAGTCCCTCTATGACCTTCCCAAACACCACATGCTTGTTATCCAGCCTGGAACACAATATCAACATGGACAACATGGCAGTACGTAGAACCATCGGGATATACGAAGTAGAGCACAACATGGCAGTACGTAGACCATCGGGATATCTAGAGTAGAACACAACATGGCAGTATGTAGACCAACGGGATATCGAGAGTAGAACACAACATGGCAGTATGTAGACCAACAGGATATCCAGAGTAGAACACAACATGGCAGTATGTAGACCAACAGGATATCCAGAGTAGAACACAACATGGCAGTATATAGAACCCACGGGATATATACGAAGTAGAACAGACCCCAAATAACCTATGCTTATCATAATTTATGGCAAATGAATCAGGCTGTGATTTGGTTGACTGCGTGTCGTTGTACGCTGCCTGTCAGACTGTTTCTGCCACTGAAGGAGTCAGTGAACTAGTATTATGCTCTCCTGTCAAAATATGGAATGGAAACAGCTCCCTACCAATCTGTTTTCTCTGTCGTGATGAAGAACTGGGATCCATTGCTGTTGGGGCCGGAGTTTGCCATTGATAAAGTACCTGCGGATCAAAGAGAACAACTTATCCAGTGTGATGAAGGAGTCATCAAGGAGTACAGGTGTATCTCAGGTGTTCTGCTACACGCTTTACACCCTGGGGGAACACTGTGGGTCATAGAATAATTTTCCAGCAGGTGCACACAGCTTGTTGGGAAGGGCAGTAACTCTGTGCACTACTCAATATTTCACCAGAAATAAACACCTAAAATGTCAGTTGGGGATGTATTGTGGAGCCCAACTTCCTATTTTATACATAAAAAAAGGAGTTATTTTTTTCCACGTTTGGACTTTGTTGAACCTGAGTTGATGATAATAATCAGGTCACATTCTCTTTGCTTACACAGCACCCAAGGGTGGGTGGGTGTTTGGGCGGGCGAGCGGGTGAGTGAGCGAGTGAGTAAATGTTGGCCATAACAAGAAGATGTGTCAGTCCAAACCAGCAAGGATATGTTGTTTATGTAAATTATAATGTCAGATTTGAACAGCAATTCTTTCCGAATATGAAACCTGATATGAAAAGTCCCTTACAGTTTGCTATTAATAGGGGTGAAAGTAATTACATCATACTGCAAGCTCTGTGTCAGTAGCTCAGGACACACTGACCATTCCCTCCCCCCCCCCCCCAAACACCCGACCACCAAACAAGGACGTACCCGGTGCAAGATGTTTCAACGTAAAGTTCTCATCCTCAAACTTGCGACCATATATAGATTTGCCGCCAATGCCGTTGTGGTTGGTGAAGTCTCCTCCCTGACACATCTACAGCAGGTTAAGGAATCATACATACATACAACACAGCACTACCATGCAGTGGTATCAGTTTTATTAAGGGGAGACAACTGATGCTGAGTGAGCCGCACTGTCACACTCCGTCGCAGTGGTGACTCAGCATAACACCAGTGCCACAGGCTAATTTGCATATCACGTGACCGGACTTTTCTCTTGTTTGTAAACAAACGCGCTTTTTCAGAAATCAGTATAGAACGGACTAATGCAAGTATTTGGGGGCGCTTTACATATTGTTTTGCATAACTATATACATATGCTACTACAACTGCGACAGTGAGTTGCATGACAATATATATTTATGCATCAAAGTGACCGTGTCGCTAGCTCTCCGTTGGGCTTCGATGACAGCACGTGGAGCCGTACAACCAATGTAAACATAGGATAACAACGCAAAAACAAGTAGATTTTTACGTATTTGCATACTTTCTCAATGAAAGTTAACCATTCTTTGACATTTGTTTATGAAAATGTGTAGACTTGTCAAACATGAAACGGATGAAAAGCATATGCAATATCTTGAATGGACTGTGAAAGATGTGACGAATCGTCACATGGCGCTGGCCTGTGGCAGAGGTACTATGCTAGCTGGCTGCCGGCCGCATGGAACTCTGGGTAGGAGAGTGCCACACTGTAAACACTAAACACCATCTTTCACAATGGGTGATTGAGTGAATATTGACTTCTGTTACCTAAGGCTTAAAAAAATAAAAAATTGGTTTTCAATGGCTTTTAAAAACATAGTGAAGGGTGGGTGTTTTGGGGGTTGTTTTTTTTTGTTTTTTTTGTTCAAACTAGTATGTAACCAAATAAACAGTTGTATACCATCAACCTGGGAAATGTATTCCTTGGAATATTTAAGGTATTTTGGGTTGTTTTTTAAAATGGAAAATAAATCGAAATTTGCGTCAGACTTTATGATGATATGGGTGGTGCTGAGAACCAAGACTATTATTTTTTGAAAACCTAAACAATATTGCAACTACGTGTGACATTCATGAAATGGTTTGCATGCCCTCTGAAATCTTTTAAAAGGATCTTTTCCTTAAAACTCATAGTTTGTCCCTGACTACAAAGGGACACAATCCTGGAAATTAGAGAAAACAACCAAATCGGTGCAAGTTGTATTTGAAGAGGAATATTTATGTTTTTACACACAATCAGTGAGTGAGTGAGTGAGTTGGGTTTAACGCCGCTTTTAACAATATTCCAGTTATATATCAAGGCGTGTCAGCTTCATGTGGAAGGAAAGCCCGAAGTGAAGCAGGTCTCAGATGTTTACCACTTTGGTGAAACCCACGAGCACAGGTATGGTGCTGACAAACCTAGAAACATAATCGGGGCGAACCGTGATTCGAACCCACAATCACAGGTTTCTGGCATGTTCAAGGGATGCAACTCTGCACAGCGAATCACGGCGGTTTAGACGACTGGGCCACCCGTGCCCCCGTAATACACAATCAATGCCAAGTGAGAGGATACAAAAGACGGAATGATTCTGTGGAAGGAGCTGCCCTTAAAGCCGAAACCTTTCTCCTGGGTACAGAGGCACCGGAAGTTTTCTGAAATGGAGAGAGAGAAATCAGACTGTTATTCGGTGACTTCTTCTAAACTAGCATCATTCTTCAAATTTGTCTTCTAAAAAACTGAGAGATACCTATATACCAAGTTTCATACACTTCCTCGAATAGCAGCACATTAACATATGATTTAATATATTTTTGTCAAACAGCTAGTAGCATCTGAACATATGAAAATTATCCTTTTTTCTACGCAGTTTGACATTTTCTGACAATATGTTCACCAATCAGAAGCACAACGTGCATCTTGTTCATTATTTGTAAGTGAACACAGGGCACCAGAGTGAAGAGTAATCCACTGATGTCTTTTTTCGGACACGAAGTTTTAACTATCAGGGTTTAGGAAATAATGGAAATTGTTACATATTTTTAATTCAGACCCAGAGACATACTTGTGCATTACCTGAGCAATAGACACTCATAGATACTCATATCATTACCTGCTGTCTTGGGTACGACGTCTGCTCTCAACTCTATAGCAATACGGCCGATCATATCATTACCTGCTGTCTTGGGTACGACGTCTGCTCTCAACTCTATAGCAATACGGCCGATCATATCATTACCTGCTGTCTTGGGTACGACGTCTGCTCTCAACTCTATAGCAATACGGCCGACACTCCGGCTGCCTATCTTGATGTCGAAGTACACCTGGGGATTTGTGCGGGATTTCTTGGGGGCTGACACTGCAGTCTGAAGAAGAATAGCTTCACGTAGAAACATGGGGGTATATGAGGCTGCAGCCTTTCAACTTCATCACATTTGTTTGTTTGTTTGTTGTTTAATGCCACACTCAGCAATATTCCAGCTATATGGTGGTGGTCTGTAAATAATTGAGTCTAGACAAGACAATCCAGTGATTGACATCATGAGCATCAATCTACGCAAATGGGATACGATGACATGCATCAACCAAGTCAGTGAGTCTGACCACCTGATCCTGTTCGTCGCTCGTATGACAAGCATAGTCCCCTTTTACAGCAAGCATGGGTTGCTGAAGACCTATTCTACCCCAGATCTTCACAGGTAAACTTAATCATTTTAACATGGGGGGAAAACCCAAAGGGATACAGTTGATGGAATTCCTCATGACACCCCATGACTCCCCATGACACTTCCTCCTCCTCCATGATACCCTATCCCCCTTCATGACACCCCATCCCCTCTCATGACACCCCATCCTACCTCATGACATCCCATCCCCCCTAATGACACCACATCCCCCTTCATGACACCCCATCCCCTCTCATGACACCCTGTCCCCCTTCATGACACCCCATCCCCCCTCATGACACCCCATCCCCACTCATGACACCCCATCCCCCCTCATGACACCCCATCCCCACTCATGACACCCCATCCCCCTTCATGACACCCTATCCCCTTCATGACACCCAATCCCCCCTCATGACACCCCATCCCCTCTCATGACACCCCATCCCCCTTCATGACACCCCATCCCCCCTCATGACACCCCATCCCCACTCATGACACCCCATCCCCCCTCATGACACCCCATCCCCACTCATGACACCCCATCCCCCTTCATGACACCCTATCCCCTTCATGACACCCAATCCCCCCTCATGACACCCCATCCCCCTTTATGACACCCCATCCCCCTTCATGACACCCCATCCCCCTTCATGACACCCCATCCCCCTTCATGACACCCCATCCCCCTCATGACACCCCATCCCCCTTCATGACACCCCATCCCCCTTCATGACACCCCATCCCCCTTCATGACACCCCACCCCCCTCATGACACCCCACCCCCCTCATGACACCCCATCCCCCTTTATGACACCCCATCCCCCTTCATGACACCCCATCCCCCCTCATGACACCCCATCCCCCCTCATGACACCCCATCCCCCCTCATGACACCCCATCCCCCTTCATGACACCCCATCCCCCTTCATGACACCCCATCCCCCTTTATGACACCCCATCCCCCTTCATGACACCCCATCCCCCTTTATGACACCCCATCCCCCTTCATGACACCCTATCCCCCTTCATGACACCCCATCCCCCTTCATGACACCCCATCCCCCTTTATGACACGTCACCCCCCTTCATGACACCCCATCCCCCTTCATGACACCCCATCCTCCCTTCATGACACCCCATCCCACCTCATGACACCTACATTACACTTCATGACACCTGTGCTGTCACACAAGGGCAAATAATCAGGGGAATTCCCAGTCCCAGGGCTGTCTGAACAGAATAGTTGCTGTTTGCGGTACTTGTATTTAAATTTGACAAATTATCGCATGTCATATTTTTATCAAATACAGTTAGACTTTTTAGACTTGTGAAAACTGGACTAAAAATATAATCAACATACTTCAAGACAACAGGAGTGTTGATACACATGATATTTGACCATGGTGCTGAAGAAATTCTGCTGGGCCCATGACATTACTTCTTAAACCAAATATGAAGTCAGCGAAGTAACTGTGATATTTTTGGTATTATCAGAACTATGTTACTATGGTTACTTGTGAATTTGATAGAACATACCTCTTCAGTGTCTTCTGCAGGTCTCTTTGTTCCTTGCTCCACCTCCCCTTCCTCTCCCCCTTCCTCTCCCCCCTCCTCGTCCTCCCCTTCCTCTCCCTCCTTCTTCTCCAGTGTCTGCCCCGAGTGTTCTTGCAGCCACGTGTCCTCCGCCCACACTGAAGGTCAAACAGACTCAGTGTAGTAACATGCGACAATGCTGGCAACATACAACACAATCAGGGTCAGACTCGGTGCTTGCAACATTAGGCACAATCATGCTCCGCCACGTCATGTCTGGTTATGTGCAAGGCAAGAAATATAGTACTGTTTTCAAGATCTGCTCCGGAAACGAGCAATAGCATCATTTTCAGTCAAAGTCAAACTAAAAGAAAAACTAAAAATTAATCAATTTTTCAAAATTCCCCAAGGCACCAGTTTACCACTTTACCAATGTGCCAAGTTTGGTAAAGAAATATTGTACGGTTTTCAAGATCTGCTCCGGAAATAAGCACAAGCGCCATCTTCAGTCTAAGTCATGGAAACTCGAAAAATCTCTCATGGTTTTTGAGTTCTGCTCTGGAAACAAAATGTGATGAACAGACAGAAGAAAGGATGGCAAGACCCAAGGAAGGACATACAATCCAGTGATTGACATCATGACCATCGATCCACGCAATTGGGATATGATGGCATGCTTCAACCAAGTCAGCGAGTCTGACCACCCGATCCCGTTAGTCACCTCTTACTACAAGCATAGTCGCCTTTTATGGCAAGAATGGGTTGCAGAAGACCTATTCTACCCTGGAGGGAGCTAATTTTAACAATCAAGACTGGACCAGGGAGGTAGTAAGCGATGCAACTATGCTCAGCAAATTGCGGCACCTTTGGCGCCTGGGCAACTACATGTAGTAGATAGCAGTAAGCAACGATCCATCCCTTAGCGGCACGATGACAATCAGCCACCCCATTCCTCAAAGAGGCAGACGGCTTCCTAGTCCTACACCATCTTCCTGGTGTCCTACCTGGTCTCCCAGATCCCTCCTTGATCTTCATCGGCTTGGCCAGGTTCACCCGGATTGTCCGCCCGAATAACTCTGAGTCATTCTGAATAGCAACACAGTTATCATGATGTCATATTATTAAAGGGCAAGTTCACACGGAAATGAACCAATTTTTCTTGTACTTTTTCCACATTAAAAGTGTTAACATAGAAGTGTCATAGACAAAAATATAAAAACATCATATTTAATTAACATATTTTTTGCATTAAAACGATTTATATTTTTCACATTTACCAAGTGTTCTATTTCCATAACAAAAACACCATGGCTTATGCCCCTTGCAATATGACGTCATTGGTGCCAATTGATAAACATTATGACGTCATCATGCTTTGTTAGAGCCGCTTCACGTGGTGTAGGTACAGTTTTGTGATTCTAGCGTCTCAGATGCCAGCCAGAATTGTGTTATGCTGAGTCACCACTGCGCCGGAGTGTGTCGTAGACCATGTTGTTTTACCGCAAACTGGTCCTTGATATCTTTTGCGTTGAGAATAGACAGGGACCCAGTTGAATTGGCACCAATTACGTCATAATCTAAGGGGGATAATTCAGGCCTATTTCGCTCGTAAAACGAAGGCCTCATAACGACATATCATTTTCACACTATTGTGAGCTTCCTACTTTCACAGTGAAAAAAAAATGAGCGTATATTTTCAAACACTGATACTAACTAATTCTAAAATTGCGTTTTGTTTAGAAAAAGAAAGAAAGTGATTTTTGCGTGTACACTTCCCCTTTAAGGATAAAAGAGAAATTGTCCACACATGTAGGTCAGTAATGAAAACTACTGTTCAAATCCAATAACAGATAAAGTAAAATAATCACAAAATTATTAAACATTCCTCATTATTTATATCAATAGGATAATAAATCAGAAATAACTGTTGTTTCTATGAACTAATTACATGAATCATTTATCATGAAAACAAATGAGCCTCTTACTTGATAATATTACATTGTAGCTACTATGGAGTGCATGTGCTACCTATTCTTGTTGTCATGGACACAGTTGTTCCAGCTACGATGTTGTCATGGACACAATTGTACCACCTACCATGTTGTCATGGACACAATTGTACCATCTACCATGTTGTCATGGTCACATTTGTACCATCTACCATGTTGTCATGGTCACAATTGTACCACTTACCATGATGTCATGGATACAGTTGAACCACCTACCATGTTGTCATGGATACAAGTGTACACTCTACCATGTTGTCATGGACACAGTTGTACCCAGAGGTGGATCCAGGTTTTAAAGAATGGGTGGGTCGGGGGAGGGGGTGCACACCCCTCTCGGTCCATCTCGGGTACCACCTACAATGCTTAGTTTGTACAACCTACCATGTTGTCAATGGCTGCAGCAGAATCCTAAAAAACAGACATATTACATATAAGTAATTAATAAGACAAACAGCTATTAATCATAAGGACTGCAACAATACATTTATCAAAATTTTCAATGTATCTCCATAGGGTCCCAAAATATGATACATATAATCTTGACCCTTATCATCACAAGGATTTATATTCCATCATCAATGGAATGAATATGATTAACAGATGCGCAATAAATATATATATATAAACAGCGTTAGAAACTAACACTAGTCCTGTAGTCCTTGCCAAACTGCCCAATAGTTCAGGTATCATAAGGACTAGTAGAAATTTGCCATTTTTAAGGGGTTTGCTATATGTTATCATTATAAGGACTAGACGAGTTTCTGACGCTGTACATATCATGTAAAAGTGACTCAGTTAGAACGAAAGAGGCTTAACATCTCTTGTACCCAATAGTAACTGACAATACAGATTTTCCAACATAAATAACCTCTATTGTATTGTTACGGTGTACGATGTCAGTACTCGATACTGATATTGTGGTGCAAAGTAGCATTATGCAAGAAATATCTGGTCACACAGGTTACATCATAATAATGATTGCCTGGTCTTCAAATATCTTTATCTTTTGAATCCTAAGTTACAATGTGGACACTATGTAACAAAACTAACTTCATGAGATACTTATTAATGCTAACTTTAACCAATTAAACTGATATTTTAACTTTTTTAATGAATCGTCATGGAAATAATGAAAAAGAAAATACCTCGGCAAGCTCAAACTCCACAAAAGCAAACCCTCTGTGTTTTTCTGGAAAAAATACAGTGACAATATTAATTCAAAATGTGCGAGTGATTATTACAGGATGATTCCTCAGAAGTCTTTGATTATGACTGGGTCTCATCATACTCATTGCTTAAACATGGTAAACCTTTTATCTACCATGTCTCCTCTTACCTCACTGTGTTTATCATCTCAGTCTATCTCATAAGTGAGTGAGTGAGTAAGTATGGTTTTATGCCGCTTTTAGCAATATTCCAGCAATATCACGGCGGGGGACACCACAAATGGGCTTCACACATTGTACCCATGTCGGGAATCGAACCCGGGTCTTCGGCGTGACAAGCGAACGCTTTAACCACTAGGCTACCCGACCGCCCCCTATCTCATAAGACAACATAATGATCTGAAAGTATGTTTATCAGTGCTGTGTTCTCTTAATGGCACACAACTTGTCTCTGTGGGCGGGGTGACGTGCAATGTGGATTAACGTCGCATTCAAGATTATTGCACTTATACATGCATGCACGTGTGTGTGTGGCTTCTAGTACTAGTCCAGACTAGTGCCGATAGTGGTAACCCACTGAGATACCATGCCGCAGTTTAACTTGAATACCCAACTCAGAACACAGTATACTGACTCAACCAGTCCTTGTTTTAGCCCCTTTATGCCGAGCACCAGACAGGGGAACTACAATTACCATCTTTTAACGTCTTTTGGTATGACGCTGCAGGGGATGGAACCTCCAACCTTCCGCTCTCCGGGCAGACGCTCTACCATGGAGGCAGTCCTCTGACTATGGACAAAACAACATGAACATACATTTGGTGCCCCCTGACTACAAGTTATAAAGGTTAACTGCACCACAGAGAGTCATTTGTTCAGTTTAGGCAGCGTCATGACCATGCATACCAGGGTATGTTAAAGTACTTGTATCATTGTGTATGCTGCATGTCGACACATGGCTTCAGTAAATGTCTGTTTTAGTACACTTTAATAGTTGTGATGACGTAACAACAACATCAATGTACAAATATCAACTGTAGATAAGTCTTGCTTGTGGGTGGCAATGAGTCACAATCCTGTGTAGTGTTGCAAGGTTCATACCTGTTTCATAGTCAAGAGGTATCTGGATATCGACTATGTCACCAAATGGCAGGAAGGCTGCATGGAGGACTTTGTCATCAACCTCCTCCGCAAGACCACCTAATACAAAAACAAATGAAATGATAAGAATGACAACCTAAACACATTAAACAGCACAGTATCAAACAAAACAACTAGGTACCTGAGGTTCAGTAGCCCACCTGTATTAGTGAGTGAGTGAGTGAGTGAGTTGTGTTTAACGCCGCTTTTAACAGTATTCCAGTTATATCACAGCGTGTCAGCTTAATGTGGGAGGAAAGTCCGAAGTGATGCAGGTCTCAGACATCTACCACTTCGGTGAAACCCCCAAGCACGGGTATGGTGCTGACAAACCTAGAAACAATTGGGGCAAACCGGGATTCGAACCCACAATCATAGGTCCCACCTGTATTAAGTCATATGAACTTGTGCTAAAACTCCTAATTTAGCCTAAATATAAACATACTATCCAACACCATGAACACTTGAATATCATCTTGAAGCTGTTCTTCATACACATGATACTGTAAAACCATGATCGGGTTAATGGCACCTCGTCAAAACGCCACCTTGACCTGGCAAAAACAGCAGTGTACATGTTACCTTACAAAAACAGCACCATATCTTTAAATTATTGTTATACTATTTGGATCAAATACAGATAAACATCATATTCTAGAGATATTTTCAAATGTACCTTTTTTAAAAGTGGATAAAACACAATCTATACTCCACCAGCATTCCTAGCAATAGTAAGTGAACTATGCATTATTGCAGGGCTTTACGCGACACAGAAATGTGCATCCAATAGGCATAAATGTATGTAATGGATCAAGAAAAAATATATATTGCATCACGAGGGACGCACAATAATTCATTGTACCAAATAATGTTTTTGATATTCTTGAGAAGAAATACATAGTTCCTGGAATTAAAGTAATTATTAAATCTTACAGTACAGTATACTACACCATTTCATTACTAGACTGAACCCTCATATTTCCTGTAAGAACCACTGAATTAGCACTTGGGGATCCTCTGTACCCGTGAAGATCCGGGATAGAAAAGGTCTTCAACAACCCATGCTTGCTGTAAAAGGCGACTATGCTTGTCGTAAGAGGCGACTAACATGATCGGGTGGTCAGGCTCACTGACTTGGTTGATACATGTCATCAATCCCAATTGCGTAGATCGATGCTCATGATGTCAATCACTGGATTGTCTGGTCCAGACTTGATTATTTACTGACCGCCATCATATTATATAGCTGGAATATTGCTGAGTGCGGCGTAAAACAACAAACAAACAAACCTAGTTCTCTTGGTCAAGGTAAACCTGCTGTTGTTATTTCCAGAACTAAGTCTTATAATCACACTTCTCCCAAAGAAAGATAAAGATATATAATGGATTCCTATGAAACCAGCGGAAATACAGATAGGCCTACATGAAAACTCACAGAATTATTTCAAATTATGCGTCTTGTAATCACACTGCTCCCAAGAAACCAGTGAGTACAACACCAAGATTATTTCCTGGCAAGATCTAGGGATATATGGTCTCTGGTATCGGGAGTTAGATGTTATTTCCGTTAATTGTCTTACTCATAGAGAGGGTGTAAAGGTAATAACGTATTAAACAGTAGAGTAGATATACTTCTTTTAATCTTACATTACAATATTTTATTCGGCACATTATGAGCGAGAATGGCGCTATATTCAGTTTTATAGCGGCAAACACCAACGTAGATCATGTCAATATTCCAATAAATGTAATAAAGCATTAAAATGGGGAATGCATTTGAATGAAATAACGATTCATATTACCGACGTAGACGATACGCTTGTTATTGGTAGCCATGCTTGTTTTAACCGGAAGTTGACATTGACTTACTTCCGGAAATGTCGTGTCCATTTTATATTTCCCGCCATGACACTTCCCTGAGCGTTTAGTCTGTTCACGATGTTGTCTAATGGTTGATAATGAATGTGTAGGGTATTTAAATGGAACATGAAGAGGATGTGGAACCTCCATCGAAATACAAATTTGCAGTTTCTTCAGCAGTAAGGTGCGCTTCAGAATTAACTGTTGTTATGGTTGTTTTCAGCTGTTTTGGGCTAGACTAGTTTTATATCAAGACTAAGATTATTACGACTATGTAGTTGTCACTTGTACAATTAATAATTGTGTTGTGTCATTTCAAAATATTGATGAGTACGTTTATATACAACGACATGCACGTCAAGCTAAAATAAGGCAAGTAATAAGACCTGTCCTAAGTGTCCTATGACACAGTACTTTCACGTCTTTCGACCAAATAGCTACAAAATGAATTATTTGATTATTTCCATTGCATTCGTCTTCTCAGGGGGGTTATAGCTGAAATGGCATTGGAAACATTGTAAGAAATGGCAAATCAACCTCCCATTATCATGATTATTATGATCATGATGATTATATATATATGTGTCCAGCACACATAAAATGTTTCCTGGTTATGGTTTGGATTTTATTTCCCTCCTCACTTAAACATGGGGAAGTAGAAGACATATGCTTGGATTACTACACTTTGTATCTCTCACCCTTCTTTTGGAACACTGTCCTTAACGTCCTTTTCATTATCAGCGTTCCCGTTTACCGGTAATTTCTTGGTTTATATATTTCAAACTCATTTCAAAAGTGAGGTAGAATCTAGGCCAATTTAAAAAAAAAATTTAAAAATTTTTTACTTGAATTTTGGCCTAAAAGGTTGGGAAGTATGAAAAAATATTCTGGAGTAACGAAATTAAAACAACTCAATTTCTCAAGAACATTTTATCATATCCCTGGCATTCAGTTTGTACACAAATGGCAATATAACAACATTCATGTCATGGGTGAAATGCATGAAAAACGCTGCTATTTTGGTAACATGGGCGACGTTTAACTGTTTCAACACCAGCGAACCAGAATATTACTGCTGTGACACCAAGTTCCTAGAGACTCTTGTGTTATAGATGAAGCCAACATTTATCAAGGAAATTATCTGCTTGTAAAACATCTTTGCTACTACATGTTTGGCCATACACTATTTGAAAGGTCTAATTATTCCTATTGTTTATAAATATGAAAGTTATGTGTATTACATTATTTAAATAATTCATAAACAACTTAATAAAGTTTGTTTTAAATAAAAGTACCATGAGGAAATACCTCCGTTTTCAAATGTTCTTCAAAGGCTGCCATGTCAGTATACATTAAAAAGAATTATATGGTTTCACTGACATAATCTGCTACATGGTTCATGATTGATCAAATTTAAGCCTAAGGCTGCAAATCAAATTACAGCAATGGTTCTGTCCTCGTGTATGATAATTTTCAGACTTTGACGAAAGGTTTGGGTTAAATCATGTTATTCTGAACGTTTCAAGCATGAAATCGTGATCTAAATTAAAAATATGGAACCTCATGGATGCATAGTGCTAGGTTACGAGCTGTGACAAAGATTTTTTATGCATATATTTTGGCATTAAAGACATTGACTGATTGAGTCCGAGCCGAGAAATCGGCGATGAAAGCCGAGATGTCATTTGACTTACATTACACACGATCGCACGAAAACATGGAAATAATAACTTAGATGTCAGTTTGGCAACTTTTAGATATATTTTTGTTGATTTTATGTTCATAACACAAAGTCATTGATCAATTGGGAAAGAAAAGAAAAGAAAATGTAATTCCATATGGCATTTAGGCCTACAGTACATACTGTAAATCTGGAAATTAATGCGTCTCCATATTAATACAACTGCTGACCCCTAGCCAAAAAATGTGACTCAATATCAATGCACCGGATGCCCATTGTGTAATTCCTATTCTTTGACTGACATTGGTATATACTTGTTACAACTGCTGCTCAATAAACCATTTGTGTTTATATTCAAGTTGGTATTTCCGCTATCTAGAGTGTGCAGTGAGGCTGTCTTATTGTTGTTAGTCATTTGGAGACATAGATGCGAAGTTAATTAATGCGAGCAAAGACCTCTCTCATTTTTCGTATTTAATTCACGCTCGTGTTAATTTCAACATTTACAGTAGTTAAAGGGAAAGTTATTGTAACGTTACCAGTTTGTGACATGTGTGGGGCTGAACTTAGGCATTTGCACATGCGATATCTCCATTTGTTTCCAGGTAAACCCTGTAGGTTTTGTGAATGACATCAAAGAGTAAAGCAACAATTAAACAATAGAGTCTACAAACCTGAACTAGCCTAATTTTTCTTCACTTTGTCTTGTCAATTGCCTGGCGCACCAGATGGAGAGGCCTTTTATTGAGTCTAGGTTCAGGCAAGACAAAGTGGCTTAAAGTGCATTGCTTGAAGTGCATTGATATGTTAGTGATTTGTTCTTTCTTAATTCCAGAATTTCTGCATAAGCACAATGTCGAAGCGTCGCTTGACAGAAGCTGACAACCAAGCCAAGAAAAAGCGTAGGCATGATGCTGGAGAACCAGACCCATCCAAGGAGGATGAAGATGATGATAGTCCCATCAACCAGTCACAGAACCCAGACTTCAATACAAGCCCTGTAGGTTCTCACAACAGTGAAACAATTGGATGGGAGTATCACTAATAGATGTCCTGTAGCATGTAGATCATCAAAGGTCTAGTGTTGTCCTAAATAAAGTGATATGAAAGTGTGTATTATTTAATATCAATCCAGTGATCTGGATATCACAATATATGTTTAAAATCTGGACCAAAGCAAGACTAGATCAGTTCTCTTCAATTTTCTGCAAGACACAAGCAGCCTTTCTTCTGCTCTCTAACGTGATCTGGGTTGTTTTTTCAGGAAGCTGAAGTTGGCATAATCGAGAAAATTAGTGTGAAGAATTTCATGTGTCACACTCGTTTGGATGTCAACTTTGGTCCTCATGTCAACTTCATTGTTGGGAGGAATGGAAGTAAGTTCGTGTTTTCGACTTTAGAAGAACTAGATTCGTATTGGATGGTATGTGGTGGTACTTGACACTTTTGACTGATATTTGTAACAAAAGATACCCCACATAGGTATTGTTTTACATTGTGATAGTCATATCAAGGTTTGTTATATTCTTAGTGTAAAAGCCTGAGAGTTTAGAAAAGTGAGTGAGTGAGTTTATGCTTTACATCACATCGGCAATATTTCAGCCATATCAAGACGAGAAGTTATATATTATTTATACATATATTTAAACCAAATAAAAACCTGTCATCGATGGACAGTAAAATTACTAGAATATCACAGATGTAATATTTGAAACTTGCATACATCCATAAAAAGATATTCCTAAATAGTCATGAAACATTACAATGTAAAAAAGGGCTATAGATCGCCAGCATCTGAAGGTATATCACCATGCTAGGGTCCATGGGGACTTACAGTACTTTTGCTACCTGCATGGACCCCAGCCAGATTTACATCATCCCCTCAGCTGTTGGCGATTATGACAAATTTAGCCAAAGATAAACGAAGTTTAGAAAAGTGATGTGCTCACTGCAGTGAAAATAACACTTTGATGGAACTCTTCCTATTTTGGCAGGCATGCTTCAAATGTATTGCTAAGCGATCTCACCTCTCGGTTTTGTTTCATTCATTATTATTTTTAATTATTTTTTAAAAAGTGTACTATATCTTGTTTGCATGCAGGAAACTATTTGTGAAAGGGTCAATGTGTATAGCCAGGAGAGTTCAGATTTTGTGTTTTAATTGTTCTGGGTAATGTGTTTAAAACCCCACTGTCAACAACAAATCAGCTATTCAAAAAATAGGATATTTCATGTGTCTAGTGAAAATATGATGTCTATCTCATCGAGTGACGGTAAAAGGATATATTATCATGAGTGGCACTGCCACAAGAGAAATTATTTCCTTTCCCGCGTCAAAAGATGTATGTCAGATATTCTTTTTATGAGTATTGTGTCACCAATGTAGCATTCTTAGACAAGGTCTACTGATTTTTAATGTTAATTACTTCTTTTCATATTTACCATGTTTAGCAGTCTGGTTTATTTTATGAATGTCAAGGTGTGCTCGTACCTGGTTGTATTTCTGTAGAAGCTTTGAGAAAACAGCAGTGATAGGGCTGCTTCTGTTCTCGCAGGTACCCTAAGACACCTCAATCTAACCTCATTGTACACATGGGGCGGTCAGGTAGCCTAGTGGTTAAAGCGTTCGATCGTCACGCCGAAGACCCAGGTTCGATTCCCGACATGGGTACAATGTGTGAAGCCATTTCTGGCCCTGATATTGCCGGAATATTGCTAAAAGCGGCGTAAAACCATACTCACTCACTCACTCACTCATTGTACACATATTATGAGGTTCTGCTCTAAGGTGGTCTTATGGCACAGGTTGCTTTAGAAATAATCTAAAACCGTTGTTGTTCCCACAATTTAAGATACATGTTCAACATTACCATTCCTGACCTACCTTTGTGCCCCTCCAATAGGTGGGAAGAGTGCGGTGGTGGCAGCGCTGGTTGTTGGCCTGGGGGGTAAGGCCTCTGTAACCAGCAGGGGCAGTACAATCAAGGGATTCATCAAGAGTGGGAAAAGGTGAGACATCTTACAGGTTACCATCTTCCCGAGGCAAGGGAGTTAACTGACAATAAAAGTCCAGTTTCCACCCTTGCCAAACTAGGCTGGAATTTCTGGGCTCGATTGCAGTGCCACCACTGGTTATTACGAGTTGTGTCCCTTCTATGCCTCTCCCATTGACCAATCAGATTCTGCCTCTTGTATCACTTGCATTTGCTTCAAACAAAATGGCGGCGCCCAGTCAAGATGATCTGATCAATAATCAAGATCTATATTGTGATAAAACGGGTCTTACAACGTGAAGTGCATTAAATCACGTAAGCACCTTGATCAAAAACATGAAAAGATTTGGAAAAAATCTGTTGACGCCGAATTAGCGGTGCAAATGCTTTGCAAATCCTGCAATCGACCAAAATCTGCACGACACTTTACGAACCGGTTTCAATTTTGTTAGGCGATTTTGATTGGACTACGCATAGACTTGTTAGTCCAGCCAAACTATAACTCCATAATACCAGCCTAGTTCGGCAAGGGTGGAAACTTGACTTTTAAAGTCAGTTAACTCTTGCCTCAGGAAGATGACAGGTTACATGATGCTGCTTCTTTATATTGGTCATTTCAGGGTGATTTTTGTGTGAAGTCTCTATTCGGCAGTATTATTGTCTTGTGTACTCCACAGAAGTAAATATTACATTTTAAACTTATCCTATCTCAGGCGATGCATTTCTTCCTTCTTTCGATCCTGGTGTGAAAATATCCTTGCATAAAGTAGCTTAAGGTCGTTGCACAGGATTACAGTGCATGACCAATTTATTTGGGTGGTGACCATGGTGATGCTGGGATGTGTTAGGGTGAAATGTTTTTGAAGCTGAAAACTTTCCACACAAGGATCAAAACAAGAAGGAAGAAATGCATAGTGTGATATGATGTATATAAAAATACAATTTTTTGTAAAATCATTTTCATCATGCATACCAATTTTCTGTTTATCATTCCCTGAGAACCAGTTGTAATTCTTACATCTCAAAGATGTTGAAGTGTGTCTGTAAAGCTGAAATGATATGTCTTTCGAGATTGTTCACGTCGTGATGTTACAGAAACAACAAAGTTGCAGGATCTCGAGGGGTACATGGGGTTTTAGGTTTCCTGCGTTAGGTTTTTTTCCACTCGCCTTCAGCCCATGGTATAAAATTTAACATGGGATGCATAAAACCCCATATACCCCTCGTGATCCTGCAACAAGGAATTTATGTTACCGACATGTTTTAATATAACATTGTAAAAGAATTGAAACAAATTCAAAATTGATAGAAAACAGCTTTGATTGAGTTCAGGTTAACTTGTGCTATGTCATGTGACTTCATTGACTTGGAAAAAGCGTGCGGCTTTTTGCATCGAAGCGGGATATAAGGGATTTATTCTGCCTCTCAGAAATCCACGTGCAGCCTGACTTGCTCAGGGCGGGGTATAAGGGATTTGTTCATCCGCTGAGAAATTTATTTCCCTCCAAGTGGGGATACATAGTATTTTGTCAAGATCACGCCGACCAATCATATCTCATCCTATTGGCATGGAGCCAGGAGGTATGATAACGTTTGTTATGTTGCAGCACTGGTGAGGTTCAGATCAAGCTGCGGAACCGAGGCCCTGATGCTTTCAGGCATGAGATGTATGGGGACTCCATAACTGTGCAGAGAAAGTTCACATCAGAGGGGAGCAGTAAATACCAGCTTCTCTCAAAAACTGGTAACTGAACAAGTTGTTGATCAATACTATTATTTCTATAGGACCGTGATCTAGTGCATCGACCATCTGCCTGGAAGGCCGAATGTTGTTGATTCGATTCCCGGCCTCATCCTACTAAAAGACATTAAATAATGGTACTTGTTGTTTCCCTGCCTTGTACATGGCATTAAGTGGATAAAACAAGGGCTGGTCGACGTGGATGTTGGATCCTGAGTGGGATATTTATGTGAAGACTGCGACATGGTATCCCTGTTTGGCTGGGACTAAATATGTGCAATCATCTTAAACCTGGGCCCACTTGCACAAAACGATCTTAGCGCTAAGACTTTTGTAAGCCTATGTTAAAGTATGGGAGTTAAGATCATCTTAGCACTAAGATCGCTTTGTGCAAGTGGGCCCTGATGTTTAACTGTTTCACCTCATCTCCTTATCGACAGACTCTGCGGTCAAGTAGTGGTGTGTCTCCCCGGAGAGCAGAAGGTCGGGGTAGAGAGACATGCATGTCGCTATATAAGTGCCATTCAAACCCCATTTAAACCTCATTTCAACTCCCCTCATCTTCTCATCTGCATTTAAATTGATCACTTAATGTATTAGTTTATTAAAGGCAATGTCAAAGATGGCTTAAAGTAAGCTGATTGGTTATCTCCCTTTTCATGTTGTGTCTGTGTCATGTTGCCACGCTGATTGTAGTAGTGTAGTTTTATTTTAATTGTTTTGCTCCAAATCTTTGATGTCGGCTCACGAGTTATCTCCCTTGTGTAGGTGTAATGGTGTCGGACAAGAGGGAGGAGTTGTTCCACCTCTTGGACCAGTTCAACATTCAGGTGGACAATCCTGTTGCCATCCTCAATCAGGAGACAAGTCGCAACTTCCTCAACTCCAAGAGCCCTCAGGATAAGTACAAGGTACTCTCATGCCTGCAGTTTTATATCATAGTTAACATGAGCGCTGTAATTAACTAAACCTGTTTCTGTCAAGGTATCAAAGATCTGCAATAAGTAATACTTTGTGTGTGGGGGTTGGTGGGGTGTTTTTACAGCATTATGAATAAAATTGCCTCAGTTTTAGACACCAGTGATGTTGTTCAATGCTAGATAGATAGCAGTCTATGCTCCAGTGATAGATAGCATTCTATGCTCCAGTGATAGATATCGTTCTATGCTCCAGTGATAGATATTGCTCCATGCTCCAGTGATAGATAGCATTCTATGCTCCAGTGATAGATATTGTTCTATGCTCCAGTGATAGATATTGTTCTATGCTACAGTGATAGATATTGTTCTATGCTACAGTGATAGATATCATTCTATGCTCCAGTGATAGATATTGTTCTATGCTCCAGTGATAGATATTGTTCTATGCTCCAGTGATAGATATTGTTCTATGCTCCAGTAATAGATAGCATTCTATGCTCCAGTGATAGATATTGTTCTATGCTCCAGTGATAGATATCGTTCTATGCTCCAGTGATAAATATAGTTCTATGCTCCAGTGATACAGTTCTATGCTCCAGTGATAGATATCATTCTATGCTCTAGTGATAGATAGCATTCTATGCTTTAGTGATAGATATTGTTCTATGCTCCAGTGATAGATAGCTTTCTATGCTTTAGTGATATATATTGTTCTATGCTCCAGTGATAGATATTGTTCTATGCTCCAGTGATAGATATTGTTCTATGCTTCCATCTGTTGCAGTTTTTCTTGAAGGCCACGCAGCTTGAGACCATGAAGCATGACTACGCTAAAGCCAACGAGCAGAAGTCCATCACTCTAGAGATCATCAGTCAGAAGGAGAGGGTATGGAATGCAACACAACTTAGTTCCTAGCCCACTCCCACTCTTGCCTCCACAACAACACCATCGACACAATTATCCCCAATTATCAATCATCTGCACTTCACCAATTATGATCACACCTGTATGAGGACTGCCTCTGTGGTCTAGTGGTAGAGAATCCACCTGGAGTGTGGAAGGTCGAGGGTTCGTTAAAAGATGGTTTTTGTTTTTGCCCCGTCTGGCTCTCGGCATTAAAGGGCTAAAACAAGAACTGGTTGGCTCAGGGTCAGTATACTGTGCCTGAGTGGGGTATTCATGTTAAACTGCAGGGTGGTATCTCAGTGGGCTAGCACTAGAAATTAGAAATCGACATAAGTCCGGAATAGTGCACGCACGCACGCACGCACGCACGCACATGCGCAGTAGTGACAGGACAGTTGTATACCTCGTAATATACACAAGAAAATATGGACTGTCATTTAAATTATTTACTTGGGCACGCTTATAAAGATTACTTACAGATTGGTTTTGAACTTGGTTGTAGCACTTATTGGAGCTGGGCATTTAATACTGCGAATACGGTGTTTGTACAAGGCAATTGGATGAGATGTCAAGCTTTGTGACTAAGCTGATTGTGTATCATCTCACCCCCCTGACATGGAACTGCTTCTCTCTGTTACTTAATCATTTAGTTAGTTACAGGCAGCTGTGCTATGGCTGGAACATTGGGTTTCAATATGCACTTTAACATCAGTTCTATCAAGATGTGACACACTGCCAATAAGAAACTTGTTAAGAAAGGAATCAACTAAAATCTTTCTAGAAGTTAGCTGAGAGGCCGTTTGTGGCCAGTAGTTAGATGTCTGCTAAGCAAGTTGGTGTCTATTGTCTGGTCCGTCCACAGACTCTGCCTACCCTGGAGAAGGAGGTCCTGGAGTGGGAGCACAAGTTCAAGAGTTTGGATGCCATTGATGAATTGAAGAAGAACGTCAAACATCTGAAGAATGAAATGGCTTGGTCTTTGGTTGCTGCAAAAGAAAGGGTACTTATAATTTTGTCACCCGTTTGGTTCAGTTCTGAAGTAGATACAAATCCATGCAAAGCATATAGGTAATGGTTTCCACCGTGGTACTTGTGTGGTGCTGTTTCCACGGTGGTACATGTGTGGTGCTGTTTCCACGGTGGTACATGTGTGGTGGTGTTTCCACGGTGGTACATGTGTGGTGCTGTTTCCACGGTGGTACATGTGTGCTGGTGTTTCCACAGTGGTACATGTGTGGTGTTTCCACAGTGGTACATGTGTGGTGCTGTTTCCATGGTGGTACATGTGTGGTGCTGTTTCCATGGTGGTACATGTGTGGTGTTTCCACAGTGGTACATGTGTGGTGGTGTTTCCACGGCGGTACATGTGTGGTGGTGTTTCCACGGCAGTACATGTGTGCTGGTGTTTCCACAGTGGTACATGTGTGGTGTTTCCACAGTGGTACATGTGTGGTGCTGTTTCCATGGTGGTACATGTGTGGTGTTTCCACAGTGGTACATGTGTGGTGTTTCCACAGTGGTACATGTGTGGTGGTGTTTCCATGGTGGTACATGTGTGGTGCTGTTTCCATGGTGGTACATGTGTGGTGTTTCCACAGTGGTACATGTGTGGTGTTTCCACAGTGGTACATGTGTCGTGTTTCCACGGTGGTACATGTGTGGTGTTTCCACGGTGGTACATGTGTGGTGCTGTTTCCATGGTGGTACATGTGTGGTGTTTCCACGGTGGTACATGTGTGGTGCTGTTTCCATGGTGGTACATGTGTGGTGCTGTTTCCATGGTGGTACATGTGTGGTGCTGTTTCCACAGTGGTACATGTGTGGTGCTGTTTCCATGGTGGTACATGTGTGGTGCTGTTTCCACGGTGGTACATGTGTGGTGCTGTTTCCACAGTGGTACATGTGTGGTGCTGTTTCCATGGTGGTACATGTGTGGTGTTTCCACAGTGGTACATGTGTGGTGTTTCCACAGTGGTACATGTGTGGTGTTTCCACAGTGGTACATGTGTGGTGTTTCCATGGTGGTACATGTGTGGTGTTTCCATGGTGGTACATGTGTGGTGTTTCCACAGTGGTACATGTGTGGTGCTGTTTCCACAGTGGTACATGTTTGGTGTTTCCACAGTGGTACATGTGTGGTGTTTCCATGGTGGTACATGTGTGGTGTTTCCACAGTGGTACATGTGTGGTGCTGTTTCCATGGTGGTACATGTGTGGTGCTGTTTCCATGGTGGTACATGTGTGGTGTTTCCACAGTGGTACATGTGTGGTGTTTCCATGGTGGTACATGTGTGGTGCTGTTCCACGGTGGTACATGTGTTGTGATGTTTGCAGGGACTGGAGCCTATCAAGAAGAAGCTTGACCAGGAGGACTCCCGGACTCCCAAGTATGTCAAGAAGGTGGAGGAGGTGAAGGTGAGGCATTCTGACGTCCAGTGTATTAATATCTTGCAGACAACCAAGTGCTTAGTTGCATAATATGGAAGCCCTTTGTATAGCCCCTTTTTTATCCCTCACTCACTCACTGTCATTGTCTGCCATGGCAGGAGAACCTGGAGAAGTGTCAGCAGACACACAGACAGATCCAGGACCAGATCCTCGCCATCAGTGAAGAGGTACAGAAGCTTGAACCACAGAGAAAACAGGCCAAGTCCAACATGCAGCAGAAGAGGGATGCAGCCAGACAGGCACAGGTAGGGAACACTAGCATTGTCTATAGACAAGTAGGGCAGACTAGCATATTTTACAACAGTCTGAATATCCCTTTCAAAAGTTGATTCTCTTTCAGATTAAATCCTCCTTGGGGCACTTATTGCATTTTCCTTGCTCAAGAAAATCTACATGACATAGTTGTAACCATTTTCCTTAATAAACAATGTTACCACACAAAAAACTTTGTTTTTGTATGATATACGACCACCCTTACAGGGCCTCACCCCCCACAGCGCCTCACGCCAGGGGGAGCAACTCTCACCCAAATCACTTTCCTTATGTCATCTGTAAGAGACAGACGTGCTGATTTTTCACACAAGACAAAAGAAGAGAATCTATCGTTCGACAAGAACCATGGCTGACCAAACTGTATGTATGGTACATTTCTTTCATTGCAAGGCGTAATACCTCGCATTGTAAAGTTATAGAGTTGTAATTATACGCCACGTGCACGGTCCCTTTGAATTCAAATGGCCGTAATGGCGTCCATATTGTAGTTCCACGGTCTGATACATGTAACACCAAGGCCATTAGAAACGGCTTGGGGTTTTGTTATATCATACAGCATTGGTCTACAATTTTTTCCTTTACAAAAACCCAAGGTGGTGTGTTAATTTATAAACTACACTTACCTTTTTTACGGGTTTTTACATCTTCGCGCGTAACACGCCCCCTTTGGTGTTATAATTATACTACGACATTGGCTATTAGTATCGCGTTACAAATCGCATTCTACATTAAGCCTTTGCTTCTAGTTTCACAATTTATGCACGTATCTTTCCAATCTTTATATCGCACTGATACACTTTAATACCCTTCCCGCCCACCTCAGAAAATACGGTCTTTTTACAAAGACCTTCAAACTGTGTACGGGTTGTTATAAGACAGGCACGAACGCTGCCTTAAAGGTCTGGCGGAGGACGGGCATTGCCTTTACCCCCCGGGCCCCCAAAAAGAGACAAGTTGACTTGTTCCACTTAAAGAGGTCTATGAAAGGCGGGGGTAGATATCAGATCTGCTGAGACCTCCCGACCCCCCTCCCCATCTAAAAAGGGTAAAAAAGCTGCCGAGACTGTCTCCCCCGCTCCCTCTCCGGGGGCCGGGGGAGAAGGCTCGAGGGTCCCCGTAGTAAGCACTGCACCCTCTCCTTCACTGTCTTTGGCAGACTTTTCTGAGTTACTTAAGTCGCAGATGGCGTTGATGAAGGAGGAGGTGAAGTCTCGGCTCTGGCAGGAGCTACGGGCTGAGCCTTCCCTGTTGTCGGCGCCGGACGCGGCTTCGAGACCTTGTGTTATGTCTGGGCGTCGGCCTGGTTCTGCCATCCATACCTCGTCGACTGGTTACTAAGAACTCTATCGCAATCCCTGAGTCAGATAGCTACACAAGAACGGTAGACATTCTGATCACTCTAGGGTGGATGGTCAATCTCAAGAAGTCAGATCTGCGCCCCACTCAGAATCTAGTCTTCCTAGGGGCTAATTTCAACACGGTGAGAGGACGTGTATCTCTGTCACAAGATATCAAGCGCAAGTCACACAGCTTGTACATGGCTCCAGTTACTGGACAACATGGGGGCGACAGTGGATTTGGTCTGGCGGGCGCGCTTGAGAATGAGTCCCATTCACCAAGCACTCCGTCGACTTTGGGCGAACTCGGAAGATCTCGAGACTGTGCTCGAGACTCCGTAGTGGCTCATTACACACCTCCAGTGGTGGACCGAGGTCGGGAATCTGTCCCGGGGGCTCCCCCTCGACACTCCCGTTCCGTCTGTCACAGTTCAAACAGATGCGTCACTCTCCTGCTGGGGAGGCGTTCTGAATGATCACACTGCCTCGGGACTATGGTCCCAGCAGGAGATCAATCTGCATATCAATGTGCTAGAGCTGAGAGCGGTCAGGTTGGTGTTCCAATGCTTCCCGGATCTGCTTCGTGGCCAAGTGGTTCGTCTAGTGATGGACAAACAAACGGCGATGACTTACATCCGGAAGCAGGGGGGAACAGCGTCTCCGTCGCTTCGACAAAGGACGTGGCAGTTCCTACTATAGTGCGACTCTCCTGATATCAGGGTGCTACCTGTTTATCTCCCAGGGGTGGACAACGTCCGTGCGGACCCTCTGTCGGTGGCACCGGACGCCTTCCAGCTAGATTGGACGGACAGTTCTGTGGGCATTCCCCCCAGTACCTCTGATTTCCAAGGTCCTGTCTCAGCTAGGCACTCAGCCTGCGCGACTAATTGTGATCCTGGCACCTCTTTAGTCGGCGCAGAGTTGGTTTCCAGTCATACTCAGGTTTCTGGCTCAGCCTCCTGTTATATTACCTTTACGACCGGACCTCCTATCCCAGAACGGGGCCCTCCACCCGAATCCCAGGATTCAATGGGTGGCTTGTCCACTGTCAGGAATCGCCTCCAGAAGAGCGGTATTCCTGCACGAGTTGCAGACACAATACTGGCTTCGCGGAGGGATTCGACAAACGTTCAGTACGAGGATAGATAGGCCTGCTATGCCCGCTGGTGTATCGATAGAGGGATTGCAGAGTCGAAGCGGTGCTTGAGTTCCTCCAGTCGCGACTAGATGACGGCCTGGCCGCATCAACAGTCCGAGGGTACTCTACAGCTATCGCAGCTTTTCACGTCCCTGTCGACGGGGCACTTCTGGGTGCACACCCATTAGTGCAGCGCTTTTTAGCTGGTGTGGACAGGATCCGACCACCAGTCCGGCGGATCTGTCCCCCTTGGGACTTGTCAATCGTTCTCGATTGGCTGTCCAGTCCTTCCTTTCGGGATCTGTCGTATCTCTCTCTTCAGCTGTTGAACTGGAAGAGGGCGTTCCTTGTGGCGGTAACGTACGGCAGACAGGTAGGCGACATTCGTGTTATGTCAGCCGATCCCGATATTACTGTCTTCCACCGGTCAGTTTTCAACTACCGGACTCTTACCGTCCTAAGGTCACACACGCCTTACACGTGAACGGCTCCTATTGAGCTACCTGCTCTTTCACAGCCTTCCTCGTCGGGGATCACTGCAAGACATGCTTATGTCTTGGATGTCCGCAGGACCCCCAAGGCCTATATCAGCAGAACTATGGGTATTGGTAAGGATAACCAACTATTTTGCTGTTACGGCGGTAGGAAGGCTGGCTCACCTGCGAACAAACAATCTATCTCGAGGTTGATAGTTTCAACCATTTGTACAGCGTATACACTTACAGGCAGGGACCCCCCTACCAGGTTGAAGGCTCATTCGGTTAGAGCAGTGGCTACATCACAAGCGTACGCCGAGGCTCTGACCATGGAGGAGATTTGCTCCGCGGCTGTTTGGAGCCAGCCGAGCACGTTCATCAAACATTACCAACTCGACAAACACTCAAGCAAGCGTACTCGGTTTGGACAGTCAGTTCTCCGAACTGGGCAAAGTTCTAATCTCTAGCCGATCGAGCATTCGAGATTTTAGACAGTCCTCCGGTTATACTGCTCAGTAATGGTCCGGATTTTATCTTCTGCGGTCGATAAATATCAGTCCTTACTACTCGATAATACTTGTATTTTGCACACGCACTCCTTCGATCCTCGGGGACCCTCTGGCCTAGCTCAGCGCGGGTTATAGTCTCTCGTGATCTACACCCCTGTATCACTTGTTCAAAAAAGTGTGTGGGGGTGGGGGGTGTTTCGAGTTCTCATCTTATGACAAGCCGCAAAAACAGGCTTTATCATAATATATGGTCGACCACGCCCTGTCTCTAGCCCCCGCCTTTCGACGGTGGTGCCTCACGATAAGGTTGGTTCCATTTATTGAACTCAATATTTTATTCTGTTGAATAATCAAATACAATGTATTTATTTACGCCTGTTGCTGACGGATGCCACTTCCTAGATTATCTTTGGGAGTCTGTCTTGATGCAATAAGTGCCCCCAGGAGGGTTTAATCTGAAAGAGAATTTTACAAACCTGTAGAGGTTATGAATTCTCTGATGAAATCCTCCTTGGGGCACGGCCACCCACCTCCCCACATTCCGTCAGCATTAGACATATGGAAAGTGATTTGGGTGAGAGTTGCCCCCCCCTGGCGTGAGGCGCTGTGGGGGGGTGATGCCCCGTAAGGGTGGTCGTATATCATACAAAAACGAAGTTTTTTGTGTGGTAACATTGTTTATTAAGGAAAATGGTTACAACTATGTCATGTAGATTTTCTTGAGCAAGGAAAATGCGATAAGTGCCCCAAGGAGGATTTCATCAGAGAATTCATAACCTCTACAGGTTTGTGAAAATAGTATGTGTCTGTGACTTCTGTTTTCCTGTATAGGGGGCACAGGTGGCACAGTCGTCTAAGGCGCCACGATTTGCTGTGCAGAGTTGCGTCCCCTGGGCACGCCAGAAACCTTTAATTGTGGGTTCGAATCCCGGTATGCCCCGATTATGTTTCTAGGTTTGTCAGCACCATACCCGTGCTCGTGGGTTTCACCGAAGTGGTTAATGTCTGAGACATGCATCACTTCGTGCTTTCCTCCCACATTAAGCTGACACGCCGTGACATAACTGGAATACTGTTAAAAGCGGCGTTTAACCGAACTCACTCACTCACTCACTTTTCCTGTATAGATGAAAGGTTTGAACATGATTTGAGCATGATGTGTGTGTAGCACAGTGATCCTGCTGTCTGACGCCGTAGTGTTGTGTTGCAGAATGAAGTGAACAAGACTGAGAAGGACCTGCGAACAAGTGTCCGAGATCGGGACATGGTGAAAGAAAGAATTGAGGAGATAAAGAATAGGTAATTGTATTCTGAGATCCTAATTTACTTAAATCATGAGAATTTTTTTATAAATAATACATAACTGTCTATCTAGCTGGATGTCTGGCTTATATATCTGTCTATCCAGCTTCATAACTATTTTTGTATCTATCTTGACATCTATGTAGCTTGATATCTATCTTGAATACATGCTGCAGTGTTTTATGGAAGATATGCTTGTTAATGAGTGAAACAAGAAAGACTGAAATGCTGTTTTACGCTTGAAGCTCTGTGTACTGAACATTCCAGGGTAGAAAAGGTCTTCAGCAACCCATGCTTGCTGTGAAAAGCGACTCTGCTTGTCGTAAAAGGCGACTAACGGGATTGGGTGGTCAGGCTCGCTGACTTGGTTGATGCATGTCATCGATCCCAATTACATGGATCGATGCTCATGATGTCAATCACTGGATTGTTTGGTCCAGACTCGATTATTTACAGACCGCCGTCATATAGCTGTAATATTGCTGAATGCGGCGTTAAACAACAAACCAACCATCCAACCAACCGTGTACTGAAACTCTGTGTTTCAGTGCCCAGCATGACTACGAGTCAGAGCGGCGGGCGCGTCAGGAGAAGATTGACCAGCTGATGGAGAAATCAAGAGGTCTGGAGTCCCAGCAGAGAACCACGGAGCATCAGAAGAACCAGTTCCGTGATGCTGTCACCAAGTACACCAATGACGGCTACACTATCAGGTAGATGTACAGCCACCATGAGCTGATTACTGAGGGCTGATTTTATAGACGGAAGGCATGTAGTATTACATTACTTCAAAGTAAGGAGATTATGTCCGTATTGTGATATAATAAGAATAAGGCTTATGTATTTTCAAAATCCCTTTTTGTTGACAAACATTATTTTATCCCCCATCCTAAATTAGGCGAGGGTAAATAGTTATTCCAAGGTATTCCTTTAGTACGTTTGCCTTTCCAAGGACATTTTTTTGCTTTATTATTCAAGGAGGTATGAACAGGGCATGACCTGTGGTTGTTATTATTCCAGGCGAGATGAACAGGGCATGACCTGTGGTTGTTATTATTCCAGGCGAGATGAACAGGGCATGACCTGTGGTTGTTATTATTCCAGGGGAGATGAACAGGGCATGACCTGCGGTTGTTATTATTCCAGGCGAGATGAACAGGGCATGACCTGTGGTTGTTATTATTCCAGGAGAGATGAACAGGGCATGACCTGTGGTTGTTATTATTCCAGGCGAGATGAACAGGGCATGACCTGCGGTTGTTATTATTCCAGGCAAGATTAACAGGGCATGACCTGTAGTTGTTATTATTCCAGGCGAGATGAACAGGGCATGACCTGTGGTTGTTATTATTCCAGGCGAGATGAACAGGGCATGACCTGTGGTTGTTATTATTCCAGGGGAGATTAACAGGGCATGACCTGTGGTTGTTATTATTCCGGGCGAGATGAACAGGGCATGACCTGTGGTTGTTATTATTCCAGGGGAGATTAACAGGGCATGACCTGTAGTTGTTATTATTCCAGGGGAGATTAACAGGGCATGACCTGTGGTTGTTATTATTCCGGGCGAGATGAACAGGGCATGACCTGTGGTTGTTATTATTCCAGGGGAGATTAACAGGGCATGACATGTGGTTGTTATTATTCCAGGCGAGATGAACAGGGCATGACCTGTGGTTGTTATTATTCCAGGCGAGATTAACAGGGCATGACCTGTGGTTGTTATTATTCCAGGGGAGATGAACAGGGCATGACCTGTGGTTGTTATTATTCCAGGCGAGATGAACAGGGCATGACCTGTGGTTGTTATTATTCCAGGCAAGATTAACAGGGCATGACCTGTGGTTGTTATTATTCCAGGTGAGATGAACAGGGCATGACCTGTGGTTGTTATTATTCCAGGTGAGATGAACAGGGCATGACCTGTGGTTGTTATTATTCCAGGCAAGATTAACAGGGCATGACCTGTGGTTGTTATTATTCCAGGCGACATTAACAGGGCATGACCTGTGGTTGTTATTATTCAAGGAGGTATGAACAGGGCATGACCTCTGGTTGTTATTATTCCAGGCGAGATGAACAGGGCATGACCTGTGGTTGTTATTATTCCAGGCAAGATTAACAGGGCATGACCTGTGGTTGTTATTATTCCAGGCAAGATTAACAGGGCATGACCTGTGGTTGTTATTATTCCAGGCAAGATTAACAGGGCATGACCTGTGGTTGTTATTATTCCAGGGTAGATTAACAGGGCATGACCTGTGGTTGTTATTATTCCAGGTGAGATGAACAGGGCATGACCTGTGGTTGTTATTATTCCAGGCAAGATTAACAGGGCATGACCTGTGGTTGTTATTATTCCAGGGTAGATTAACAGGGCATGACCTGTGGTTGTTATTATTCCAGGGGAGATTAACAGGGCATGACCTGTGGTTGTTATTATTCCAGGCAAGATTAACAGGGCATGACCTGTGGTTGTTATTATTCCAGGGTAGATTAACAGGGCATGACCTGTGGTTGTTATTATTCCAGGCGAGATGAACAGGGCATGACCTGTGGTTGTTATTATTCCAGGCGAGATTAACAGGGCATGACCTGTGGTTGTTATTATTCCAGGGGAGATGAACAGGGCATGACCTGTGGTTGTTATTATTCCAGGCGAGGTTAACAGGGCATGACCTGTGGTTGTTATTATTCCAGGCGAGATTAACAGGGCATGACCTGCGGTTGTTATTATTCCAGGCAAGATTAACAGGGCATGACCTGTGGTTGTTATTATTCCAGGGGAGATGAACAGGGCATGACCTGTGGTTGTTATTATTCCAGGGTAGATTAACAGGGCATGACCTGTGGTTGTTATTATTCCAGGGGAGATGAACAGGGCATGACCTGTGGTTGTTATTATTCCAGGGTAGATTAACAGGGCATGACCTGTGGTTGTTATTATTCCAGGGGAGATGAACAGGGCATGACCTGTGGTTATTATTCCAGGCGAGATGAACAGGGCATGACCTGTGGTTGTTATTATTCCAGGCAAGATTAACAGGGCATGACCTGCGGTTGTTATTATTCCAGGGTAGATTAACAGGGCATGACCTGTGGTTGTTATTATTCCAGGGGAGATGAACAGGGCATGACCTGTGGTTGTTATTATTCCAGGGGAGATGAACAGGGCATGACCTGTGGTTGTTATTATTCCAGGCGAGATGAACAGGGCATGACCTGTGGTGGTTATTATTCCAGGCGAGATGAACAGGGCATGACCTGTGGTTGTTATTATTCCAGGCGAGATGAACAGGGCATGACCTGTGGTTGTTATTATTCCAGGCGAGATGAACAGGGCATGACCTGTGGTTGTTATTATTCCAGGCGAGATGAACAGGGCATACAGGACAAGCAGGACAGTGACAGGCAGCAGCTTAAGATGTTGATGGCTGCTCGCAGTGACAGACTCAAACGCTTTGGACAGTTCATCCCCAACATCACCAAGCGGATAGATGAGTTCCACAGGAAGGGATATTTCCATGAGAGACCAAGAGGACCTCTAGGTAGTGTTGTCATGTTTCAGAGATCCATCACAGTCAGCATTGTCATAAACCGTATCATTTGACTGCAAAAGCAAGAGTCAATTCAAGGAAACCCTTGGTGTATTTAGAAATATAGCATCTGCACAAGACGCTCTGTTTGTGGGGAAGTGGAGGCAGACAGCAGTTTTGCATCAAAACACATAAACACCCACAAACACATACACACACAAAAAACAAACACGCACACACAAACACGCACTCGTGCACACACACACAGAGGAATGTTGCAGACTGTGGCATAACACACAACACAAAAAGGAAAACTGCTTGTATTGAGATGAAATTGGCTTGTGTTGTCAGGATCGTGTTTCCAGCTGCGTGACCCGGAGTGGGCGCTGTCCGTGGAGAGCTGTCTGAAGGCCCTCCTCCATGCCTTCTGCTGCACTGACCACCATGACGAGAAGGTCCTCGAGGGCATTTTTGAAAGGGAAATCAAAGATGGAAGACATCCCTCCATCATCGTCAGCAGGTTCACTGTGAGTATAACTTGCAAGGACAGTCAATATGTACCCTTTTAATAGGAACAGTCCTGTTCCAGGAAAATGAGTATTTGTAAGTAAAGATTTTAGAGTATGTAGACAGTTCCAACAGGGATGGTTCGTGAAATAGATGCTTTACATCCTTGGAGATTCTTTCTTCTATTTTGGGCCCAAGAAAATGTATTTCTTCATAATATCTCATCCTCCTTCTCTTTCAGAATCAAATTCATGACATCTCCAGATTTGTAAGTATCTTCCTAAAGTAAATGACCCGTGAAGATTCCGGGATAGAATAGGTCTTCAGCAACCCCATACTTGCTGTAAAAGGTGACTATGCTTGTCGTAAAAGGCAACTAATGGGATCGGGTGGTCAGACTCACTGACTTGGTTGATGCATGTCATTGATCCAAATTCCGTGGATCGATGATCATGATATTAATCACTGGATCATCTGGTCCAGATTTGATGATTGTTTAATGCTTGTCATAAGAGGCGACCTTGACAGTGGGGGGGGGGAGAGGGAGGGGCAGCAGACTCAAACACTTGGTTCATTGGATCGTTGCTCATGATATCAATCAATTGTCTGGTCTGGACTTGATTCTCTACGGACTGCCGTCATATAGCTGGAATATTGCTGAGTGCGGCGTTAAACAACAAACCAACCAAATCCTAAAGTAAATTATTCAATCTGGATGTGTTGTATCATTTCGCAGCATTATGTCATTTAATATGCAAGCAAAGCTGTAGAAAAAATAAACAGTTTAAATTTGTCTATGTCACAGTTGTGCAGTCAGTTTGTATTTGTTAATTATCAAACTGTATACTGCACGGTCATGATACTGATGTATTTAGTTGGAGTAGAAATATATAAATATAAATATATAAATAAATTTGTATTACCATATCCCTGGTGTTAAGAACAACTATAATTACTGTTGCTACTTTGTGACGATGCATCGTGTTCTCCATGCAGCGCGTCCAGAGTGAGCACCCCTGTATTCTGGACATGCTGAACATAGAGGACACTGTGGTGGCCAACACCCTCATCGATCAGGTAGGCGTCGGCTTGCAGGGGAACCCCGGGGGGATTCCAGGTTAGAATAGGTCACCAGCAACCTGTGCTTGTCATCAGAGGCAACTAAGTAGGTCGACTCAAGACTTGGTTTGTTGGATCGTTGCTCATGATATCAATCACTGGATCATCTGGTCCAGATTTGATGATTGTTTAATGCTTGTCATAAGAGGCGACCTTGACAGTCGTGGGGAGGGGGTCAGCAGACTCAAACACTTGGTTCATTGGATCGTTGCTCATGATATCAATCACTGGATTATCTGGTCCAGATTTGATGATTTACATGTCTCTGTGATAAAGCTGGAATACTGCTGTGTTGGGTGATAAACAACAAATGTCACAGGGAACCACCTTTACATTATTTTGTCGCAAATAACCAAGCACTTGAAAACATAGATTCAGGGGTAGAGTAGGTCTTCAGCAACCCATGCTTGCCGTAAAGTGAAGATTCCAGGGTAGAATAGGTCTTCAGCAACCCATGCTTGCCGTAAAGTGAAGATTCCGGGAGGGAATAGGTCTTCAGCAAACCATGCTTGCCGTAAAAGGTGACTATGCTTGTCGTAAGATGCGACTAATGGGATCGGGTGGTCAGGCTCGCTGACTTGGTTGTTGCATGTCATCGATCCCAATTGCGTGGGTCGATGATCATGATATCAATCAGTGGATTTTCTGGTCCAGACTCGATTATTTACAGACAGCCGTCATATAGCTGGAATATTGCTGAGTGCGGCGTTAAACAACAAACCAACCAACAACTTGTCGATGCTTTACGTATCCATGGGACTTTGAAGGATGTTCATCATGTGGGCTTAGTTATTTATCTAAACCTGCTCAGAGGCTAATATTTGACCCCAAGTATGCAGCAAATGTCTTTCATAATTCCCAAAATGTAATTAAAAGTTTCCCAATTTATGTTAATAACTAATAGGTAATATTGTGGCTCTGTAGAAATAACCTGTATTTCACTGATACCAGGACGAATAAATAGGAAGAGGTTGTTATGCTCATTCCAGGGGTCCGGAAACCGTCATATGCGCCGGACATGTCCGATTGGGAATCTCAAATGTCCGTTTTAAAATATTGCTTTGATTGTTTTGATTGCTGTAAATACATCGTACCTACATGATAGTCCAATCGGTCAATCACTGTAATAGGCAATAAACTGAGTTGACACCGATTAATCGAGGATTAATTACTGAGAACATCTTGTTAATTTGAGTGAGTTTACAACTGTACATTAACACCTTGCATCATCGATGTACCTCATTATCCTCACAATGCTACGATACGTAACCTCAGACAAGAAGCGAAAGCGTGACGACAGCCAGTCGACCGATGCAGATCAGTCGAGCGGATCTGCCAAACCCTCAAAGTCTGGACAATCATTTTGTAAGTCGAGTTTAACGACTTTCACTCGGTTGACATACAATGAGGATTTGCAGATTTTATTGTTTTCAGTAGCTAGTCGTATATTGAATCTTGATTGACCGCCATTTTGCTTTCTCGGACGATCGATATCCAATTTTTTTATGGTCAATAATTAAGTACAGATGAAAAACGTATTCAAATAACTATTGCTATCAACGATATTTTAGTATTTGTGATTAAATTATCTGTCTTGTTTTTAAAAAAATCTTTAGTTTTAAAAAAAACTTTTCCCGTGAGGTCACGTGATAACCAAATATGGGATAATAGTCTCGATCCAAATGTTACAACGTGTACACTTGAGCAGACTCATGAATATAACTCATGAATATTAATTAGACCGTTCACTACGTTAACAGATCGTTATTATAACAGAAACAAACGTATGTTTTCCATGTAAATCTAAAATGATATTATTTGTTATTAATTGTCCGGTGAATTAAACAATTTAAATTGAAATAATTCATAATTCATCATATTATGAATACGTAAACTTGTAATGTGTGTGAAAAGTCGTACTAAAATACGCTATTTGAAGGGGGCGTGGCCTAAATGCAAATGTCCGATTGGGATTTTAAATTTTCCGGACCCCTGGCTCATTCAGTTATATATTTTATTGCACTGAATACAATCTCAAAAAAACAATATTAAAATGGGCCTACTTATGAATTATGAAAAGAACTTAAAAATCAAATTTGAACAAAACTATTTTTTCCAAAGTTGCCTGCCAGGGGCACTAAGTTTAAAATCCTGGATACATCCCTGACTTGTTGCCACTTCTTTAGCATCTATGAGTTACATGTCAGGGGTAGAGGTCCTTAGTCCTTAGATAAATGCTGTACCCCAGAGTATTCAGGATCATGTGCCCATCCTATATTTCACCTGCTGATCGCACACAGGAATATCCCGTATTCGACATAATACGCGCCCAGGGCGCTCTCAGAATTAGAGATAGGGGGCTCTTATTAGAATATTATTTTGGTGAAAAACAACAGAGTTGAAAGATCGTAAATTTCGCGATTTATGCCGACAGCCTGAAATGTTCATATACGACAGATATATTTTTCCAGAATTTAATTTCACATAAATAAGGATGCATATAACACGTATTATACACAAATAAATAAGTCTTGTGTACATTGATCAATCGGAAGGGGTGCTAATTGCGATTGTTCACTAGCCAATATATTAGCAAATATCGCCGTTGGCGCTTATTAGAGCGGAACACTTATTACGTCGAATACGGTACCTCTAATTTTGTGTATCCTTTGGCTTGCCTTTATTTATCCCCTGCCACGAAGTGGAAGGGGAGATATTGGAATGGGTGCTGTCCTTCCGTCCATTACATTTTCTTCCGGAGCAGAACTTAAAAACCTTGAGAGATATCTTAACAAGACTTGGCACATAGATAAGTCTAGTGGTGAACTGGTGCCTTTTGATAGATTTGGATTTTTGAAAAAGTTATTTTTTGAGTTTCTATGGCAATGACTTTGACTGAAAATAGCAGTAGTGCTCGTTTCCGGAGCAGATCATGAAAACCATAAATATTCTTGCCTTGCACACAGCATGACATGGCAGGGGATATGAGTAATTCATGTTTGTTTGATTTATGATATTTTGAGCTTCATGATATTTTCGGGACTGAGTGAATTATGTTTCTTTGTCAGCGATCTGTGGAGAACATCATCCTAATAGCTGACAACAAAGAGGCAAGACGGGTGATGCAGCATTGCCCCCCTCGCAACTGCAAGCAGGTAGGTCTTCATCCTTTTGATGATTTGGAAGTATTTCTTTTCTCATGACAATAAGTAGGCTTTACTGAAAAAGAGACTAGTGTCCTTTTCCCGAGGCAGAACTAAAGAAATGTTGAACATTTCCAAATGAAACTTGCTATACAGATAAGTCTTGTGGTGAACTGGTGCCTTTTGATGATTTATTATTTTGAAATTTTTTGAACAGATTTTTTTCTTTCTTTACTGAACTGTGAGGTATCCAATGGCAAGTTGGGTATAAGAAGCCAAACTCCATTTCCAACCAGACCGGGGGGTATGTCATCTCCTGATGACTTGTTTTTTGTCAAAAGATTGTTCTTTACTCAGTACTCATGTAGAGAGGCTCGAAAGTACAGTTACCCAGTGAGTCAACATTAGGTGGACACTCCTTAGTTACGCTAGTGGTTAAAGCATTCACTCGTCATGCTGAAGACCCGGGCTCGATTCCTGACATGGGTACAATGTGTGAAGCCCATTTCTGCTGTCCCCCGCCATGATTTTGCTGGAATATTGCTAAAAGCGGTGTAAAACCATACTCACTCACTCTCTCTCACTCACTCACTCACTCACTCACTCACTCACTCACTCAAGTTACACACCTCATAAAATTAAGCAAGCCTTGCAAAATTTAGGTCGAGGTTTATGATGGCATCGCTCATTGCAATGCAAAAAACATGACATCAGTCGGATGTAGAAAGGTGTCAAATTTCAAGCTCACTGTTGTCCCCAAAACTTGATGCACACTATCTCATCGATTTCTATCAGGTTTTCTTCCCAAAATGTATTGCACACATACATCGAATACTGTAGTAACCTGACCACTACATCGAATACTGTAGTAACCTGACCACTGCATATGTAACCTCTGAATGTACATTTCATTATTTCAAAATGCATACCAACATTGATTGAAAAAGAAGTTCTTTTCTTCAAATATCAGATTCTGCGTTGATGTGACCCTCTTATTAACGGTTTCAATCAGAGACGGTTATTGTGTTTTGATACATATGATTCACCAATCAGAATCTAGTAATTCATGGTAGAATGTATGTTATCTAATAAACAGGTGGACAAGGAAAAGTATACTAAACATTCAAAAGATGCCCTGTGATTGTCATCTCGTAATTATCATCTGTTATACTCAAACTCACTCTTTCAGCAACCCATTCTTGCCATGAAAGGCAACTTTGCTCGTCGTAAGAGGCGACTAACAGGATCAGGTGGTCAGACTCGCTGACTTGGTTGATGCATGTCATTGTATCCCAATTGCGTGAATCGATGCTTATGATGTCAATCACTGGATTGTATGGTCCAAACTTGATTATTTACAGACCTCAGTCATATAGCTGGAATATTGCTGAGTGCAGGGTTAATTAACTCTTTCAACACCTTAGGCCGGTTATCCGGCCAAGAAGCATCGAGTCCCCAGACACCGCAGGCCGGTTATCCGGCCAAGCCGTAGTCACGTCAAAATAGTATATATTTTTATGGACCTACCTGTAATATCATTCATTTATTAAATCTACCACATTTCACAATGTCTGAAATACATATTCCATTTCAATTTAACATTTTTTATCGTTAAATTAAAAAATTATTCACTATTTCCCGCGATGTTATTGAAAATCAAATTCTCGGACACACATTTCGACAACGGGTCCACATCGAACACGTCAAAGAGGAAAATAAAGACGTTTTAAACAAATCTTTAAATATATTATACAAAGTAAGGAATAAAATCAACAAAAATATATCTAAAAGTAATCAAACTTACATCTAAGTTATTATTTCCATCTTTTCGTGCGATCGCGTGTAATGTAAGTCAAATGACATCTCGGCTTTCGTCGCCTTGAATTCTCGGCTCGGACACGATGTTTAATGCAAAAATATATGCATGAAAAATCTTTGTCACAGCTCGTAATCTAGCACGATACATTCACGAAGTTCCATATTTTTAATATATATCGTGATTTCCTGCTCAAAACGTTCAGAATAACACGATTTAACAAAATTCTTTCGCCAACTTCTGTAATTTATCGAACACGAGCTTGGTATCACAGCTGTAATTTGATTGGCTGCCTTAGGTCACGTGCTCAAAATTGACCAATCACGAAACTTGTAGCAGATTTCAGCAAGAAAGCGTCATTAGAAACCAATTTTAATCCAATGAAATCGCTTGTTATAACAACGAAAAAAACTCAGTCGATGTTACGAGCGTGTAGATGAAGGAATAAGCTTTCCAGCGATGTGTCATATGCCATTCTTCGACGAACGTGTTATTCATACGAAACCTCGAAAACGGGGGTATTTCTTCATTTTACTGAGCGGACAGTCGCTGTTATCGGGAAATGGGTGATGACAGAAACTATTTATAATTCTTTTTAGAATGATTTTCCAATTACGTTAACAATGAAAATAAAACAGAAATAGGTACGTGGATATTATGAAATCATATATTTGCCGAAAATCGTCAAGTTTTCGCTTCCTTGGTCCTTAATCTGGATGTTAACAACGTGTTAGTGTACATTTTTTATTTACAAAGAATTTAATTAAGTTGTAAATGCATTATTTTAAATAATGTGAAAAATATAACTTTCATATTTATAAACCATAGGATCAGACCTTTCAATGGTGTATAACATGTAGTAGCAAATATATTTTACAAGCAGGTATTTTCTTTGATAAATGTTGGCTTCATCTATCACACAAGAGTCTCTGGGAACTCGGTGTCCCAGCAGTAAACACTTCTGGTTGACTGGTGTTGAAAGAGTTAACAAACAAACCATAGGATTCTTATGAATTGATTCTGCTTGTAAGAGACGGGCCATTTTAACACAAATTCAAAAGATTTGCTGTCTCTTGTTGTCAGGCCTATACCAAGGTGGGAGACGAGATCTACTGCCATCCGACATTCAGGTATTACTCTGCCAACGTGGACAAAGCTCGATACCTGACGGCCAACGTTGAGGAGGAGATAGCTCACTATGAGGGGGAAATTCAGTCCCTGCAGCGAGAGTTGGATAACGTGCGGCAGCAACGAAACAAACTGACAGAAGATATTCGGCGAAACAAAAGTGAAGAAAAGAAATGCAACACACAGCTGATGAAGATAGAAGAGGCCATTCAGAACCTGCAGTTTGTGAGTGCATCAGGACACTACTAACTACGGGTTTAAATGTTCATGACAGTACAGACATTGGGTTTAAACATTCATGACTGTACTGACAAGGGGTTTAAATGTTCATGACAGTACTGACCCGGGTTTAAATGTTCATGACAGCACTGACCCGGGGTTTAAATGTTCATGACAGTACTGTCCAGGGTTTAAACGTTCATGACAGTACTGACCTGGGGTTAAAACATTCATGACAGTACTGACCCGGGGTTAAAACATTCATGATAGTACTGACCAGGGGTTAAAACATTCATGACAGTACTGACCAGGGGTTAAAACATTCATGATAGTACTGACCCGGGGTTTAAACATTCATAATAGTACTGACCCGGGGTTAAAACATTCATGACAGTACTGACCAGGGGTTTAAACATTCATGACAGTACTGACCAGGGGTTAAAACATTCATGACAGTACGGACCCGGGGTTAAAACATTCATGACAGTACTGACCAGGGGTTTAAACATTCATGACAGTACTGACCCAGGGTTTAACCATTCATGACAGTACTGACCCAGGGTTTAAACGTTCATGATAGTACTGACCAGGGGTTTAAACATTCATGACAGTACTGACCAGGGGTTTAAACATTCATGACAGTACTGACCCGGGGTTTAAACGTTCATGATAGTACTGACCCGGGGTTAAAACATTCATGACAGTACTGACCAGGGGTTAAAACATTCATGACAGTACTGACCCGGGGTTTAAAGATTCATGACCAGGGGTTTAAACATTCATGACAAAACTGACCAGGAATTTAAATGTTCATGGCAGTACAGACATGGGTTTGAAACTTTCAGACAGTACTGACCTGAGGTTTAAATGATGGCATAACATCACGCCCCAATTGCAGATAGTTTCATCTTTCAGTCCCAGGCTTGCCTGGTCCAGACTTGTTTATTTACAGGCTGTTTTGTTGGGGTTGGTATATGGCTGTTACTGTGAACATGACCAACTGATTCACTGGAGCAAGGGTTCAGTCACCTACCTGGGTACAGATTGTTAACACTTGCTGACCAGCCTTTTGTGCTTCTTGCTGTGATAGGATTACAGATTTTACAGAAACCTATGTAATCACTCTGTCAAGTACATGAGCTTACATGAATAAAATACAGATATTGATTTTTCATAATGCTACAAAGTCTCTGTAAAATATTTGACACAATCGATGTGTTATTTTTCTTTCAGGAGATCAGTGAACTGAAGAATGTGGAGGACCCAGCTCCAATTGACATCGCAACTCTGGTGAGTACACACAGACTTGACACGCCCAACCACCCCTGTGTGTGTGTGTGTGTGTGTGTGTGTGTGTGTGTGTGTGTGTGTGTGGGTGAGTGAGTGCTCGCAACAGTATCTCACAGGGTGAGAAGTCAATCCAGCTTCTTATCATGGACTGATGGAAATAAGTGACCACATATACTCCTTAAATAATAATAATAATAATAATAATAATAGACATTTTCGTTGCGAATATTTCCACGCCACTCAGGGGTACACTCAAGAATCATTCTCAGCTTCCTGGGGAGTATACAGCCCAAGCTGCCTGTCAGGCGCTAGAAGGTTAACAACCAAATTGCCATCTCATCCTACCGGGTACCCATTCATTGCTGTGTGAACAGAAGCACATTTCAATCAAAGTCAATTGCCCAAGGAGACACCAACATTACTATTTACAGCTCAATAAAATGCCGCACAGCAACCAAATAAGTCATGGATTGTAATACAGCATTAGTATTCCTTATACTGCCCAGTATGTACATTTGAAGGCACCTCTCAGTCCCCCGCTGTTGCAGACATATTCACAGAGAGAATCATCACGACTGTGAGCTTCATGAAGGCGACTTAAGGCCTTTACATTGCATGATCGTGACTATGTAAGTCTTGTAGAATACCTTGCAGAGATTAGAAGGCTACTACTGTATATCAAGGGATACCAGATGATTTAGGACCAAAATGCAAGAGGAAGAAATAGGCTTGGTCAAACACCCTCTGTTGTCTTTAAAGATATTTTGAAGCCGTAGTTGTGAAAATTCTACATTTCTGAGTTACTTTTCATTAATATGAAATAAAAATTGTATTTAATTTTTCTAATAAGTCAGTATAATGAGTGAGTATGGTTTTACGCTTTTAGCAATATTCCAGCAATGTCACGGCAGGGGACACCAGAAATTAATGTCAGTTTAAGCACACCAGCATCAGCATCAGCATCATTTAACCATCTATTTTGGTACATGTCACTCATTGCGTATGATACATTCTTAGAACTTGAGGGATTAATTCTTGTTGAGTTGTTGACCCTGTACCCGTGTTTCATGCAGGAAGATGAAGTTGCGACGTACGACGAGCAGATCACCAATCTGAAGGAGAAGCGCCAGGAAGTAAGCAAGATCAGTTCAGAGCAGCAGCTTCAGCTGGTGGAGGTGGAGAAGGCCTATCGGGATGTGGAGGGGAAACTCAAGTCTCTCACTGACAGTGCTGACCCTCTCAAGGTGAGTCCTTTTGTGGCACAGTCAACTGACCCCTCAAGTTGAGTCCATTTGTGGCAAAGATAGTGCTGACCCCTCAAGTTGAGTCTATTTGTGGCACAGATAGGGCTGACCCCTTGAGTTGAGTCCATTTGTGGCACAGATAGGGCTGACCCCTCAAGTTGAGTCCATTTGTGGCACAGATAGGACTGACCCCTTGAGTTGAGTCCATTTGTGGCACAGACAGGGATGACCTTTCAAGGTTAGACCCCATGGCCGCAGCTAGTGTTTTCGGAAGTTATACAATAGCTGTTATAATTGTTTCTTATCAGCACAAAAATGTAAAGACAAAAGTATCTTTCTGCTATTAGGCAATTGCTTGAGCACCAGTTGTTTGATGCCAAATGGAGATTTGATTGGAATCACCTTTAATATTTCTGATAATGAATTGTCCAGGAAGAAGATGGCCATGCCCTGAATGAGATTGAGGTGGCGAAGAATCACAAGAAGCATTACGAGGGCAAGCTGAAAGAACACGAGAGAGTCGTCAACGAACTCCGCAAGGATGTGAATAACTACCAAACGGAACTTGATGTGAGGCTTTAGACTTTCTATACCTGGTGTACAGCATGCTGTGTCGTGTGTATTCAGAATGAACCTTGATTAGTTCAGAGATGCATAGTTGAGGGGTACACCATCCTCCCGAGGCAAAGGGTGTTAACTGAGTAAAAGTCCTGTTTCTACCCTTGCCGAACTACGGTGGAATTTCCAGGCTAGATTGTAGCGCCACCAATGGCTATTACAAGTTATGTCCCTCCTATTGACCAATCAGAATCCACCTGACTTGCATTTGCTTCAAATAAAATGGCGTCGCACAGTGAAGACGATCTGATCGATAATGAAGATCTATTTTGTAATAAAAAGGGTCTTACTTTGCGATTGCATCAAATCACGTGAACACCTTGATTAAAAACATGAAAAGATTTGGAAAATATCTGTTCATGCTCAGTTGGCGCTACACATGCTTTGCAAATACTGCAGTCGACGGAAATCTGCACGGCAGTTGTCAAACCGGATAGCGATATCGTTTCACGATTTTGATTGGATTATGCAAATCGTTAGTCCAGCCAAAATATAACTCCATACCTGCAGCCTAGTTCAGCAAGGTGGAAACATGACTTTTAAAGTCAGTTAGCTCCCTTGCCTCAGGAAGATGGGGGAACACAGACCAGGGTGATCAGTTTGCTCAAACATTTGCTTCTGTAAATTTCAGCAATTTCACAAGCTGATTGCCATCATTGGCCAGCAATATTTTTTCATGCAGGTGCTTTATTACCATGTCACAAATTCGACATGTTTATTTGATAGTAAAAATTGTATGACATTTCATGTGGCTGACATTTCTTACATTTACTTTTGTTTTGTTTTGTTTCTTTTATTGGGCATCATGTAGAATTAGCTTATCAACTCAAAATGTTGTCTGTCCTTTGTTCGATTTCCCACATGGGTACAATGTTTGAAGCCCATTTCTGGTATCCCCCGCTATAATATTGCTGGAATATTGCTAAAAGAGGTGTAAGACCATACTCACACATTCAGTGGAACAGGTGACCCGCGAAGATCCGGGGTAGAATAGGTCTGCAGCAACCCATGCTTGCCGTGAAAGGCAACTATGCTTGTCGTAAGAGGCGACTAACGGGATCAGGTGGTCAGGCTCACTGACTTGGTTGATGCATGACATCGATCTCAGTTGCATGGATCGATGCTCATGATTTCAATCACTGGAATGTCTGGTTCAGACTCGATTATTTAACAGACCGCAGTCATATAACAAACAAACAAACACTGGAACAGGTATTCTGTTATTTGGGTATTCGACGGCAGAATATATCAACACCAAAATGACTTTTGGTTGTCACAATGTGTAAACTGGTGTTGATCGCTACTCTACACACCACTAGTATACCTTGGCCTGAGTTGACTATTTACAGGCTGCCATGGTATGGCTTGAATATTGCTGACTGTGGTGTAAAACAACATTCACTCACTCTCTCTAATTTTCAGGGTCTTGTTGGTTAATTTTCTACGTGACAATGATCATATACACTGAGGGGACGGCCCAGTCGTCGAAGGCACCGCGAATCGCTCAACAGAGTTGCGTCCCTTGGGCACGCCAGACACCTATGATTGTGGGTTTTAATCCCGGTTCACCCCGATTATGTTTCTAGGTTTGTCAGCACCATTCCCATGCTCATGGGTTTAACCGAAGTGGTAAACGTCTGAGACCTGCATCACTTTGGGCTTTCCTCCCACATTAAGCTGACATGCCTGTATATAACTGTAATACAGTTAAAACCGGCGTTAACCCAACTCACTCACTCATATATACTGATACGAACACACAATCATATCCATTGTTTCAGGCAGACATGGAGAAAGCCAAAGCCATCTGCCCCGAGCGGATCAAGACAAGACGGGTGCCCCAGAATCTGGAGAGTGAGATTAGACAGACAATGAAGAGGATTCAGACTGAGGAAAAGAGGTATAGTAGTCTACCCCAACCTGCAGCTGAATTCAGTCAGACAGTGTTTCATTGGTTCACTGCCTCTGTGGTCTAGTGGATAGAGCATTAGTTCAGAGAAGTGGTTTGATCTCATGCCACATCCATAGTGTAGTGGATAGAGCATCTGCCCGGCTTGAGGAAAGTTGGAAGTTTGACCCCAACTACCTCAGTGGTTCTGTGGATGGACTGTCTGCCCGGAGTGTATTGTCTGGTTCTGTCTCAGTGGGACCCGTGAAGATCCGGGCTAGAATAGGGCTTCAGCAACCCATGCTTGCCGTAAAAGGCGACTATGCTTGTCGTAAAGGCGACTAACGGGATCGGGTGGTCAGGCTGACTGACTTGGTTGATGCATGTCATCGTATTTCAATTGCGTAGATCGATGCTAATGATATCAATCACTGGATTGTCTTGTCCAGACTCGATTATTTACAGACCGCCGTCATATAGCTGCAATATTGCTGAGTGCGGCGTTAAACAACAAAAAAAAACAACAAATATTTCAAGTTTTCCTTAGTTGATAAGTCAGTATGGTGTAGTGGATAGAGCATCTGCCCAGAGAGGGGAGGGTCTGTGGTTAGATCCTTGGCCACATCAATGGTGTTGTGGATAGAGCATCTGCCCTGCTGGAGGAATGTTGGAAGTTCGACCCAAACTACCTCTGATCTAGTGGATAGTGTGTCTGCCCCGGAGAGTGTAAGGTCTGTGGTTCAGTATCAGTGACCTCTGTGGTGTAGTGGATAGAGCATCTGCCCAGGAGGGGGAAAGTAGGAGATTCAACCATAACTACCTCCGTGGTCTAGTGGATAGAGCATCTGCCCAGGAGGGGGAAAGTAGGAGATTCAACCATAACTACCTCCGTGGTCTAGTGGATAGAGCATCTGCCCAGGAGGGGGAAAGTAGGAGATTCAACCATAACTACCTCCGTGGTCTAGTGGATAGAGTGTGTGCCTGTAGAGCGGAAAGTCAGTGTTTAAATCCCAGGCTGTGTCATACCAAAAGGTGTTGAAAGATGGTGTTTAATCTTGCCTTGCCTGGCACACAATGTCATGGGTATTAAACAAGGAATGGTCGGCTCAGAGTCAGTATCTATATCTGAGCTAGGTATCTGTGTTAAAACTGTGACATGGTAGTGGTCCAGCAATCAGCAATATCAGTCTCAGGCTCCTATAAAACCTTGCGAGGGATGCATAAAACCACACCCTCATGCTACTACAGTGTGCAGCTTTTTGCTTCGAAGCAGGGTATAAGTGATTTATTCTCCCGCTCAGAAATTTATTTCCCTCCCAGGCAGGATACATAGTATTTTGTTAAGATCACATGAACCAATCAGATCTCATCAGTTTATAATGGAGGTAAGGTAATGTATATTGTTTTGTGTTTCAACAGCCATGGCATCAATAATCTGTAAATGACGGTGTGTATTGTGTTGCAGCCATGGCAATCCAGATGAAATCACCAGAAAATATCATGAGACACAGCAGGCCTTCAGGAAAATCCGCCGCGAAGTTAATCAGCTGAAAAAATTTATAGAGGTAGGTTTAATGCCATTACCTGTCTGTGAACATGATGAATGTATGCTACCCTGCAGTCAGGCTGAATGTTATCTCCCCTGACCAATATTGACAGGTGAACATATTGTCATTACCACCAGCTACTGGGACTCAATTCACTGACACCTTAGATAGTTTGAAATTCTGTATGAAAATATGATTCCTTAATCCTTAACCACATGTTTTCTTTCATTGGTGATTTTATTCCCAGGTTTCAAGGCAACTGATATTAGCTCAACTGGAGAACACCACAGAGATATTTTTTCACAGATTTTTGGAAACCCACCAGACCAAGAAACATGGATGATCTCATCATTGATGCCATGTATCCCAATGTTATTCTGATCACCTTTCAATATTTCCTTGTTTTTTTAGTCGGCATATACCTCTGTAAGTCATTAGCACCTTAATTGTAAATTGATGTCTGTATATCCTTTCTCAATATTGCTTGGACATTTTACACAAGCCAAGTCCCATCTTTGATCATGTAAGTGTCTCAGCTGCATGTTATCATGGCTTTAATGTATCTTGCTTTAACTGAGCATTAATTCATTTCATAAACCGTATGTACCTGATTCAGCCCTGTACATACATGCTCCTTGCATTAGAGGCCATCAAGCCAGGTGAGTAGCTTGCACTGTTACCTGTACTAACGAGTTACTGTCTTCAGGCTCACATGGACCTTCCAGCCAGTCCTAGTTTTGGTCGAGTTTTCAGTCCTCCTTGCCAGCCATACTAGTTTGGGTTGAGTTTTCAGTCCTCCTTGCCAGCCATACTAGTTTGGGTCGAGTTTTCAGTCCTCCTTGACAGCCATACTAGTTTGGGTCGAGTTTTCAGTCCTCCTTGACAGCCATACTAGTTTGGGTCGAGTTTTCAGTCCTCCTTGACAGCCATACTAGTTTGGGTCGAGTTTTCAGTCCTCCTTGACAGCCATACTAGTTTGGGTCGAGTTTTCAGTCCTCCTTGCCAGCCATACTAGTTTGGGTCGAGTTTTCAGTCCTCCTTGACAGCCATACTAGTTTGGGTTGAGTTTTCAGTCCTCCTTGCCAGCCATACTAGTTTGGGTTGAGTTTTCAGTCCTCCTTGACAGCCATACTAGTTTGGGTCGAGTTTTCAGTCCTCCTTGACAGCCATACTAGTTTGGGTCGAGTTTTCAGTCCTCCTTGCCAGCCATACTAGTTTGGGTCGAGTTTTCAGTCCTCCTTGACAGCCATACTAGTTTGGGTCGAGTTTTCAGTCCTCCTTGACAGCCATACTAGTTTGGGTCGAGTTTTCAGTCATCCTTGCCAGCCATACTGGTTTGGGTCGAGTTTTCAGTCCTTGCCAGCCATACTAGTTTGGGTCAAGTTTTCGGTCCTCCTTTCCAGCCATACTAGTTTGGGTTGAGTTTTCGATTCTCCTTGCCAGCCATACTGGTTTGGGTCGAGTTTTCAGTCCTTCTAGCCCGTCTTACTGTAAATCTTGAAATTAATGTGCCTCCAAATTAATGCGACTGCTGACCCCTAGCCAAAAATGTGACTCCATATTATCGCGACTCTCCCCTACTCCCCTCCCAAGTGGAATGATACATATCCTTGTGTCGGCCTTTGATGCAGTGGTGCGTGAGTGGCGTCTGTCTGGACTGCTGTGTTCAATGATGCAAAGTTTGACACAAGTCGAACTCATGACCCCAACAGTGATAACTCACTGGATGCCCATTGTGTCATTCCTATTCTTTGAATGACATTGGACTATACTTGTTACCACTGCTGGTCAGTAAACCGTGTTTGTGTTTATATTCAACTTGGTATTTCCGCTATCCTTAGCGTGCAGTGAGGCCGTCTTATTGTTGAGTCATTTTGGAGACATAAATGCAAAGTTTTAATTAATGCGAGCAAAGACGACTCACATTTTTCGCAACCCGTGAAGATACCGGGGTAGAATAGGTCTTCAGCAACCCATGCTTGCCGTAAAAGGCGACCTTACTTGTCGTAAAAGGCGACTAACGGGATCGGGTGGTCAGGCTAGCTGACTTTGTTGATGCATGCCATCGATCCCAATTGCATGGATCGATACTCATGATATTAATCACTCGATTGTCTGGTCCAGACTCAATTATTTACAGACCACCGTCATATAGCTGGAATATTGCTGAGTGCGGCGTTAAACAACAAACCAACCAAAAATCACATTTTTCGCATTTAATTCATTCTCGTGTTTATTTCCAGATTTTGCAGTATGTCGAGTAGGCGTTTGAGTCAGCGAGGGTTCATTGTATGTCAATGAGTTCATCATAATGATTTTACTTTTTCAGGAACTCAATATCTTGATGAACAGGATCTCAAGATACATTAATCTGCTTCAGTCATATTTCTAAAGAGTGAAAGCAGTCGAGGAAAATATGTTGAGTTTGAATTAACAAAAGTTCATTGTATGTTGAATTGCATGATCATGACGGTTTTACTTTTTCAGGAACTTGATATCTCAATAGGGACGAGGATGTCAAGATATGTGTTTATACGTCAGTCGTATTCGTACCGAGTGAAAGTACTCTTTATTGAACATACCTCCATGACTAAGTCCATGAGAGGATCTCTGTCTATAAACCATAATACAGAAGAAATAGTGTTGAAAGTGAGTGTTCCCCTGAGGGACGACTACCTCATGATATGGACTATAACCTCCAACCCCTGGGTCGGGAGGGGCACAAGCTGTGTTCATTGGGGCTGCATGAAATCACCATCACGATACTTTGTGGGATTATATTGAAAACATTTCGCTATCTTGTGGTTATATTTCAGTGTGAAACTCAGGGTTTTACCTAAACTTACAAAACCAGAGGTCCAGGGGATCCAATAACTACTTTTAAGGGATTTTCAGGCAATATGAGGGTCCTGTAAAGTAATGAAATGGTGTAATGTAGGTTTAGATCATTACTTAGAGCCTGGAATGAATCAATGATCATGTGGACTGTGGTCATGATTGATGGATGAAATAACAGACACCCATAACTGTTCTTGATGCGCTGTAGGTACAATGAATATTATTGGGCAACCTTTGGGATGCAGTATATATTTTTTTCTGTGGCTATTCTCTACATTTGTGCGTCGTGTAAAACCCTGGAAACTATGTATGTATGGATGCTATAGTAGTGTAAAGATGACTTAAGATGTAACATTATTTTCTGGCTCTATCTGTGCGAAATGTTGATGTTTATATCCCTGTGTTATGGGTTTTCGGAGGCTTATGAAACTTTTGTTTCCTTGCTAATCACAAGAACAGCTGTAACACATCAAACTCATATAAAATCAAGCCATCATCTGAGTATTTACAATGTCTGTGTGACTCCACAACTCTTGTTATAGCGGGAGTCCTCGCGATAAACATGGCCGTCTGAAAACGTATAATCTATGTATTTATGTTGTGTAAAAAATGAATTTTAACATAATTTTCTAACCCTATGTACAACAGCTTTAAGCTGTTTTTTGGTCTTGTTGGTTTTAAAGTGACCCTGCAATGGATGAAACATGAGTTGGTACCATGGAACTACTGAGATCCATATTGTATCGCGATCATGTGTTTTATTACAGCCCTAATGTTCCACTCTTGTTTGAGAAATGGTTGGAACTTATGTCTGTATCATGTTGCTAGTAATGTGTGATGGCCATCTTTGCATGGATCTCTTCAGCTGGACTTACTCACTTATCAAGGACAGAGGCATTGTAAGTATGTTTAGGCCATAGTTTGTCAAAAAAAATTGTCAAAAAAACACAGTGTTGGTTCTCAGGCTCCGCCTGCATCATCATGAAGTCCGCCACATGTTTAATATTCCATTTTCCCCCCAAAAAACCAAAACGAACAATTAAAAACAATATAACACACAGTCACTTCCCTTTACATCTTGTGTTATGGTCATGGTAGCAATATGTACTTGTATGCTTGTTTATGTAGGGAGGCCCTTTCCCATGTTGTTGGTACACAACTGTTTATTTGGTTACATACTAGTTTGAACACACACACATGCGTGCACGCACACGCACACGCACACGCACACGCACATGCACGCACGCACACACACACACACACACGCATGCATGCATGCATGCACACATGCCCACCAACACTATAGTCATTGCCTGAGAACCAAATCTTCTTTTTTTTTTAAGCCTCAGATATGTATACATTAAATGGCAAAACATACCTGCAACCTTTGTCCTTGTCCTTGACCTTGTCTGTCGTGTCTGCCTTGCCTGTTGCCACCAGCAACCCGCTACAACATTCTTCTCATGACAGGCACACTAAACGCTATAGTCATGTTCAAAATTTGATAGTTTGGTGAAATGTACCTCCAGGTCATCACACTGAACAGAAAACACACATGACTTCAGGTATATTGACTTTCCGTTTTTAATCTTTGAACGTTTTTTTAATCTTGGTTCATTCCAAAAGACATGTCAGCTATCAGTGTTTACAGTGAAGATGTTGGTGACAGCATGTTTGTCGTGTCTGTAGGTAAAATGGAGTCTCGTGTCAAACATTCTCTGTCGTTTGACATAGCATATGTTGCCCTTTGTCAGTCGGCCAGCTTGTGGAACTGCCTCCAGATAACACTATTTCATTTCCTGGCACTGCATTAATTCAGAAAATCGTTAAATTGCAAACCAAACAATTTTGTTTGCTGCTTGTATGGCTTTGGTGCTGAAGAAACAAAAGCCATTTCTTGGAGTACAGCCAATTGCATCCGGGAACACCGGTAGTCTTTTCTTCAGCATGCTTGTCATTAACATCAGACCCTCATGCTGAACATATTTTTTATAGAACAACTTAAACTCTAATGTCCACAGTCTTTTATTTTTTGTTGATTGAGAAGCACACACATTCTAGAAAGGTATAGCAGTTCCTCTCCTCTCCTGCTGTGTGTTCACGTAAGGTATTCTATCACTGGTCACTCAGATCAATCACTAGTCACTCAGATCAATCGCTGGTAACCCATATCAATCACTAGTCACTCAGATCAATCACTGGTAACCCAGATTAATATCTGGTCACACGGATCTATGGCCGAGACGGTTGGGGGTCAGGCCGAACTCACAATAAGTGTTAGATTAGAACTAGTCCAGTCGTCCTTGCCAATAGTTAAGGTATCATAAGGACCAGTAGAAATTTGCCATTAAAAAGGGTTTTGCTATATGTTATCATTATAAGGACTAGTGGACTACAAATGTTAGATTCTACCACTGACAATATATCAAACACAAGCTCACTAATTTTGACCATTAAATCACTTCAAACGCTCACTGTATTTGATAAAAAAACAACTATTCATCCGCTCACTAAATTCAACCTTTAAACCTACACAAATGCTCACTAAATTTGACCATTAAACCTGTACAAACAACAGCTGCTGTAGCGTCAGTCCCCTCCCCTTCCGTCAGGAGACTTTGCTTCAGTAAGAACCGAGTACAGGAACGTGAAGTCGTGTTTGTGGCAGTTCATCTAACTCATTCCGATACAAGTCTGATGAAGATGGTGCCGTGTCCCTGGTCATGTGAGGAGTTGTTGCACCGTGGTCCTGCAGGATGGCTGTGAGACGTGTCCTGTCCCTTGTCAAGTAGTACATGTTTGTGTTTTTCAGCACTTGGAGAAAGTTATGAGTCATCGCCAGCAGCAGTATGCCCAGTTCAGAAGTTTTATTAGCATCCGAGCCAAATATTTCTTTGTTGTGTTGCTAAGCAACAGGAATTATGTGGGCAAGATGAGTTTCAATCATGAGAAAGAATCCCTTGAAATGTCTGTAAGTTCCTTTAGTGTTCTTCATAGTGTAGAGATTGCTGGGCTCCATTGCTGCTTGTGCCAATCCGCTTGAGTCATCACAGTGCAACCTTCAGCTTGCTGCATTGAGTGTTTGATGATTTGAGTTGCCTAGTTTCTCACGTAGTCCCCTACTCACTCCCTGCACCAAGCACCGCTCCATTCCAAACTCGTGGTCATGTAGAGAGATGCCATGTGTTTGAGTGAATTAGCCATGTTAAAGCATGATACAGCTGCAGTGTTGCAACGGTGCACATATTTTACCACTTACTCACATCCTCCCTTACTAATGATCCCCACATTAAAGGTTGACTGCTTGAGTTGAATGAGCGTCACCTTAACAAATAGCGATATTGTACTTCAAAGGGAACGTAGGGGTTGTTGAGGGCATGGGTGGCCCAGATAGTACATGCGTTGATGACCACATGGTAAGAGGTCTCTCTGTTGTTGCTGGGAAGATAGTACTTGTGCTGATGACCACGTGGTAAGAGATCTCTCAGTTGTTGCTGGGAAGATAGTACTTGCGATGATGACCACGTGGTAAGAAATCTCTCAGTTGTTGCTGGGAAGATAGTACTTGCGTTGATGACCACGAGGTAAGAGATCTCTCAGTTGTTGCTGGGAAGATAGTACTTGCGATGATGACCACGTGGTAAGAAATCTCTCAGTTGTTGCTGGGAAGATAGTACTTGCGATGATGACCACGTGGTAAGAAATCTCTCAGTTGTTGCTGGGAAGATAGTACTTGCGATGATGACCAGGTGGTAAGAAATCTCTCAGTTGTTGCTGGGAAGATAGTACTTGCGATGATGACCATGAGGTAAGAGATCTCTCAGTTGTTGCTGGGAAGATAGTACTTGCGATGATGACAACGTGGTAAGAGATCTCTCAGTTGTTGCTGGGAAGATAGTACTTGCGATGATGACCAAGTGGTAAGAAATCTCTCAGTTGTTGCTGGGAAGATAGTACTTGCGATGATGACCACGTGGTAAGAAATCTCTCAGTTGTTGCTGGGAAGATAGTACTTGCGATGATGACCACGTGGTAAGAGATCTCTCAGCAGTTTCTGACTGCTCATGGTAGAACATCTGCCCAGAGAGTAGAAGGCCAGGATTTCGATCCCCAGCTGCGTCTAACAAACGACTTTAAAGGTGGTACTTGTTGTTAGCCTGCCTGGTGCTCGCATTAAGTTGCTTAAACCAGGACTGGTCAGCTCGGAGTCAGTATGCTGTGTCTGAGTCTGGTATTCATGTTAAACTGCGGCATGGTCATTAAACCAAGAGTGGTTACGACTTTCTTATTAAAGTACTTGGAGGAATTGGACTTTCCAGTTTAAAATTGCACCGAAGTTGGCATGTGTTCCAAAACCAGAAATGATGTCATTAGACTGGAATTGCCATAAGGTTTTTCATTATGTTAGCTGCATGCAAAGTACAGTCAAGTCTTGTTATTTTGACACTCGTTAATCCGACAATCACCTTTATCCAACACTAATGAAGGGAACCGATTAAATCAGTGCTATTTAGACCCGTTAATCCGACAGCCTCACACTCCCAACGAATTACCGAAATCACTCATACATCAGTCTCGTTAATCCGACACAGTGATCAGCTTACTCTGTGGTCATCTGCCCGGGAGTACCCCATGTTTTGATCCGAGACAAGCCAGCTGGTAGCTGCATATTACAACGGCTGTGGAGATAAACTTGCTTCACAATAAACAAAATTAATCTTTTAATAAACAAAACAATATTAATCACATGCTTATATTACTCAATCTCATTAGAGTAGGATACAAGTTCTCGCTACCGCTGTGGACATCCC